GCCTTATGGTCGTGAAAATACGGTATATAATCTTAATCCTTACCTGTATCTGTCTGCTTCCATTCATTGAGAGCGAGGACAGGTGAATTCTGTCTGTTTCTATTCTACTTTAGTTTAGAGGTTGTTAGTTGGTTTTAGCCATCATGGCAATGTGACCGCTGAGCTACAGGCGGAGCCAAAGTACCTCAGTAGATCCTCATCACTGTGAATGCTGCATGAATTAAATAAACCAACCATTAGAGTGAATCTGTGCATCTTTAGGGGTTCCAGGCTGTTGCCATGGTATTTCTGGGCTCACTGATTGGAAACTGCTCTGCGTTTCTCTTCATGATCATCATTCAACTAAATTGATGATAGAACTGTATTTCTGGATGGATGATATCATCAGATAAGCCTTTCATATCGGTCTGTAGATCCGTATTGGTTAGTTGTTGTTTTTTTTTTAATGGACGTAGTTTCTGTTAAACTGAATGTTGCAACGTAACATTATCCTGTTATTGCCCCGCCCCCAAATCAGTATGTTAATGCATTTAGCAGCTTTTATCCAAAGCTACCTGCTGCCCTTTATAAACTGTGCAGACACGACTTCCAGTGATGATTCTGCTGAGCAGTGCGATGAACCTCAGCGTCCGTCGTTGTTTCCTGCGTCTGGAAGCCCTGATTAGATTATCGTTTGTCGTTTCCACTTCCCAAAAGCCGACTCTTTTAAGGAAATTCACCAAGGGCTGCCTTCTTCTCCTGACTCTTTGCAAACTTCCTGAATGTTACGGGTGCTGCCTTTTTGGTTTGCCTGTTTACCTCTAGAGAGCAGTAGTACCGTAGATCGCCACTAGAAGGCGAGGAAGTGCTAGCGTGGATCTGAACTAAACGCAGTGCTTTACATCATGGCTGCCTTCTTTTAAAAAGCGGTTGTTGTTTGACAGAAGCGGTTAAACTGGTCCTTTCAGAGCTGACCTGCTCCTATGATGTCTCAGAAGTTAAACGGCTGCAGATCTTCCTCCATCCAACCTGAGCAGGTTCCCTTCCAGCCTTAGCAGAGACCTTAACGCTTGTTCTAACAGGATCTTGGCTAGAAGCCTAAAATGTGACGGAGCGTGTTAAATTAAAGGGAGCCATGGTAGACAGGAGGTATAATCCATGACTGAAGTCTGGAGTCACACGTCTTACAGCTGATGCCAGTCATTGGATGAGGCTGTGAGTTTCAGCGGAGTGAAATGATCCAGCGGTTCACTGGGCCTCTTATTCAGCAGTGACACCGTTTCCTAAAGCTTCCCTGATAATCCATCACAGACGGACGTGTCTGACATGTTTAAGGCTAAAAAGCATCCAATTAAATAAACCCACAGTTTCTACTAACATCCTCTATTGTGTGCAGAGTTCTGCTTTTTGATTCCTATTCATCGACTTCTGCCGTTCAAATTCAATTGTCAAGAAACTGTTATTAGCTGATTACAGGCACAAAGTTTCACCATCAGATTGAAATGTTTGGATTTTAACATTTACAGATGTAAGTAAACTGAATAAACGGCTGATCTGACTAACACTGGCCTGTAGGAATATTCTGACGGACATCGCCATTTTAATAATTACCGATCTTGTTTTTCTTACCTAACGCTGTCATCTTTCTTTTGCCACTTAGAACCACTGCTTTGATTGGAGATGATGTTCAGATCTCCCCTTAAAGCCGAGCCTACATCGTACGATATTTTCAATCGTTGCACGCAGCTACAGCTCAAACTGTGCGATGAAACTACAGTCAAAAAACACACAGCTCACGATGTTTGTTCTCACATTGTGCAACTCGACGCTCTGATGCGATCTACCTGCTCACACTGTACGTTTAAAAACCAGGCGGGACTCAGCTCCGCAGTGAGATGGCGCTACTCGGACTCGTCTATCTGGAAGAAGGAAGAACTCCCCTGTTCGCTCAGTGCTCCAGGTTCTGCTAATCAGCTGGTAGCTCTGCTTCAACAGCAGGATTTACCCACCAACACCTCAGGAGGACCCACTGGATTTGAACATGTTTGATTTTCTCCTGACCTTTAGATTCCTGATGGTGAGGTGGTCGTTAGAGGCTGATCGCCCCCCGTTACCTCCTGTACGCTACACCACGCAGGACGCATGATCAGGCTGAAAGTCGGCCCCATCGAACAAAAAATTCTCACACGACTGGAGAATCGGCCCAAAAAGCAGAAAAGATTGTAGCGTATGTCTGGCTTTAATGTGCAAACTGTTAAACTGACCCAGAGACGTTGCTCTGATCCACCTGCAACCTTTTTATGCTGCGCTTTCTTACATATATGTGCAAATAAAGGGTTAAATTTGTTTAAAGGCAAAAATATAATAAAAAACCAAAAGAAAACCGGACCGATGTGAAGGTAACGTTCCGCTGGAGGCGGTCCTGTTAGGATACCTGCAGTAGGAGGAGGGAAATGCTGCCAACTAGTGGTAGAACAATTAATCAGATTAATGGACTATTGAAATAATTATTTTATTAATGGATTAATTGTTAGCTGGATTATAGAGACTGTAAAACACAGAGCGACCCACTTAGAGCAGGGATTATACCAAGATTATAAAAATATGTAAACATTTTGCATTTAAGACATTGGAAACATTTTCATCTTTTTAGTTTCACCTGGTTTTCAATCTGTAAAAAAATATCTAGGAAACCTTTGGCTAATCGATTATTAATCAATTAATCAAAAAAATAATTGAAAGACTAATTATGGATGGATTATCAAAATAATTGTTGGTTGCAGCCCTTCTGCCAACCTGGTCCTGGAAGTTTTTTGGATTTAATGTTAACCAACGTTTTTTTTTTTTTGAATAATCATCTAAAAACATGCCTGATGAGAGGAAAGCATCGACTTCCACTTCGCTTGTTAAACATTTCAGTCTGTTCTTCTACCTGCCGACGCCTCCATTCCCCCGCAGCTCAGAGCAGCACTCAGCAGGCTGCTGGAAGGTCCCACTGAACCTGGATGATCTTAGCGATCAGCTGCTGGTCCTGCTGCTCCCATTAATACAAACCAAACAATAGAATGAAAATGAACAAAACCAGATTTAGATTAAAGCTGCTGATTCACTGCTGAGCATCATCAGTAGCAGACCTCTGATGAGCAGTAGACTGAAGCCTTTCCTGTCGCCATCATTGGTTGCAAACAGCTGCTGACTGACGTACCTGAATGCAGCGTGGGCGAGTTAGTGGGGACGGACCTGCACCCACGCTCTGAGACGCTGCGCCTCAGGGTTTCCCCTCATGCTGTCTGAAACATTAATTTACTGAAGCAGATCCCACCTTTGAGCTCTGGATAAATCCGCTGTCAACCTGAACATGAGCTCAGATGAGCAGGTTTGTTTAACTTGGCATGAGGGAAATGTAGCGCAGGACTCCCTTCATTCAGAGGCAGAGCCACCGGCTCCACAGAAACCTGAAGTGTTGGTAAAAAGCTGGAAGCGTTCTGACGTCCAGCTGCAGCGCCTGCTGGTTAGACAGGAAGGCTGAAGATCAGGGCTTCCTGCCGCGCCGCTGGCTCATTCCTGATGGATTCTGGAAGTCTTAGAAAGCGGTCTGACAGCTCAGCGTCATGTCTGGGGTTGGTGGGCTTCCCCTCTGATCATTTCACTGTCTGTGGGACGCTTCAATCATTTCACCGTCGGCTCAGTAAGCATAGACCCCAAATGATTCATGGACTCTGCTGCGGTTAGTCAGAGCGAACCGTCCTGCTGGAGACATGCTCAGATTTCCTGCTGTAGCCTGACCTGCTGCAGGGTTAGCATGTCCAGAGAGGGAAAGGCGATTCATTGGAGTCCATCAGAAGCAGCAGAGGGGAAAAGACCTTTGCAAAGTGTGACACATATCGACTTCCTGTTTTAAAACCGCAGTAGGACTGATCCAGTGTGTGACCTGCTGACACTTCACGCTTCACTAGCTCCCCCACTGCGCAGCCACCTCCATGCTGTACAGAAAGTCTGATGGTTGCTGCTCATTGTTTTTAATATTAGAGACATTTCTAGATGTTGGAGCTTGGCCTGTTTTCCAGTGTAGTCCTGTTTCTCTGACTGTGACTAACTGGATGTGCTCTCTTCATCCTCTGACATGGGAGCTGGCTCGGAGCTCGTCTGCCTGGCTGTGTGTTTCCTGGACGGGGCCGCCTGTGGAGCTGGTTGACAGTTGCCTTTTGTATCTATGCTTCTTTTTCTATGTCTGCTTCTGTCTCCTTGAACCCCAGTGGGCCTCAGCAGATGGCCGCTCACACTGAGCCTGGTTCTGCTGGAGGTTTCTTCCTGTTCAAAGGGAGTTTTTCCTCTCCACTGTCGCTACAAGCATGCTTAGTGTGAGGGATTGCTGAAGAGTCAATGAGTCGATGCAATCAGCTGGTTTTCCTTAGATAGAAAACTTTGAATCAATCTGACTGGATGATCTGGTGAACTGGAAAGTGACCTGAGATGACATGATGTGAATTGGAGCTATAGAAATAAACTGAATAGAATAGAATTAGATGTGCATAAAGATCCTTCAGCCTTGGATGTGCAACATTTTGACATTAGACCGTCATCACACTGGATGATGAAGGTCTGTGAAGGCTGGAGACTTTCGTTTGGTCTGAGCTAACTGTGGGGATTGATCGGCCCTGCGTCACGTTTCACATCTTTTCATCCGACTGACACCAGATTCCCGGTTTAGGAGCATTTCTGAAGACCAACCCTGAGGAGAACTTCACCCTGACCTCAGCAAAAGGAAAACATTGGTTTGAAGGACAGGACATACTTTGCCTTTGAACAAATACGCCATAAATCAACAGATTTCTTTGAACAAAACAGTTTTTATTGAAGTCTTTGTTCCTATCTAATAAAACCTGAACACCTTAGAAAGAAGGGAACAATTTATTCATATTTTTAGTTTATTTGTTTTATGAAGATGAGATCATAAAGACGTTTGTTGGTGTTTTAGTTTGTAAAACTGTTTTTCCTTTCTGCCCGTCTGTCTGATTTAGGTGATCTACAGCTCATTCGGAGGCTCCTCCAAAGGTCTGCACTTCAACAACCTGATGGTGGGTCTGGTGCTGCTGACCAGAGGACGCGATGAGGAGAAGGCCAAGTGTGAGTAGAGCAGCGTCTGCACTCATCTCTGTGTTATCATGGTGGTGTGGGTGGTGGAGGCTAACTGAAACAAACCGTCTGTAAAATGTCACGGAAAAAGAAATTTGACTAAAAAATAATTCCCTTCGTCTCAGAACTCTGAGGTTAAACCTCAGAAGGTTACGGTCCTTCTTTTAACGTGTCACCATCTCACTTCCTTATTTATATTCCTCTCTTTAACATTGATGTATTGAGATAATTAGGGACGGATCTGTTGACCGTGTTCAATCTTTATCCACTAAGCTGCACGCTGTACATTTAACTATTTAAACAATAGTTAAAATGAATCCATCAACCATCGAGTCCAGATTCGCATGACGACATGAAGCCGTCTGCATCTATTTCACTGAGAGTTTTATTTTTCCCACACACCTTGAATGCATCATAAACCCCTCCTTCAAACAGGATTATTTTCTCGCACACTACGGCAACTGGTGAACTAAACATGGCGGCAGGTGTTTCAGCTGAGCGATATACGGCAGCGGTTTGGAACAAAAGGCGTTTCAGAACTTTTATCTATTTTAAAACTTGAACAGTTAGAGCATTATCAGAGCATCTTCAAACTAATCTTTACCTGCTGGGAATTTTAGATTTCCACTTTTGATTTTGTAATTTTAGGTCAGTTTCTTTTTTCATTCCGCATTTGTTTAAATTCTGCACAAAAGAGCCTTTTTTATTTAGCATTTTATTTAGTATTGGTTGTTTTTGCTTCGTTTCCTGTTTGGTTGCTGGGATCTTGTTAAAATACCGACACCCAAAGACATCATGTGACTCAGACTTTATTGTTAAAAAAGCTTTGATCTGGTTGAATTTAAATTGAATTTGAAACCAAAGCTTGAATTATTATATCAGTGCAGTTTTATGCTCTCTATTGTTTTTGAAGTTAATTTAAACATATGGTGATATATATCATGTTATAGCCCAGATATATCACAGTATTAGATGTTCTTCATATCATCCAGTCCTACTGTATATCTATGCTGCATAATCTCCAGACTCTGATCCAATCTGTCGTCTCCTGAGTCAAACACTGATGCTCGCAGCAACGCTTCCTGTTCGGCGCCTGGCTGAGGCCGCGCTAGGCTCTGCTAACGGACACGCGGCTTTCTGTCTTGGCAGCGTTTTAGTTTTCATGGTGTGAAACCGGGTCTGGTTCTAACAGACGTTTACCACTACGGGCCCTCAGAGGCTGATCAGGTCAAAGGTCGTTGTTCTGTGTTTACAGCAGAGCGTGTAATGATGTTCCACAGCATGTAGAGACGCTGATGTTCTGATATCTGTTTAATTCTCATGTTGTGCAGAACAGGAACCAGCTGGAAAACAGTGATTCCACTCAGACATCTTTTCCTCTTTTTAAACCTGAATGGAAATAACATTTCTAATTAATATTTCCTTGTTAAAGCCTAGATTATTTTCGATAAGGTGCCAAATTAAGTTTTTTTTTTGAAAGTTTAGAGAAATTTCTTGTTTAGGAATAAATAGTTTGAGGCTAATATGTGAATTAGATGTTGGTTCTGCTTCCTTATTTTGCCCTTAGGCCAACCGTGAAGCAAACATGTTTGAAAGATTTAGTTTTTAAAGGTTTCTGTTGGTCCGACTTATTGTTTTTCCTTTAAGCCGAGTTTTGTTCGTATCGGACCTCCAGAGCCGTTCAATTCAAAAACTGAACAATGTTTTTCTGCTATGATGCTTTTCAGTGAAACACAGTTAAAGCTTTAAAACAGGGAGCTGAGCGGTAACATGAGTGGCTCTCTGCTTTACATTAGTTTAAAGGAATAGAGGAGGATTGTTTATTTTTGGGTAGATCATCTCAATCAGTGGTCCTCCTAACTGTCAATCATTCTAGTGGTATATTTCTGTAAGGCTGTCCTCGTTCCGTTAGCTATCTTTTTCTTTCAGGCGTATATCTGTGGAGAGCTACAGTTTCAGACAGTCATTGAAGCTCACCTTTCTTACCGAGGATCTTTGAAAATGGCTGAGGGTCAGAAAAAAAAAAGTGTCTACGAAGTGAATGAGAAGAAAAGAAAGGCCTCAACAGAGGCAGATGTGTGTGTGTATATATATATATATATATATATATATATATATATATATATATATATATATATATATATATATATATATATAATAAATTAACTTTATTGATTTCACACTGGAGAAATTCACTTTCTGCACTTAACCCACCCTTTGGGGAGCAGTGTGGGGTTAAGGGTCTTGCTCAGGGACCCAGAGTGGAGACGGTTAAGCAGAGAAGCTGCAGCTTCAGTCCTCAGTCGGTCGGTCGTCCTCAGCAGCAGCAGAACCTTCAGCCGCTCCCAGTTCCTGATCATTTCACCTGCTGCTGAAACGCTGCAGGCAGCCATTGTTGCATGCGTCGTCTCCTCTGCCTCTTTGTGCTGCGTTTCTGCCTCGCTGTGATAAAGACGGATGCTCAGTGACCCTGTGTGTTTACTTTCAGACCTCTTCAGCCTGTTTGCCAGCGATCTGAGTGGATACGCTGCCAGGGAAGATATCGAGGCAGTCCTGCAGGTCCTGGATGGAGAAGTCCCCTCCTCGCTGAAGAAGTGCTTCATAGAGGTCTGTAAACAGAGCACAGCTCTCCATCCGCACCGTCACAATGCACAGTTCCTGCAGCTGTTGCTTGTAAAGAAATGAGTCCAGACATTCAGAGAAGCTGCTGCAGTTAGCAGCTTCATCTGCCTCCAGAGGTTCAGTAGTCCATGAAGGTCATACGTGAGAAGGAACAGAAAGATGTCATGTATGGAGGATCCCAAACAGCCCAATATTTTCTTCTGAAGCAACATTCTGAGCTCTTATTTCTTTATCTGAAATAAGAGTCAATCCTACCTTGAACTGTGTTTAACCTCCACTATAGAGCAGAGGTCTGCAACCTTTCATATCCAAAGTGCCATTTTGCCCAGATTCCGGCTAAGTAAAAGTCATTTAGAGTCGCAAAATAGGACTTTTTAATTTAAAACAATCTATTATTTTTGTCTTCCAAAATAGAGTGATTGTATCTTCCATACGAAATCTGTTGCCATCTGAAACAATTAACATTTGATTAGCTTCCAGATTAGATTCATTATGATGAGATTCATTATGATGTGCATAGATTTTCTTCAATAGGGTATGATGATAATAAAAGCATAATTTTCAAGCTAATTAAAAGAAACATTTAATTTAATGTCATTCTGTTGTGAAATGCAATTTAGATATTCTTTATGAAAAAAGATTCTTGTTTTTGGCCACTATTAAGAGCCATTGAGGGTCTAAAGCGCGGCATGGGGCCCCTGGGCTGCAGGCTGCAGAGCCCTGCTATAGAGCATGAAAGTGGAAGTTCCTGAGTTTCAGCCGATGATGCCTCCTCTGATAACGATCCATCATCAGACAGACCCCTGTTCTCTCACTGGTGCAACCAGAGAATGTGACCTGAAGCTCCCTCTGATGATCTGACCCGTGAAGCCTGTAGAGGAGTAAATACATCAATTCATTTTTAAACGTGTGTAATGCGCCATTAATAGCTCCCACTGTTCTCTCCTGATTGGGTCACATGCTTGATGTTTTGTCATCAGGAGACGATGTAACACGAGACTTTACTACAAACAAAACTAAAGCAGTTTGAGCTACGGTTGGAAAAATCTTGGTTTGTTTCAAAATAAAAGCTCCTTCTTGGAAAGCAATATTTCCATCCTGTCAGATTACTGAAGGGAGGAAACAGATTCTAGCTGAAGACCTTCACTGTGAGGTTCTCCTGCGCTGTGAGGTTCTCCTGCTCTGAGGTTCTCCTGCGCTGTGAGGTTCTCCTGCGCTGAGGTTCTCCTGCGCTGTGAGGTTCTCCTGCGCTGTGAGGTTCTCCTGCGCTGTGAGGTTCTCCTGCGCTGTGAGGTTCTCCTGCGCTGTGAGGTTCTCCTGCGCTGTGAGGTTCTCCTGCGCTGTGAGGTTCTCCTGCGCTGTGAGGTTCTCCTGCGCTGTGAGGTTCTCCTGCGCTGTGAGGTTCTCCTGCGCTGTGAGGTTCTCCTGCGCTGTCCGAACCGGAAGTTTATTCCAAGCCTTTCAAAGTAAAAGCGTAATAAAATTAAAGCTAGTATATCGGCAATATTTTTCATTCCCGTGTTTATTTCATGGGTTTTCATAATAGAAATAATTTTTTCTATTCATGTGTTTAATAACTGATATCTATAATCTATTCCCAGTTGAACTGAATAAGGTTAAAAAATGCAAGAAAATAACAAAATTAAATTATTTCTTAAAGATGTCTCTAATGTGTGCTGCAAGTATTAAATTCTATACTCTTTATTCTTATAATATTGTCTGCGCTGTTCTTCCCTTTGCTATTGGATCACATAGATTATCATGTGGAGGATGAGTGATTTCAAATGAACTAAGCTTCGCTTCGCTTATTCACAGTGAATTACTGAATACCTAAATAATGGACATAATAGACAATAACTTCTGTTTTTCCCCCACAACACCTGAGAAAACAGCAGACATACAAAAAACTTTGAAATATCTATTTAATTTTCTCTGAAGTGTTTTTATTGTCTAAATGGTTGATTTCACAGCATGAAGCAGTGTTTAACTTTAGGTGACGCTCCAGCAGGAATCACACTGTAACATCCGGCTGTAAGAGACAGATCATGTTGGAATAAGTCAAAGAAAATCCCCAAAAATTATGATAAAACATGGTTTTCTTGGACTTGAACCTCACAAAATATATGTCTTCTTCTGATAAAATGGGGCAGCTCATAGGTGTCACTACCCGATCCCTCCCGGAAGCAAAATCCATCCTGCGCATGCAGGGACAGATATACATCCAGATTTCCATAAATAATTACTTATTTCTATCATTAACTCATTAAATAACGCTAATCCACATCTTAAAAAGATGTTTTATAATGTTTCTGAGACATTTTTGATGCTTTTTACATATTTCTCTGTTAAACAGCGTCTCTGACGTCATCATCATGCTCAGAGCAGTAAATCTGATTAAACTCTGTTTATCTACATTTTAGTTTATTCTTTCTTTAGATTACTCAATATATAGCACAATGTTAACAGGAAAGGAAAACATTAAACTATAAGAGACTAGATTTATGTTTAAATCCAATAAAGTTGATAAAGTTAGCTCCTGGAAGTAGCGTAGCATCCCATTTCCTGTGCAGATCAGGAACAGAGGAATAAAACAGGATTTTAATGCATTTATTTTCTCAGAAAATACATTATTAACCTGTAACACATTATATTTTAGTATGCTTACTGTTTTTGTGGAGGTAAAAACGTAATTTAGGTCTTTTTAAGTAAATAAAATTGAGGGCGACCCGATGTAGATCTGGATGAGCTGATGGCGCAGGATGGATCGGTAGCGACACTGCTAGTCTGGGAAGGCTTGGAAGAAGCGTCCTGACAGGGCAGGTCTGCAGCCAGACTTTTGCAGAAATGCACTAACCTTTTAGAACCTGTTAATGGACTAGACATTAGTAACTCTTTTTCTAGTCAACTTGACCTCTAGAGGTCAAGTTCATCAACCTGAGATCTGAATGTCAGGCGGTTTGTTTCGCACAGCTGCCCTAGTAAGTCCTGGCTGTTTTACAGCCTTCTTAATGATAGATGTCTGTCTTCATGCAGCCCCACTGGTTCAGCTGTGTTCCAGTCATCATCATCATCATCTTCATCCCAGCGTTGTGCTCCATACTATTGATTAAACATAAAGACACCAGTGTCAGGCGTTCTGTAGGGACTCAGACCTGCATCAGAGCTCCGTATTCATCACCTTCCTGTGGCTGTTTCTGTCCTTGGTGCTGAACCTGTCCTGAAGCCTGAGCTCACAGAAAGAGGCTGGTTGAACATTTCCAGCTGCTGGAGCTTCTCATGGCTCCGGGTTCAGATCAGACGTTTTTCCAATGAGTGTTTGTTGAATTTGTCTCGGTTAACTCACCCGTCATGCCTAACCCTCCAGGGAAATTAACCCCACCCCTCCACAGCCAGGTGACGTGTCTCTGTGGTGATTTGCTCCTCAATGTGTTTTTTTTTTTTTTCTGCAGAGTGACAAAGTGAACTATGAGCGCTTCAGGATCTGGCTCCTGCAGAACAAGGAGGCCTTCACTCTGTCGCGCTGGCTTCTCTCTGGAGGAGTGTGTGTCACGCTGACAGACGACAGCGACACGCCCACCTTCTACCAGACCCTCGCCGGCGTCACACACCGTGAGTCCATTTCACGCTATACTTGCATGGTTCACGCTTTCATCACTTCTTCTTCCTGCGCTCAGACGGCTCGAACTAGGGATGCACGATATTGGGATTTTGGCCGATATCCGATATGCCGATATTTTAAAACTCATGTAGCCGATAACCGATATCGATACCGATGTTAAAGCTGGACAAAAATAAGTAGTCATTGAAAAAAGCAGTTTTCTTATCCATTTCTGACACTTTGAAAAATAATAAACTCAAATATATTTTCATATGCTGATATCAAATAGATTTTTAAAAACGCGGTATCGATCTATTTTACTTTCAAAATCTGGTGAAATTTCATCGTTCTGTTACAAACTCTCGTGATATTTTGCAAATTCTTGTGAGATTTTGTTAGTAAAATAGATCGATACCGCGTCAATATATCAACATATAAAAATATGGCAACATTTGGTGAATTTTCGGGGGATTTCGTAGCATAACGATGACATATAGCAATATTTCATTAGTAAAAGAGATTGATATGGTGTTTTTAAATGGCAATATATCAGCATATGAAGATATTGGGATATTTTAATGGATCAATATTTTTTCCCTCGTCTTTAGAAGTTTTTAAGTCTGTAAAAAAGACGTTTTTGAGGAAGAAGAAGAAGTAGTATTTATTTCTTTTTTTCGACTTTAGAAACTCAGAAGCTGATCATATATCGAGTTAAATATCGGTGGGGGGGCCGATGTCCGATATTCAGTTTTAAGGCCGATACCGATAGGGGGCCGATCATATTATGCATCCCTAACTTGAACAGGAAGTTCAGGTCAGCCAGGGACGCTTTGCTCTGTCAGCTTCCTAACATTTCTATGATGAGCAGAGAAGATCAGACGTTTTGGTCGGTTAGTCTGTCTGTTGGTTCCTGTTTAACTCTTCATCTTCATCATCACAGTTCAGCTGTTGTTCATAGATTGTTTAGTTATTTATATAAACGGTCGCTAATGATCAGTGGTTAACAGTCACTGCCTTCCACTGCTGGAAATGTGAAAACACCCAAAATACCCACAATGCTTCAGTGCAGTAGCAGAAACTCTCCCTGAAATGTGTCACAATCTAATATTAAACATGTTTAGAGAGAGAGAGAGAGAGTTAGCTTCCCTCTGAAGGTTACGCCATGTGACGGCGGCAGACCTCAGAGGTTTCATGGTGATGTCACATGATCGACCAACAGGAAGTGGTTGGTGGAAGAACGAGGGATTTATGGTTTCCACACGTCTGCAGAAAGAAAAGCTGAACGTTTTGCGTATCGATGTAATTAAGGTAACACTTACAGAATCTTCTTTTTACTGGAGGTTTTGTTTTTTCAACCAGCCTTTAGGTCCGTTCATATTTACGGGCTAATTTCATCCGTTCTTATGGTCGGAGCCGTTTGAGGCCAGATTAAAGGTTCCTTTAATCCCCTCTGCCCACAGCTTCTCCTCTGTTCGCCGTTTTCTTGAAACTTCAGTTAGTTTAGGGGAGCCGCTGATTTTCTGTAACGAAGGTTAACCCTGATGTCAACCTGCTCCTCATGGTTTCATGATGCTGGTTGTTCACTAACAAACCTCTGGAACAGCTGGATTAGGACCCTGCCTCAGTCGAAAACAGACTTCAAAAGCCAGCAGATTTTATTTAGGGATGCCAGAGTAAAGAGGCCCCAGCAGGTTATTATGTAGTTATGCATCGCTTTGCACCGTTTCCCCCTTTAAAAGGCTCTGCCATGTTAAATAGAAATTGAAAGAATTGCAGCTTTTGGTTGAAACAAGGTGAAAGAAGGCCGTCTGTGAGGCGCTGTGCGGTGTTATATAAAAGCTTTGCATGACATGGATTATTTCGTTTGCCGCTTGCGGGCCAAGTAAGTATAGTGACGCTTAATTTCACCAATTAGGAGCAGAGGCCTGGAAGAGCCCATCCTGTCCAGGTAACCTGGCCTTTGCCTTTAATCTGCTGCTCCCATCTTATCCTCTTAACTTCTCGTCTCTATGTGTGTGTGTGAAAGCTGGAGAGAGAGTGACTGACTCAATCATGACTCCTTCTAGAAGGAGAAGGTAAAGCCTGACTGGTGACGGAGCTTAGCTCAGGGAATCATCTGCCGTCACGTCGTTTTGGACCCATTTAGGGGGAATTGCATGTTTTCTGCAGAAGGAGCTGTTTTTCTTAGTGCTGAGTTGACTTTGCTGCATGCAGGCTGTGGCAACACCTGTCCGAGGATGTTCCCTGGATAATGGTATGGTACCTCTGCTGCCTCTCTGAGAGAGTCGCACCTCTAGGTGGGTATCAGGTCTGCAGGGGGCCTCCTGTCTGCTGGAAACCTGTCTTTGTTTTTACGCCTAGAAGCGTCTCAGGTCTGTTGTTCCCAGCTTTATGTTCCTACCTTCTTCTAGTGGCTGCTGTTAGCTCCTCACTGCTCCATCATCTTAGGGTTGACATGACTGTTGGTGTTTCTCTAAAATGTGTGGGGGGGGGGGTTAGGGTCCTTTGATCAATCAGTGTGGTGAAGATGTAGTTAGGACCTGCTAATAAACACCACTGCCTGGATATCAACAGATCAGAGCTTAGTGGGTTTCCGAGCCAAATTTCTCTGAATATTTTCTCTAACTTCAGTTTCCCTTTGGTTTTCCGGTCAATAATCTTGATTTTTTGCAGTAATTGATTCAAAGCAAAGACAAATTGATTTGGAGCTTTTCTGTAGTGGGGGTAGTGTCGGCGTTCCCCTTTCTGCTAAAGCCCTGTGCTCCTAACAGCGATGCATTAAACACAGAACTGGTCGTCCTTTCAGTCGCCGTCCTTTTGAGACGCCGTAAATGTGTTAACGCTAGCAGACAGTTTGTCCTTTGAAGCTGAGCGTCTGCAGGCCCCTGCTGCAGGTTTGGTTTCCTGAGAAGGTGGATCGTTGATGCCAAGGGTCCCTGTCACAGCGTGCTGATTTATCCACCGTCTGCCTGATAACCTTTCTATGGATCTTTGCTATTCTGGACAAATAGATAGAGTATTCATAACAAGTCCAAAACTTCTGCATAGCACGCAGCAGCGCAATGCCCAGAAAATGATGCACAAGCCAGGGTCCTGAAGGGAGCAGGAGGCGCCCCGCCTGCAGAAAAAGATTTATTTGATTGTGGTATTAAAGCTACAGTGTGTAACTTTTAGCGACATCTAGCGGTCAGACTGCAGACTGCAGCAACATGAACATCTCCCCCCCAACAGTACGGCGAGCGTTACGGGACAAAATGTCTTCCACGACGTCCGCATCACCTACCTTCTCAAGTGATGAGGTTTGTTTACATAGATAATTTTACAGATAGTATTTCATAAGTCTGTGTAGGGTATAGATTTCATGTAGACTTAAGATAATAAATATACCCGTTATTTTTTTCTACATCGTTGTGATGTTTTGGCGATCTCGCAATCACTAGTTTGTTGGCTCTGCGCTGCCGTAGCGCAAAGATGTCTGCCTCCATGGCTGCGAGACCCGCTCCTATGTAATTATAAATAACGAATTCTAAGGCAACGCAAATATTAAGGTTAAGAGGCTGAGCTCGTAGATGATGATAAATAACATAGTTATGTATAATATATTACATTTCTGACTGTATATCCCTGTAATTATTACACACTGTAGCTTTAACCTCGCTGCTGTTTACCGCCCACCAAAAAAAAGAGAGGATAAAAAAATAAAATAAATAAAGATAGAAGGATTTTGGTGTCAGCAGATTGAGCGTCATGTCTGCTAGGAAGTGTGTTGGTGGTGGGCGTGAACGCAGGGAGGATCCATCACTCACCTTCTGGCTCACCCTATGATGGGGATGAAGTCTGGAGGAGAACTGACGGTTTCCTCCTGTGAACCCCCTTTATACCAAAACGCTGCCAATACGCCTTTATACAGTAGTTGGAAGTTAGAAACACGTTCAGCGCTCGTCTGGAACACGGCAGATACGCTGATATGTTGGAGAGAAGTTCTGGATAAGTTACGCAGAAGTTACTCAGAGGTTTAGGATCAGCTAGACGCCACGACTGATGAGGAACTGACACTGAACGGATGTCAGCCATCAGATAACTGACCTGGAACTGATGGACCACGGATGGCAGACGGTGGAATATGCCGGGACATTTGGAGCATGCTCAAAATCTATCGATGTACGAGCCATATGTCGACGTGCCTCAACGCGCTCATAACTTATACAAACGTTCCCATAACTTATCAACATATGTCAGCGTTTTTGCCAGATTTTCCGTATGTCAGGCAAACGTTGGTCTAAATCGTCAAGGTGAGACAGGGGCTGAACATGAAGGGCAGATGCTTGGAGATACAGTGAGGTTAATGTTCTCCATTCAGTCTTCCTGTTATCTGCCCAAAGTTCTCTTCTCTCTGTGGGTCCAACGCTGTAATGTTGAAGGAGAGTGACAGGTGGAGTTGCTGCTGTCTCCAGGTGACTTTGGGAAGTAGAAGTTGTTTTATGGGCCATCATGGGCAGACTAAAGGTTCACCTTCCTGTTCACTGACCCGGACACCTTCATGCATCCATGTGTTTGTTCCTCATCCATGTGTTTGTTTCTCATCCATGTGTTTGTTCCTCATCCATGTGTTTGTTCCTCATCCATGTGTTCACACACCAGTTTAATGATCTCCAACGAGGAACTGCAGCTTTGTTCTGCTGAGGCTGCTGCTTCCAGCTGCACTCTGAGTGGGAAGTGTTTTCTCCATCCATCTCCCTCAATAATTGATCAGCCCGCATCCATGGGCCTCAGCGTGGCTCCCTGGAGCCGCTGCCTTTCTCCATGTGAGCTGGGCCCGTCCTGCTCTGCTATGCTGTGGCATCCCCAGCCAGTCCAGGGACCAGTAGCCGACGGGTCGGGGGGTCTGTACCCTACCAGGAAAAGGCTGTAATTTGATTGCATGTCTGTATTTTGACACCTGTCATGGAAGCAGCCGCGGCATCAGGCTAGCTGCTCAATCCAATTAGCTTAATCTGGGGATTAGCATGTTGAAAGGGAGAGACTGCTTCAGTGACTGTAGCAGAGCTTCATACGCCACTCTATATTTATCTGACCCCCCCCACCAGTCTGGGTATTGATCAAAGCATGCTGATCACTGGCTTCAGCTTTTCTATCATGAACTCTGCAGAACTGAACTGACTGGATGGTTGTTGAATCAGCAGCAGTCGTGGTTGGATGGTGAAGGTGGGAACGTAGCTCCTACAGCTGCTCATACTGAACAGCGTTGAACTGTAGCTTGTTAGCGTGGTTCTACTGAGGGTCCGTGGTTCTACTGAGGATCCGTGGTTCTACTGACGGTACGTGGTCCCGCAGTGGGTCCGTGGTCCCGCAGTGGGTCCATTCTACTCTCTATCAGGGAATGATATTCTCTGCATGCTGGGGGCTCCACCATGTTTCTCCTGGAAACTCTGGCTCCTTTCATCAATGGCTGATGGTTTTATTAATCAGCCCTCTTCCTGGTGGAAAGGCAGCTGGATCATGCTCTCTGCCTATAAACCAATAATACCGCGGAGGGCCCAGCTCACCTCCTCCTGGACTCGGAGCTCACAGATTGGTGGAGTTATTTCAGTCACTGAAAGTTCCTCTAAGTTCATATGAACATCTGTAGAACATGTCTGCTCTGACAGAACCAGACCGTTCTAAGAATAAAAGCCAAAAACAGGTGATATGCCAGAACCTTGGTACTGAACCGCCTCCAATGAGGGCACGATGACCAATGAGGTCATCGTTCTGATGATCAGACGCTAAGAACGAAGCGGTAGGGAAACGTAATCCGGCTCAAACCAAAGATTCCTCCATGGTGGTCCTGCAGCCCTCGTCTTCCACGTGTGATGGCAGAAATCAGTCAGAAAGTTCACCACAGCAGCGGATTTCGACGGCATTCCTTGGAGAAGCAGACCGTGTGCAAATAATGACGCGTGGCCCCGGGGCCCCAGACCCTCTGGGTCGCTTCAGCAGCCGATTGATGTTTTCCACATAGTGAAGGGAGCCTGTTGCTTTAGAAGTTCAGCAGCTGGTGCTAAATGTCCCATTAATCACTGGATGCCGCTGCCATCAGCAAACCTGTGTTCCTGTTAAATAAACGCGCCCGGAGGTCTGTCGCCATGTTGATAAACCATGTCTGATCTCATCCTGCAGTGGAGGAGTCTGACATCATCGACTTGGAGAAGCGCTACTGGCTGCTGAAAGCACAGTCCAGAACCGGCCGCTTTGACCTGGAAACCTTCGTCCCGCTGGTCTCTCCTCCCATCCACGCCTCTCTGGGTGAAGGTAAGCGCATCTTCCTGGATCTTGCTCGTCTGTCCGTCCATCTCAGCCTTCCTCCTACCTCTGTGTTTATGCTTTAAAAATAGACGGACGATCTGCTTCTCAGACTTAATAACCCTTTGCTTTCCTGTAGATCTGCCTGTTTAACTCTAGTTTTTAAACTGTTTGGTTTTAGGAGTTTGGTTCAGGCAGGGGCGAATTAATGCCAATCACTGGCCTCCCCTAGCCAATCACTGGCCACCCCTAGCCAATCACTGGCCACCCATGCACCTCCCCTAGCCAATCACTGGCCATCCTTAGCCAATCACTGGCCACCCCTAGCCAATCACTGGCCACCCCTAGCCAATCATTGGCCACCCATGTATCCACCCCTAGCCAATCACTGGCCACCCCTAGCCAATCATTGGCCACCCCTAGCCAATCATTGGCCATCCTTAGCCAATCACTGGCCACCCCTAGCCAATCATTGGCCACCCATGCACCTCCCCTAGCCAATCATTGGCCACCCCTAGCCAATCACTGGCCATCCTTAGCCAATCACTGGCCACCCCTAGCCAATCACTGGCCACCCATGCACCACCCCTAGCCAATCACTGGCCACACATGTATCCACCCCTAGCCAATCACTGGCCACCCCTAGCCAATCATTGGCCACCCCTAGCCAATCATTGGCCACCCCTAGCCAATCATTGGCCTCCCCTAGCCAATCATTGGCCATCCTTAGCCTATCACTGGCCACCCCTAGCCAATCACTGGCCACCCATGCACCACTCCTAGCCAATCACTGGCCACACATGTATCCACCCCTAGCCAATCACTGGCCACCCCTAGCCAATCATTGGCCACCCCTAGCCAATCATTGGCCTCCCCTAGCCAATCACTAGCCACCCCTAGCCAATCATTGGCCACCCCTAGCCAATCATTGGCCACCCCTAGCCAATCATTGGCCTCCCCTAGCCAATCACTAGCCACCCCTAGCCAATCATTGGCCACCCCTAGCCAATCACTGGCCTCCCCTAGCCAATCATTGGCCTCCCCTAGCCAATCACTGGCCACCCCTAGCCAATCATTGGCCACCCCTAGCCAATCATTGGCCACCCCTAGCCAATCACTGGCCACCCCTAGCCAATCACTAGCCACCCCTAGCCAATCATTGGCCACCCCTAGCCAATCATTGGCCACCCCTAGCCAATCATTGGCCTCCCCTAGCCAATCACTAGCCACCCCTAGCCAATCATTGGCCACCCCTAGCCAATCATTGGCCTCCCCTAGCCAATCATTGGCCATCCTTAGCCTATCACTGGCCACCCCTAGCCAATCACTGGCCACCCATGCACCACTCCTAGCCAATCACTGGCCACACATGTATCCACCCCTAGCCAATCACTGGCCACCCCTAGCCAATCATTGGCCACCCCTAGCCAATCATTGGCCTCCCCTAGCCAATCACTAGCCACCCCTAGCCAATCATTGGCCACCCCTAGCCAATCATTGGCCACCCCTAGCCAATCATTGGCATTCCCTAGCCAATCACTAGCCACCCCTAGCCAATCATTGGCCACCCCTAGCCAATCACTGGCCTCCCCTAGCCAATCATTGGCCTCCCCTAGCCAATCACTGGCCACCCCTAGCCAATCATTGGCCACCCCTAGCCAATCATTGGCCACCCCTAGCCAATCACTGGCCACCCCTAGCCAATCACTAGCCACCCCTAGCCAATCATTGGCCACCCCTAGCCAATCACTGGCCACCCATGTATCCACCCCAATCAATCACTGGCCACCCCTAGCCAATCACTGGCCACCTCTAGCCAATCACTGGCCACCCCTAGCCAATCACTGGCCACCCCTAGCCAATCACTGGCCACCTCTAGCCAATCACTGGCCACCTCTAGCCAATCACTGGCCTCCCCTAGCCAATCACTGGCCACCCCTAGCCAATCACTGGCCTCCCCTAGCCAATCACTGGCCACCTCTAGCCAATCACTGGCCTCCCCTAACCAGTCATTGGCCTCCCCTAGCCAATCACTGGCCACCCCTAGCCAATCACTGGCCACCCCTAGCCAATCACTGGCCACCCATGTATCCACCCCAATCAATCACTGGCCACCCCTAGCCAATCACTGGCCACCTCTAGCCAATCACTGGCCTCCCCTAGCCAATCACTGGCCACCCCTAGCCAATCACTGGCCTCCCCTAGCCAATCACTGGCCTCCCCTAGCCAATCATTGGCCACCCCTAGCCAATCACTGGCCACCCATGTATCCACCCCAATCAATCACTGGCCACCCCTAGCCAATCACTGGCCACCTCTAGCCAATCACTGGCCTCCCCTAGCCAATCACTGGCCACCCCTAGCCAATCACTGGCCACCCCTAGCCAATCACTGGCCTCCCCTAGCCAATCACTGGCCACCCCTAGCCAATCACTGGCCACCCCTAGCCAATCACTGGCCTCCCCTAGCCAATCACTGGCCACCCCAATCAATCACTGGCCACCCCTAGCCAATAACTGGCCACCCCTAGCCAATAACTGGCCACCCCTAGCCAATCACTGGCCTCCCCTAGCCAATCACTGGCCACCCCAATCAATCACTGGCCACCCCTAGCCAATCACTGGCCACCTCTAGCCAATCACTGGCCTCCCCTAGCCAATCACTGGCCTCCCCTAGCCAATCACTGGCCACCCCTAGCCAATCACTGGCCTCCCCTAACCAGTCATTGGCCTCCCCTAGCCAATCACTGGCCACCCCAATCAATCACTGGCCACCCCTAGCCAATCACTGGCCTCCCCTAGCCAATCACTGGCCACCCCTAGCCAATCACTGGCCACCTCTAGCCAATCACTGGCCTCCCCTAGCCAATCACTGGCCTCCCCTAGCCAATCACTGGCCTCCCCTAGCCAATCACTGGCCACCCCTAGCCAATCACTGGCCACCTCTAGCCAATCACTGGCCTCCCCTAGCCAATCACTGGCCTCCCCTAGCCAATCACTGGCCACCCCAATCAATCACTGGCCACCCCTAGCCAATCACTGGCCACCTCTAGCAAATCACTGGCCTCCCCTAGCCAATCATTGGCCTCCCCTAGCCAATCACTGGCCTCCCCTAGCCAATCATTGGCCTCCCCTAGCCAATCACTGGCCTCCCCTAGCCAATCACTGGCCACCCCAATCAATCACTGGCCACCCCTAGCCAATCACTGGCCACCTCTAGCCAATCACTGGCCTCCCCTAGCCAATAACTGGCCACCCCTAGCCAATCACTGGCCTCCCCTAGCCAATCACTGGCCACCCCAATCAATCACTGGCCACCCCTAGCCAATCACTGGCCACCTCTAGCCAATCACTGGCCACCCCTAGCCAATCACTGGCCACCCCTAGCCAATCACTGGCCTCCCCTAGCCAATCACTGGCCACCCCAATCAATCACTGGCCACCCCTAGCCAATCACTGGCCACCTCTAGCCAATCACTGGCCTCCCCTAGCCAATCACTGGCCTCCCCTAGCCAATCACTGGCCTCCTCTAGCCAATCACTGGCCTCCCCTAGCCAATCACTGGCCTCCCCTAGCCAATCACTGGCCTCCCCTAGCCAATCACTGGCCACCCCTAGCCAATCACTGGCCACCCCTAGCCAATCACTGGCCTCCCCTAGCCAATCACTGGCCTCCCCTAGCCAATCACTGGCCACCCCAATCAATCACTGGCCACCTCTAGCCAATCACTGGCCTCCCCTAGCCAATCACTGGCCACCCCTAGCCAATCACTGGCCACCCCTAGCCAATCACTGGCCTCCCCTAGCCAATCACTGGCCACCCCAATCAATCACTGGCCACCCCTAGCCAATCACTGGCCACCTCTAGCCAATCACTGGCCTCCCCTAGCCAATCACTGGCCTCCCCTAGCCAATCACTGGCCACCCCTAGCCAATCACTGGCCTCCCCTAACCAGTCATTGGCCTCCCCTAGCCAATCACTGGCCACCCCAATCAATCACTGGCCACCCCTAGCCAATCACTGGCCTCCCCTAACCAGTCATTGGCCTCCCCTAGCCAGTCATTGGCCTCCCCTAGCCAATCACTGGCCACCCCTAGCCAATAACTGGCGACCCATGTGTCCACCCCTAGCAGGTGATTTGTTGTTGCCCCTGTGATGTAATGCAATACCGCTGGAACCTGCAGTACTCCTCTAAGCCTGATGGTGGCAGCAGTTTTACCATCATGTTGAATTTCCTACTTTGACATTTTAATGCTGGTATATTAACCAAAATCTGAACAGAAAATGCAGCAAAATCACAGCAATATAGTCCTAGAGAGGACTAATCTAGAAGGTTTTAGGTTTTATAGGAGAGTTTGTCTCTGCAGTCACCTAGAAATCTTCTATGAAATTTAAGACAAAGAGCTTTACTCCACCCATTTAGGCGTCAGATGCCTATTTTATGCTTAGTTTTGAATTTCGCCCCATATTATGTATATTAGACATTCATATTTCATGTTATTATTTCATATTTGATATTTGAATTCATGAGTGATATTAATAATTCCGGTTGAAAACTTTTGTACCAGATTAAAATGTGGATTTAGAATAATTACAGGATGTTACTTAGTGGGTCTTTAATGATTGTAGAGTTGTGCGCGAGGCGCCAGGTACGGCAGCCAGTCTTAGATTGACACGGCAGGAGGAAGGTCTGTGCCTCACGTTTTTCTGACTCTGCCGTTACCGTGGTCTGTGGAGCCTTAGATTTAGATTTAGGAAAGTTTAGGAGGCATATTTTCATTTGTATTTGTTTAAGTTTTCGTGACTTTGGTGGAAGATTTCATTTCTTCTGGATGCTGGACCATGCGTCAGCACAAAGCTTATGAGGAATTTAGCTTAGAATTTTGAAAATACCCTGTATATATATATATATATGATGTAGAACCGTAAAATCATATAAATGTCACTAACTTATCAATATGCGCATAGCTTTATGACCCTAATGGTAATCTGGTCTGTCTGCAGGGATTTATTTAGAAAATATGGATGTTGTACGCATTCATTTTCTTGTTGGTTTATTTTGATCAGTATAGACATAAGATGTTTTTGGCACCTGTCAGTTTTCAGCCACCTCTCAGGGCACATTGGCCCCTGCATGGCTAACTCACTGGTTAGCCTCCATGCTAATGTGGCCACCTCTGGAAAAACCGCCGCTGGGTTCAGGTGAATAAATGCTTCATAAAACCAATGAATTTCCCATGATCCTTTTCTTACCAGTTTACAGACTGAATCTTAATGAGCTCAGATGCAATTAGCTGTGACTGCAGTGCAGCCGCCCTCAGTCAAACTCCTCTGGTTTTTAGTACAGCATCCAAACATGGTTTGTTCTTTCCTTGCTGTTTTCCAGGCCTTTTTCACGCCTTTGATGAAAATCGGGACAATCACATCGACTTTAAGGAGATCTCCTGTGGGCTCTCGGCCTGCTGCAGGGGGCCAGTCGCTGAAAGGCAGAAATGTAAGTCCTGCTGCGGTTTCTAACCGCTGCGAGATAAATAAAGCTTTCAGAATAAAAGGCAGTCCTCCTATCATGAGGCCTGCAGGGCCTGTTCCTCTGAGGCTCTGAAAACCTCTGTTGGTTTTAAAATGAGCTTTTTATTTCCCTCTTCAGTTTGCTTCAAAGTGTTCGATGTGGACCGTGACGGGGTTCTGTCTCGAGATGAGCTCCATGAGATGGTGGTTGCCTTGCTGGAGGTGTGGAAGGACAATCGCACAGACACCATCCCTGTGAGTAAACCTCCGCCTGCCCTGGACCAAAACACACGGAAAAAGGTGTCAGATGAATCCGAACACAATCAATCCTTTCTGTCTCTTCCTACATCAATGTTGGGTCATTTTAGCTTGTGGCGTCTGCACAACAAAAAATGCCTTCTAAAAAATAAGAAAAAAATATAGTGTTTTAAGTGAATAATTGCTTATTTTGAGCAAAATAATTTGCCAATGCAGCAAGCAAATGAAACTTGGTAAGATTTCTTAAGACAAGAACATAATATCCAAGTAGTAAGCATCCAAAAAAACTTAAATCAAGAATAAAAATCTATTTTTCTTCAACTTGTTAAGATTTTTTCTCTTATTTTAAGCAATGTATTCTTATTTATTAGTCATTATTGCTTAGAATTTAATAACCTCTAACCAATTATTGCTCAAAACAAGCAAACAACAGGCTTAAAAACAAGGCAAATGTACTTGATACCAGTTTATTGAAAGGCTTAAAACTAGTGTTTTTCTTAGCTAGAATTAATTTCATTATTTAGGTGTAGTGAATGTATGGGAAAAATACACCTGACAAAAACTTCAAAACGTTTTTTTTATTAATATTTTAGCAGAAATGTCACAGAATCAAGCAAAATAACCCCTCCCCCTCCAAAAATAAAAAAACGCACAAAGCTGAGGGCTGCACAGGCCAAACAATAAAGTGATTTAGCAGTATTGCTACGCTCTACCCCTTCTCCATGTTCTGAATGCTGGCGTACCATAAAGAATAAATGATGAACAGTTTAGTTTGTGCCTTCAAGTCGTTGCCCATAGGAAGACGTTACTGGATATAACCAAACGGAATATCTTCAGAACGGCTCCAAATGACACTAAACTCATAGAACATGATGTAATAATGTAAAATCAAGGGCCAAATGTATAAAAAAACGGCGTTCCCCTTTAAGGCAGAGCTTCTATTATAATAAGCATATGTATGATGTACAGTAGTTATGTGTTGTAAACAGTGAATGGTCCACTGGTGAGGTTCAGAATCTCAAAGCTAAACCATGAATGACAATCTCAATAACTCTATCAGTTTGAATGCAATCACAGTTGATTAGCTGGAATATCTTAATGAGATGGGGTCAGTTCTTAAAACAGGTTAATATGGATCGTCTTATTGTCTTGAAACAAGTAAAAATGTACTCACAGTCTAAATGTTAACGCGCCTCAGTCCGCAATGTGTGCTATTTTAAGAAAAAGCTGCTCAGAATTAGTTGTATTATCTAGTTAGGATGAAGAAAATGAATGTTCTTAAATCAAGTCAAATAATCTTAACAATATTCAGTCTTACTAAGAAAATACATCGAAAAACAAGTGTAATAAGACCAAACTGCTGAATTCAAGTTTATTACACTTGTTTTAACCCCCAGAATGATGAATGTTGGTGAATCTAAGCAGAAGAAACAGCAAGAGGGGAAAATGTAGCAGAGTGGCTCATTAAAGTCATCCAGACCGTAAATCCTGACCTCTGTTAAAGTGATCAGGCAGACGCTTTTTTCTCAACCTCTCCTGCCTTCACTAACGTCTGCTGCTGCTCTTCCTACAGGAGCTGCTCACCAACGTGTCGGACATAGTGGAGGAGATCCTGAAGATGCACGATACGACCAAGGTGAGCCTCAGGCGGCGCTGGGCTGCGCTGACCTCAGAAAGCAGCCTCCTGGTCTGATGGTGGAGAGAGCAGAGCGGGGCCACTGAGAGGAATTACGTCACTGTTTGTTTCCATGTGGAACGCTTTCAGTCAGGGTTCTAGCACATATTAAAAAGTCTTAAAAAGCATTAAATTCTTCAATATAAAACTAAGGCTTAATTAGTATGAAAATGTCTTCTATCGGTCTTTTATGGGTCTTAAAATTGTGAGCATGTCATAAATAGGATTTTATTTGTTTAATCAGTATTAAACAGAGGATAGAAGCCTTTGCTCCGTGTTCTGACCTCTGTGTTCCTCCTCCTCACCAGCTGGGTCATTTGACCCTGGAAGATTACCAGATCTGGAGCGTAAAGAGCGCTTTGGCCAACGAGTTCCTAAACCTGCTCTTCCAGGTCGGTACCCAGCATGCTCTGACTGCACCGTAACACCCTCCTGCAGCTGCATTCACTGATGTTCCTCTGAATGTTCCAGGTTTGCCACATAGTGCTGGGCCTGAGGCCGGCCACTCCTGAGGAAGAAGGGCAGATCATCAGGTAATTAGCCCCGTTAGCTTTTCCTCCCTCTAGTCTGGGTTTGATGTCCGATCTTTATCTGCGTTTGTTTGAAGGGGCTGGTTGGAGAGGGAGAGCAGACACGGGCTGCAGCAAGGCCAGAACTGGTTCCTCATCTCCATGCTATGGTGGCAGCAGTGGAAAGACTACGTCAAATACGTGAGTCTCTAATGTCGTAGTGTTACGATATCGAAACGTGTCACCGGCTCCAAATGCACATTAAACACAGACATGAGATAAAAACCTGAAAATGTCCATGAAGTGGGTTGATTGTTTAGTGTCTGCCTGCAGGGGGTGCTTCCCTTCACAGGTTAAAATCAGCTGACTGTTCTGATACTTTCAGCCTTCCTGTTATCTGCTTGAAGTCTCACCCTCTCTAGGAGTGAAGCAGTTTCTTTTATCACAGCTTCTTATTAGGACTTTATTATAATTATTATATATAATAATTATATAATATATAATAGGACTGGACAATAAATTGCATTTTCAATTTAATCACTTTTTATTAAATTGCAATTTTTATTAAATTGAGGCCCTTAATTTTTAATCACAATACGTTTAACAAGAGTAAGACACTAAATTTCTCCCTCCAGCCCTTTAGGTGGCAGTAATAGGATTAAAGTGAATATGAGCCGCATAGAAGGGAGGACAGAGGTGCAGCTAGCACCTAGATCTATGCTTTATAGAGGAAGTAAGAACTTGTTTAACAGTAAAGTCCAGCCCTGCAGGACTCTGGACAAGCAGCCTTTAGGATCACGGAAAAATTGAAACCCTGGAGCAAAACATTAACACGCTTGGTGCGAAGCATTATTGCAATAAGATCGCAATGATGGTTAAAATAATCACAATTTCGATTTTTGGCTAAATCATTCAGCCTGAATTGTTATCATTCCTTGGACTCGATCAGCTCCCTTTACACACATCTTCTTATGACTTAAGCCGGGCGTACACTGTGCGATTTTTATTTATTTTTTCTTCAATCGTTGCACGCAACTACAGCTCTCACCGTACGATGAAACTGCAGGGTTTAAAAGTTCGCAGCTCACCATGTTTGTTCTCACACTGCGACGCTCTGATGCGATCTACCTGCTCACGCTGTACGTCTAAAAACCAGGTGGGACTCAGCTCCGCAGTGAGATGGCGCTACTCGGACTCGTCTATCTGGAAGCCAAACCAGTAGCAGAGGAACATGAAGCTCACTAGAGGGAAACGCGCTGCCTTGGATATTTGGGCAATTTAGTGCTGAAAGCCCTAAAAAGAAAAGGAGACGACGTATTTGGACAAAGACATGGCTGAGCTAACGTGGCTACTACGGTCTGTCAGTTTGACAGAAAGAACTCCATTTCACTCATTGCACCCCCCGCCATGATGCTGGGTTTATATCTGAGAGAAAGAAGAAGAAGATTCCTTGTTTGCCCACTGAGTGATTTGCCCACGACCACCTTATGACGGCCGACTGAATTTCAAACATGTTTGACCTTATGATTCCTGATGGGGGGCTGGTCGTTAGAGGCTGATCGCCCCTTGCTACCCCCTGTACACGACGCCACGCACCATCAGACTGAAAGTCAGCCTGATCGAAAGATTCTCAAACAACTGGAAAATGGGCCAGAAAATGGCAGATAATCGTAAAGTGTACGCCTGGCTTTAGTTGAAACCATTTGACACGCTGATGCTAATGTTCTGATAGCATCCAGCCACCCGGAGCTGAAATAGTTGACGGTGATGCAGGTCATTCAGAATAACTTAATTCTGCCTGCTGAGCAGATTATATCTGAATCCCACCACAACTAATTGGCGTTACTTCCTTCCATCAATGGATGCGACCTGTTAACGCTGACACAGCGGTGCGTTCACTGCTCAGAATAATGCTGCCCTGCATCATCCAGCTTCTTAGCATCCAGTTAAAAATCCTACCCTAAAATTATATAAACAATGACACATGTAGAGCGAAGGGTCATCTGCTGCATGTCAACCCAAACCAGGAAGGATTTCAGTTTCTCTGTAAAGTAACATTATTTACCCCATAAAGGGCTACAGCTCCCGCTTTATCCTCAGAAATGTGTTTCCAGCTCATTTAGCTGTTGGAGTTCCTGACATGTTTCAGTGGTTTTGTCTGAGCAGGTTTATGGTTGCATGCTTGAATATTAGCTGTGGACGTCTGGCAGCCGCCATTAACCACTCACCACTTTGGACACTGACAGGACAGTCCCCGCTGTTGTCTTCCTGTCCAGGAGCATAACGGCATCGTTGTGGAGCAGCCGTCCATCCTGAGCTTCCTCAGAGCCCCGATGGCCACAGCCACCGTGGAGCCCGCGCATCCTGACAGACCGGGGGGGCTGGGATCCTTTGGCCCCTCCAGCCCCTCAGAGGAGAAGTCCCCGGATGCTGTTTCCAGTGCCTCAGAAGCAACAGAGAACGGTCAGTGAAGCTCCTGATGAACTTTACCATCAGGAGACAAACGCTTCTGTTCTGCACGCCGTCATTCAAACCAGTTCCAGCTGGAGCCAAAGCTCTGACCCACACTGGTTAGAGCTTTGGATTAGGGGAGGGGTGGCCCAGGGGGGCATAGAGCTTGAGCCCCACTCCCACAGACTGCCACTCTTTATATTATATTTAGGTTTATAAACTAAACATGTCAGTGCCAGTATCAGCATTAATGCCTCTAAGGTTATGTTGGACCAAAAAACAATATTTCTTTCTCTGTGTTTTTCATGAATTTCTTCTAGAAGCACTTTTGTTATTTTTCTTAATATATTCGGGCAAGTTGCCGTTTATTGTTATTACATTGGCATTAATTTTTGCCATCAAAGTATCCATATTTTATTAATGTTCCAAAGATAATAAGGTCGTGTCCTGGATTCCAATAACACTATTGGATGGAAATATTTAGATTATCATGTATTTCACCCAGTGGCCTATAAAGGGTTAAATGCACAGGTAAATACGAGATCAATGACATTATTATTATTATTATTACCGGTATATGAGCTTAGTTACTATCAGTTCATGGTGGAATCATTGAGCTATCAGATAACTGACCCAGTTCTCTGTTCTAGTTCAGCTGAACTTCTTAGTTTCTCAGAATTGATGCCTGGTTAAAGGCACACCATTCACAATGAGTCCAGCCTTTGACTAGGCCACTTTAAACCTTGGTCTAGTTTCATTGGCTCATTCAGAAGAGGATTGATTGAATCATAAACTGACGGTCAGACGTTCTTCCTCTCTGCTGAGAGAAGAATTCATGCTTCCATTAAAAGTCCCCAGTGAAGCTTCCAGGCCAGTTCACTACCACCGTGTAGAACCAGACTTTGACTAGGCCGCTGCTAAGATCCAGTTAGGTTGACAGAGAGAACAGAGGTTGTGAGGTTCCCCCGGAACACCAGCTTTTCTTTAAAACGCTAAATATGTCTCCTTCCTGTAAAGAGCAGCTCGTTTTTCTCCCATTGAAACATGAATTATTTAGCTGCTGTTTCCAGATGAGCGTTATGCTTCAGTGCTGCTTTCACAGTTCTGCTGATTCAGAGCGTGTTTCAGGGTGTTTGCTGTGGTTGTTGATCTCCTATCCTCCTTTCACCCCCAGCAGCACTGAGTCCTCAGCTCGCTCCCTCAGCAGCAGAGAGCTGCTTCGCCCGTCAACACAACCTATCGGAAAACAACAATCAGTGCTTCTCTGCAGCCAACGGCCACCTGCCCTCCCAGCTGACGGCACAGAGACCCGGAGCCATCGACAACCAGTCCCTGGTCACCACCGAGCCCATAAAGGCAAGCACTCCTCTCCCATTCTACACTCGCCTCAGTGGAAGAACTGGATCAGCTGTTCGAGCAGAACCAGGCTGATGACTGATGGCTTTAGGTTCATTTGGGTCACGGAACCGATTCTCCTTCACTTCCAGCGTTTGTTTACTGATTTACAACTTTCCAAACATTTCATCAGAGATGTCCAGATATTCATCTTTATTCCTGCAGAATAAATCCTGCTGTTTAAAAAGACTTTTGGAGAAGTTAGAGGATCAACTTCAGCTTTTTACTCCAGAAAAAGAATTTTAAACTACTTAAAGTATAAAAGTAATTCAGTAAAACCTGTTAAGGTCAGAAGGTTTACTGCTCTACTCTATTAAAGGAACATTTTTCTACCATTGTGGATGATAACTTCCTTAGACTTTATTTTCTTAGTTTTATAACTAATGGTAACAGTGTCACATTTAACTTTGCATCATCTGGAAAAACTATTTATTTTGGTTTGTGGTGAGCAACAGGTTGGGGCAGCACCGAGTCCAACCACAAAGAAATTTTCTGGGTGAAATAATTTTTATTTATTTCTTAAATACCAACAGGCCAGAATGAAAATCAGCTTATATGAAACAAATCTAAGGAGGCTATTTTTAAAATCCCAGGAGTAGAAGGAAAAAGTTGTCTATAGAATAATTACTGCAGTAAAGTATAGACAACATTTCTACTTAAGTAAGGAAGTATTTATACTTTGCTTCTCTGGATTTCAGTGGATCTCATAAAGAATCTAATAAACCAACAGAAAGTAGATCATCGCTGCAAAGTGGAGCAAACATGAAACATCATTTTAAAGATCTCATTTCCCTCCCGTCCCTTTAAAGTTAGATCCAAACCAGAGGACTGCATGGATCTGATGTTTGGTAGAACACCTGTAACACATCTGCTTTGCTGAAAGGTCTCTGACTGTTTAACGTCTGCATCAGGAGTGTTTCTTCAGAGGCTGAGGGGCTGCAGCTCTGAAGGGGTCAAAGCAAAGCACGCCACACTTTTCAGATTTCCCTTTTAGCAAATTTAATTTTCACTTTCTCCGATTTTCCACAGTTTTTCCACAGTTCTCCAACATGTCTTTGCTTTAACCCTTTAAAGCCCGATCCAAGAATAAAACAAAACAGAAAATTACTTTTTTTGGTTTGAAGTCCTTATTTGGCCTTTTAACAAAATATGGAAAAAGAAAAAATAGAAATACATTTTTGATATTAATAATTTATTACTATGCGATAAGTCAATATTATTTTTTTGTGTAGTCTTCTGCCCTGTCTTATCAGGTATATCTGATTGTGTACAATAGGATTTTGAGCAAAGTTTTTACCATTAAATTATGCAAAAGGTGTCAGACGCAAAACATTTCAGAAACCGTATGTATCAAATATGATACATTTGGCATTATAGGGTTAATCAGCTTTGCTTCTTCCATGTTTGGGCTCTGAGAAGAGAAGCTGTGCTGCCTCCTCCCTGGTTTACCTTCCAGTCATTTAGGAATCATTAGTCTGCAGCGATATGGATCTAAAAAGCTGTTCCACTTTGCAGCTTGATTTGAGTTTTCTAGCAGAGATGCTGACTGAATCCCCATCTGTGTGTTTTCTGGTCTGGAAGCAGCCATTGATCTCTGGTGTTTATGGTAATAATAGAAGGCTTCCAGCTCCCCTGCAGCTCTAGCAGACCGTCTCAGGCTATCATGTGTAATCCAAAGCGACAGCAGCCTCTTTTCTCTGCTTTTTTTCTTCCATGCTTACGTGGTTGCTGTGCTCTGTCCCCCGCAGGCCCCAACGTTAACCATGGAGGGCGGTAGGCTGAGGCGCTCTCTGCAGCTGGTTCCTGGCAGAGATTTTGAGATGGTGCCAGAGCCGGTGTGGCGGGCCCTCTACCACTGGTACGGTGCCAACCTGAGCCTGCCTCGATCGGTGAGTGAACGCAGCGCAGTGGCCACTCAGATCGCAGCCCAACAGAGCAGCGAAGCAGAACCATCAGCTGACCTCTTCAGGTTCACATCCAGACAGCTTTATTAGTCCTGTTAGCTCCTCCCCTCTAACAGAAACCCAACCAAATCACATCAAACTAGATGTAGCGAATTCTGGGACTAAAACCACACGGACAGTCTGGATCTGGGGCCTTCAGAATTTTCTCTTCACATGTGAACAGAATGGATTGAAATTGTTTTAGAGGTGCCGCTCCAGGGGCCCCGTCCTATCCAGGGGCCCCGTGGATTGGGACCCGTGCATGTCGGGCTGCAGGTGTCTAAAGATTCATGACTTTATAGAAGGTCGGGCTAAAGGAACAGAGAGCAACAGCTGATGGTGGATCTCAGGGCAGAAGAAGCCGTGCTTTACTGGGGAAGGAAGGTACAAACGTTACAGGGCAGTAAGCCAAGAAGGGCCTCGGAAATAAACGTGTAGCAATGACACTGCCTTCTGGTAGAGAGGGAGGGCCATTCCACCTGAGAGGACAGGTACCAGTGATGTCATGACTCTATAGTCTGTGATGAACCTTAATGAAGCATGGGAAACAGAGTCCAACATTTGAAGACATGAAGAAGAAGCATTCTGATAAAAAAGGTGGCAGAGACGAGACGCCTTTTACTCCAAAAGAAAAACATGTCTTATTATAATAGAAGAAGCTCAGTTTAACTTTTAATTTCTTAACAAGTTTATCAATAAAAGGTTTGAAGGTGAGGGAGTCATTAATTCCAGTTCCAAGGTATTTATATTGATGTTCCATTCCAATGACATTCCCCTCCAGAGTGGACTCTACTGGAAGGGTTTGAGGAACCTTCCTATTATTAGAAAACAACATTAACTTTGTTTTGTCAGGATTAAGAAACAATTTAAGATTAATAAATGAATCCTGTGCAGCAACAAATGCTTTCTGTAGGGAATGAATAGCCTGTTGAAGAGACGACCCAAAGCAATAAATAACTCTATCATCGGCATAAAAACGCATATTAGCATCAGAGACATTTAGTTCAACATTGTTGATGTACAAGATAAATAAGAGGGGGCCCAAAACAGAGCCTTGTGGCACCCCCCTGTGAACAGTAACAGATTCAGAACAAAGCCCCTCCCATTTGATACACTGGGACCAGTTTTCTAGATAATTTGAAAACCAATCAGCCGCCTGCTCTGACAGGCTAATGAGAAGTAGCCGCGTTTTAAAATAGCAGGTCTACGATGTCAGAAGCTTTTAAAAGATCAATAAAAGGTGAAGCATAGTCCTGTTTTTATCAAGTGTTATAATTATATCATTTATCACCTTCCCAGTAGCAGTAATAGTGCTGCTGTGTTTCTTTCTGAAACCTGATTGATATTTAGAAAGAATTTAATTTAAACAGAGGAACTCTTTCAATTGATCATAAACAAGAGATCCAGAATTTTAGATAAAACATATAAATTAGAAATTTGCCTATAATTGTTAAGAACTGATGGATCGCCTCATTTTAATAAAGGAAGGACGAATACTGATTTCCAAATAGACGGGATGTCTTTGTTTTCAGTTGAAAGATTAAACAGAATGAACGGCGGCTCTGCTATGAAACCAGCTGCCAGTTTTAGGAAGTGAGGCTCAGTCCAGTCAGGTTGGGGGGGCTTTCTGGGCTTGGGTTTCTCCGCTGCCATAACTTTCCTCTTCTGCAGGTCATCCTGGAAAGCAAGACAGGTCAAGCAGAGCTGGAGCTCTTCCCCCGCTACCTCCTCTTCCTCCGCCAGCAGCCGGCCACGCGCTCCCCCCAGTCCAACATCTGGGTCAATATGGGTATGACCAGCCTGCGAATGTTCCCACCGTATTTGCCCCCACCCAGAGGTAACGTAAGCCTGCAGCAAGAACCCAGCTAGCCGTCGATCACTGCTTCTTGAACAATCCCGCATCTCCCTCCGTTAATCTCCCTTGTGTGGACTGATCCACTCTGGAGTGGGCGGGCGGGGGGACCAGTAGCCCTGGAGAAGCTAATCATTATGGAAGCTGTAGTTTTTCCTGCCTTCACAGCTTTGTGTTGTTTGCCTGTGAAAGAAAACGAGAAAAGGTTTAGTGAATATTGTTTAAAGGTCTGATTGGACCCGACTTCCGTTTATAAGCAGAATGTCTGCAGAGGCCATTCCCCCTCCTTTAGTTTACTACATGTCTGAGAAAAGCCATGACTTTAAGGAAAAGGATGCTGGTTTTTAAAGCTGCCCTTCCTGTTATCACTGAAAGGTTCCAGCGTTTGGCTTCATTCTTGGTCAGCATCATGGCCTACCTGACTGTAGCAGAGAGCAGTCTATGTAGAAAGGGTTGGACCGAGTGGCAGGAAGGCTACCAAGTCCAGACTGTCCCCATCAGGTCAAAGGTCAGCTGTTTGATAAGGACTGAACTGAGCAGGGAACATGAAGCAGGCTGCAGCGGGTTGGTCCATCTCAGCCTCCTTCCTCTTTCCCTTCACCTCCGGTTTCATTTCTCATCCCTCCACCCTAATCTGCTTGGGGAAGCTCAGGGTGACCTCACCGCTCCTATTAATCATGTCAACAGATCGGGTTTCTGCCTCCACTTTCCCTCATGCTGTCATCAGCTCCCGGCCCCCTGGGGAGCAGCATCCAGCCCTGGCCTGATGATGCTCAGGCTGGAAGAGCAAAGCTGTGAAGGAGGGAATGAAACTAGCGCTGAAGAACCACATAACAGGACTAATTGATTGTTTGATTTCAGAGTCCAGAATTTGCCAGGTTGATTCACTGATTATCTGACCAATCATGCCTGCACTGATTGACCAATCGGTCCCTTTCTTGCTGCTTTCTTACAACTAATCCTCAATCAGCTGATGGCTGTTGTGAGCTTGTTCTGCTTCTCCTTTGCTGCCGTCCAGCGAGGTTTCCTCCTGATCAGATCCGTGTTTTTTCCTTCCAGGAAACGTTCCTTCTCCAAACGCTCCCCTCAAGAGGATGCTGGCTTACACCGGCTGCTTCAGCCGCATGGGCACCATCAAGGACATCCACCTGTACCTGTCTCAGCGGCTCCGCATCAAGGAGGAGGACATGAGGCTGTGGCTCTACAACAGTGAGGTGAGCGACCACCAGGGGGCGGATGGTAGCTTTCCTTATAAGGAAACGATCGTGGATCTGTGGGTCAGTTATGATTATAACGGATCTCAGATCAATTGGTTGAGCAACTAAATAAAGAAAATCAGGTTAATTAGAGACAGAAACATTTAAAATGACTCCGATTAGTTCACTGCTAAAGCCCCCGTCACAGCCTGATCATTTAGACCAGCGTACCTGACATAGAAAAACTCTGGCAAAAACTCTGGCATACATTGGATAAGTTATGGATACGCTGAAACACGCCAACTTACCTCGAGAGATTTTGAGCATGCTCCAAATGTCCCGCCCTATGCCAGCGTCTGCGATCCGTGGTCCATCAGTTCCAGGTCAGTTATCTGATGGTCGACATCCGTTCAGTGTCAGTTCCTCATCAGTCGAGTAACTTCTGCGTAACTTATCCAGAACTTCTCTACTGTATAATGGCGTATTGGCAGCGTTTGGTATAAAGGGGGAGGAAACCGTCAGTTCTCCTCCAGACTTATCCATATGACAACATCCATATGATGTGAATTTCTAGAATTTTCTTTGGGATTCTGTCTCACTGTTAGAATGTACATATGATTAAAATTATAGATCATTGCATTCTTTGGAAGTGGGAAAACCTGCAAAATCAGCAAGGGGTCAAATACTTATTTCCCCCACTGTAGGTTAATACCGCGATCAAATAAATATTTGTCTGCAGACCAGGCACCTCCGAGCGCCTCCTGCCCCCCTCAGGACGCTGTGCATCATTTCCTGGGCATCACACTGCCGTGCGTTATGCAGAAGTTAGGCCGTCGTTGGACAGAAGTTCTGGACTCGTTATGAATCCTCTGTTTACGCTCAGAATAGAAAGAATCCATAGAAAGTTCAGCGTCTGCCAGAGTTTAGGAGATTCTGGAACTTCAGGCAGAATGGCGTTGGTCAGTCAGTTATTTAATGTTTGTCCTTCAGAACTACCTCACCCTGCTGGATGATGAAGACCACACACTGGAGAGTCTGAAGATCCATGATGAGCAGCAGCTGGTTATTGAGGGTATGAGAGCTTCTCCAGATCATCCGTCCATCTGCTGCCGGTGGTCAGTAACCATGTCATCTCTCTGCTCCCCCCTCCACAGTGAGAAACAAAGACATGAGCTGGCCGGAGGAGATGTCCTTCATCGCCAACAGCAGTAAAATGGACCGACACAAAGGTCAGTTAATGTGAGGAGCTCTGACTGGGTCTGCTGGGGTGGATGCTGGATCAGCTGCAGCTGTTTCCTATTGTCCAAACCTCAGACTGCTTCTGCTTCAGTCACATTCTGAGGTCACAGCTTCAGGTGTTATGAGTTGAACTTCAGGTTCTCCAGAATCTTTACTGACCTCCATGATGGCGTCAGAGGGCCAGTTGGAACCAGTGGAGCGCCTCTTCCAGTTAGTGTCCACCAGCAGAGACCCACAGCCTGCACTCTGTCAGCATCTGTAGAGCAGATGCAAAGTGTGAGCTGGTTGTCTGGGAAACGGGCAGGAGGGGGAGGGGCTTCTTCTCCACTTCTGAATGAAGGATGCAACAAAAATTAAATATCAGTTCATTTATGTTCAGCTAAGTGTATTTGATGTTGGTTTGAGAGGGAGAGGCCATCTGCTAAATGGAATCAGATGATTCATGATTAAAAAATAAAACAATTATATAGATGTTTGATTTATGTTTAAACAATAAAAAATGTCTTGTTTGAAGTGCGTAATATCTAATTATCTCAGGGATTCAGTTCTTCAAATGAAAGACTTTTTAAAGATTTTTTTATACGTTTTTAGATCGTTTTTTGAAATGATAACCAATAAGGTTTTAGGTTAATTTTGAAGTGAATCATATTTGTAGCTTCTAAGCTTTTGATCTGAAAACGTTACTAATTAAAGTTGATTAATTTCCCGGGATGAAGTTAAACTCTTTGGTTGCTGCATTATTGGGGAACCAAACATGTTTGTCTCTTATATCATTAGATGATAATTAGATTAAAGTTAAATTTTGTTTCCTAGTTCCCACTGAGAAAGGTGCGACCGGCCTCAGTAACCTTGGCAACACGTGCTTCATGAACTCCAGCATTCAGTGCGTGAGCAACACCAAGCCGCTGTCCGACTACTTCCTTTCAGGACGACACCTCTACGAGCTCAACAGGTGATCTTATGGCGGCCCTCAGCTTGGTCCAGCGTTTCCATCCTGCTCACTGTCTCCCGTTTCCCTCCCAGGACCAACCCCATCGGGATGAGGGGCCACATGGCCAAGTGTTACGGAGACCTGGTGATGGAGCTGTGGAGCGGGACGCAGAAGAGCGTAGCGCCACTCAAACTCAGGGTGAAGTTCCCTTCCAATCTGCCTGGCCTCAGCACGCCGGCCCTCCTGCTGGCGTTGGCTGCTGGCTGCGCCGTTTTCTGTTTCCTTCAATTAAAGCAAAGTGATAATTAACCACATTAATTACCTGCTTTCTCCTCAGTGGACGATAGCGAAGTACGCCCCGCGTTTCAACGGCTTCCAGCAGCAGGACTCCCAGGAGCTGCTGGCGTTCCTCCTCGACGGCCTCCATGAAGATCTGAACCGGGTCCATGAGAAGCCTTATGTGGAGCTGAAGGACAGCGACGGACGGCCCGACTGGGAGGTGGCTTCTGAGGTCTGACACACAGCAGATGATTTTAACCTCCTAACTGAACTAAACCCACAATTTATCTGTGAATTTAGACTTTAGGGCAGGATTATCATCTCAGACAGGGGCGGATTTAGGAAATTTGGGGCCCTAGGCAAGAACAGGCAGGGGAAAACACGTGAAACAGCCCCGTTCTACAGATAGAGAAATGTTAATAGAATAGACATCCATTATCTGTTCTAGGTTGTGTCCCTCTCTTCTTGTCCCTTTTCTTCTTGTTTTCCTCTCTATGTTTTGTACTCAGCTGACTTTTCATGCTGTCTCTAAAGGAATGAAAGATTTTTTCCAAGCACTAAGCTCACTTAGCTGATTGCTCCTTCCTGTGTTTCCAAAAAGGCCAAAGTAAATAACCCAGTCCTTCTTTTCACTGTAGACAAGCCACGATCTGCTTATCTGTTCTCCATTTTTCATTTGGATGAAATAATAGCTGCATGAATCATGACAGCAGACAAGATAGAGGAGAGCAGGAGGCGGGGTTACCAATCTACTCGCTCTGGAGAGCAGAGTTCGCTGCTTTTAGATGTTGTCTCCAAAGTCTCCAGTAGCAGAAAAAAGTCTCTAGATTTGGCGCTAGGAGCTTTTTAGAAATCAAAGTGCTAGAGGGGTCTGAAAAGTGGCTAAATATAGCGACTAAAGCGCTAAGTTGGCAACACTGCTCTTTGCATGGTTTGTTTTCAAATGGTTTGCTGCTGTCTGTTTGGACCTTTCTGAACATGTGCAGCAAATGGACTGATCCAATATGGTGGACACTGAAGGGGGGGGGGCTGAGACACACTTAATATTATCAGCGTTCTGATGGCATTTTAGCCAAAGGATTTTTATCAAAAACATAATTAATGTGCACAAATAAGGAATAGTTGTATTAACCATACAGGAAAACACAGTTTTATGGGGCCCCCAGGAACTTGGGGCCCTAGGCATCTAGTTTTTTCCTAATGGTAAATCCGCCCACTGACCTCAGAGAAGCAGAAGAAGAAAAAGGCCAATTGATCAAACCAATGTTTTCATGGTGGGAGAGCAGAAGACGTCATCATATCCGATGAAACGCGCTAATGTGTCCAGACTTGGTTTCTGCCTCTGATATAAACTACTGGGGTTGTTGGGTCTATTCCCAATATTTCCTTACTAAGTGTCTCACTCAGAGGTGTTTTATTAAAAATAATTAAATGAATACAGTTACTGATAAAGTTAGAATGAATATATAAAAAAATATTCTCATTAAATAATTTTTTTGCTTTATTTTCTAAAAGATCTTTTTTTTTTATCTCTGATACATTGTATCAATTTATGAATTAGTTTTATTTATAATGGATGTTTTTGCTGTTTTAGGTCTTTCAAGGACTTTAACCGTTTTCTTTGTTTCAGGCTGTTTTTAGCCGTATTTGGTGTGTTAGCTAATGCTAGTTAGCTCCGTTACACTGGATCAATCCTCCTTATTCGTTCCGTTTATTTTCCAGCTAATGATTAAAATTGCTGCATCATAAAGTTCAAATCCTAAAATAAATGTGTTTAAATCAAATAAATAACATCTTTAAGTAAAGAAGTAAAACTATGAGAGGTTGCAGACCCCTGATAACGGCGCTGCTGCTCCCTGGTGTTTGGAGGGGAAATGAACATGATCATGTGAGCCACCAGGGGGCAGTAGAGGGCAGTGGTTTAAGAAGTGAATGTGAGGGCAGACATGCAGGAGGAAAAGAGACCAGATTTAAATCAATGAATTTCAAAACATGAAAATAGAGGAACAGATTTGAACTAAGATGGAAGATTTTTAAAGATGGCAGCATTTAAATTCACCTTCTGTCTCTTGTGCGTCCTGCAGGCCTGGGAGAACCACCTGCGCAGGAACCGCTCCATTGTGGTGGATCTGTTCCACGGTCAGCTCAAGTCGCAGGTGAAGTGTAAAACCTGCGGCCACATCAGCGCCCGCTTTGACCCCTTCAACTTCCTGTCTCTGCCTCTGCCCATGGACAGCTCCATGCATCTGGAGATCACAGGTGTGTACGCTGCAGGGCGGGGCTCCCGTCGGGTGGAAGGACCGCATTAACGCGTGTTGTTGTTTCTGCAGTCATTAAACTGGACGGCTCCACGCCGGTGCGCTACGGTCTGAGGCTGAACATGGATGAGAAGTACACGGGGCTGAAGAAGCTGCTGAGCGAGCTGTGCGTCCTGAAGCCCGAGCAGATCCTCCTGGCTGAGGTCCACGCTTCCAACATCAAGGTATGCTCACACGGTGGCAGCCGCTCGCCGCCTCCGGCTCTAGCTCCGCAGTCTGACATGGACCGTCTGTGTTCAGAACTTCCCTCAGGACAACCAGAAGGTCCGTCTCTCTGTCAACGGCTTCCTGTGTGCGTTTGAGGTGCCGGTTCCAGGTTCGCCAACATCTCTGAGCTCCCCGACGCTCACAGGTTAGCCCCCCCGCCAACGCTGCGCTCTTTCTTCACTGGGCGTCTGCATCATCATCATCATCGTACGTTTCCTTCTCTCCTCTGATCAGACGTCACGCCAACGGTCAACGACTCTCCTGCTAATGGGCACCTAATCCCTAACGGGGGGCCTGGCACGGCGGTGGCCAGCAGCCCAGAGACGCCGCTGGTCAACGGCGTTGGCAACGGACACATCACACCTGTGCAGGAGAGCCCCTTCATCGGGTACATCATCGCCATGCACAGGAAGATGGTGAGAATTCTCCGGAAGCAGGCCGGTTTTAGAAGAGGTGTCCAGACGTGTAAACGTGCCACACGCGTGTTTGTGTCTCTGCAGATGCGTACGGAGCTCTACTTCCTGTCGTCTCAGAAGAACCGGCCCAGTCTGTTTGGAATGCCTCTCATCGTTCCCTGCACGGTCCACACCAGTAAGAAGGACCTGTATGACGCAGTGTGGATCCAGGTGTCCCGCCTGGCCAGCCCGCTGCCCCCGCAGGAGGCCAGCAACCACGCCCAGGACTGGTAATCACCCGGACTACGCCCTTTTTAGGCTGCCGAGGCACGCGGCGTCCGACGGAGACCTTCGGTCAACGTTGATTAGAAACTGAAGTGTCTCCTGATCGCAGCTGTTAATCTAAAGGAGAAATAATCTAAAGCTGCGTGCTGAACATTTTTATGGATTATGGAGATTATCTTAAATCAGGGAAAGAATTTAATGAGACTTTAGGCCTCCGTCACACCTGCCTGATTTCTCCAGCGTCTGCCTGACGTCCCAGATTCTCCTAAACTCTGGCAGATGCTGAACTTTCTATGGATCTTTTCTATTCTCGGCGTAAACATAGAGGATTCATAACGAGTCCAGAACTTCTGTCCAACGACGGCCTAACTGCTGCATAATGTACGGCAGCGTAATGCCCAGGAAATGATGCACAGAGTCCTGGGGGGGCAGGAGGTACCCGGTTTGCAGAAAAAGATTTATTTGATTGCGGTATTAACGTAGCTGCTGTTAAACGCCCGGCAGAGAAAAAACAAAGATGAATATAAACAAAGAAAGCAGGTTTCTGGTGTCAGCAGATTGAGCGTCATGTCTGCTAGGAAGTGTGTTGGTGGTGGGCGTGAACGCAGGGAGGATCCATCACTCACCTTCTGGCTCACCCTATGATGGGGATGAAGTCTGGAGGAGAACTGACGGTTTCCTCCTGTGAACCCCCTTTATACCAAAACGCTGCCAATACGCCATTATACAGTAGCTGGAAGGTAGAAACACGTTCAGCGCTCGTCTGGAACACGGCAGATACGCTGATATGTTGGAGAGAAGTTCTGGATAAGTTACGCAGAAGTTACTCAGAGGTTTAGGATCAGCTAGACGCCACGACTGATGAGGAACTGACACTGAACGGATGGCAGCCATCAGATAACTGACCTGGAACTGATGGACCACGGATGGCAGACGGTGGAATACGGCGGGAATCATATGGCGACGTGTTTCAGCGAACCCGAAACGTATCCAACGTATGTCAGCGTTTTTACCAGATTATCTATTCAATTCAATTTCAATTCAGTTTATTTATATAGCGCCAAATTCACAACACATGTCATCTCAAGGCACTTTACAGTTCAACCAGATCATACAGTCAAATTGATACAAAGTTTTCTATCTAAGGAAAACCAGTTGATTGCATTGACTCATTGACTCAAATACAATCCCCCACACTAAGCATGCTTGTAGCGACAGTGGAGAGGAAAAACTCCCTTTTAACAGGAAGAAACCTCCAGCAGAACCAGGCTCAGTGTGAGCGGCCATCTGCCGAGGCCGACTGGGGTTCAAGGAGACAGAAGCAGAGATACAAAAAGCAGCTGTAAAAGGCGGCCCCGTCCAGGAAACACACAGCCAGGCAGACAAGCTCCAAGGCAGCTCCCATGCCAGAGGACGAAGAGAGCACATCCACTCAGTCACGGTCAGAGAAACAGGACCACACTGGAAAACAGGCCGATCTCCAACATCTATTAAGTCTGTACATCAGACATACGCTGGTCTAAATCAACAAGGTGTGACAGCAGCTTTATTGCCTTTTATTCTGTCTCTGATTTCCACCTGTATTTATTTTTAGCTTCATGATGTTAACCTCTAGAAAAAGCTGAATAATTAACCAGGATTAACTGACCCACTGAAGGCTTCAAGAAAAAGTTAATTAACACCAAAACTATTTAATGATTCACTGAAGGTAGAAGCATAAAGTCCTGAGATCCGCCTGCAGCTCCTCTCTCCTGAAGTAGAGATGTTCATGAAGCAGCAACTGTATTAATACTGTGTTACTGAATGCTGCCACCTGCTGGACATTTAAAATCACTACAGACTAACTGGGGGGCCTTAAGGGCTGGTTATTCTCCCTGACGCAGACATTTTTGATTATTGCTCAATATTGCAGCGTGATCTGTGCTACACTCTGTGGGTCTAGATACCGGCGAGGCGGAGAGGAAGTGGGGGCGAGTTTGTGCGACAACTGAGGGACATGAGGGCTAAAAAGAGCAGAGATCCAGGTGGGAAAAGGGTCCCAGCGTTCTCGCGCACCTCGCTCTTCTAGCGGGTCAAACTTCACGAGTTGTTTTCTGCAATTTCGGTCATAAAAACAAAACAAGCCGGCCTCCTGTCTGCTGTCACCTACAATTTAGGAGAGGAGCAGCGGAGCGTCTGTGGAGAGGGGGGGGACGTCTTTTTGTTCACTGCGACACCTACGCAGACGACCTAGTTTCAAAGTATAAATCAGCCTATAGTCCTCGACGTGGCCGACCTGGGTTTGAATCTGACCTTTGGTCCTTTCCCGCATGTTTCTCCCCCTCTCTCCTATCCTATCACCTTTCCTGTCAGCCTACTGTCCATAAAACGAGCCACTAGTGCTGAAAAAACAAAAAAAAAAGGTGCAGCCCATTGTTGTCCTGGTCAAACCATTTTATGTTGGGGTGGGGGGAGTTCTAATGGCCCCTTACTTAAAAAACATATTACATATACATAATGCACACATATATATATATATATATATGTATATATATATGTATATATATATATATATATATATATATATATATATATATATATATATATATATATATATATATATATATATATGTATATGTATATGTATATGTATATATATATATATATGTATATGTATATATATATATATATATATATATATATATATATATATATATATATATATATTTTTTTTTTTTTTTTTAGTTACTGTAATATTAAATATTTTTATAACAAATATATTCTGAAGAATTACTTCTGCCTGTATCTTTAATGGTCAGAGTGTGACCATGGGTCCCTGTCGGTGGGAGTGACCGTCAGGAACCCTTTGAATGAAGCAGGAATGTTTTTAGCTCCAGGCGTCCCTCAGGGTTGGTTTAGTCAGAACGGAGGCGGCTTCTGTTCCTCATGGCGCTCCTCTCCCTCTCTACCTTGCAGCGATGACAGCATGGGTTACCAGTACCCCTTCACCCTCCGGGTCGTGGGGAAGGATGGCAATTCGTGTGCCTGGTGTCCCTGGTACAGGTAAGGCTGGACCTCTGCCTCGGGCTCAGCATCCCTCAGGGTCCGTCACTCCTCTGTCTGTCTTCCAGGTTCTGTAGAGGCTGCACTGTTGAGTGTACAGAGGACAGAGCTTCTGTAGGGAACGCCTACATCGCTGTGGACTGGGACCCCACCGCCCTGCACCTCCGCTACCAGACCTCCCAGGAGAGGGTAAGATGCTGGCTGTTACTGGGAGCGCTACAGAGGAAAGTCCTGCAGATTTCTGCAGGTTTCCTTCAATGATAATATCTAAACCACTGGCTATACCTCCTGGCTCCTCATCTCATAGCTGGTTCTGTTAGCCTTAGCATCACAGCTGGTGGTGGCTCTTCATCATCATCATCATCATCCCTCTCCTTTGCAGGAAGGTTTTAATTTAAAGTGACCCTGCAGCATCTGAATTATTATATTTATTTTATTTACAGCTTTTATTGTCATTACAGAATAGCAAGAAGTTCCCTCTGCCTTTAACCCCTCCCCTGGGAAGCAGTGGGCTGCCATTGTGCGGCGCCCGGGGAGCAGTGTGGGGTTCAGGGTCTTGCTCAGGAAACTAGACTGGCAGTCTGTGGGAGTTGGACTTGAACTAAGAACCTCAGGATTCCAAGCTTTACGCCCTAACCGCTAGGCCACCCCCCTGAATCAAATTTCTTTTTCTTTTCTTTTTTTTTTAGATCAGATTTTCTTATTAGTTTTAGGTCCAGAGTTTGTTTTTCTGGGTCATTCAGAGGGGGCCTGCAGAATCCAGCACTGATGGAACCAGGTCTGTAATTAAAGCCAGCCCACACCATCATACCACCACCACCATGTCTCCTCTGCTCCTCTTAAGGCTTTAGGAATCCAAATGACTTATACGTCCAGAAGTGTGTGAGAAGAGGACTGGTTAATAATAAAATCTGCAACATCTAATGTCCATTTAGGATTAATGAAGTAATTCTGAATTGAACTGATCTTGATGCTGGTGACGATTCTCAGTCATCCAGGTCAGAATCATTCTAAAAAAGTTAAATTCAATCCCCTGGACTTTGTTTCCAAATTTAAAGCCGTTTCTCCTCCATCCAGGAGCTTCTCAACTTCCACCACCATGCAGGGGACTAAAACATGGTCTGATCAGCCAGGCCAACAATGACTATAATGACTCCCTTTCAGAGGCATAGGCCAGTTTTCGGGTTTTGCAGACCAACAAAGATCTTAACAACCCCCATTCCAAAGGGGGGGACCCGTTCTTCTGGTTCTATTTGCATGTTTTCTAAACTAAAACCAGGCTTTGTTGAGCTGCTGGATAAAACCTGGAACTAAACGCTATTTCTGACATTTTGAATTGAAAAATCTTCCTGGATGGAAGAGAAACGTCTTCAAGCGGTGGATTGTTTTTTATACTTTTATTCCTTTTTTGGATTGACCTTTACCCTGTGGCTGAGTGTAGGCCTGCAGCAGCTGACACTGCGCCCTCTCTGCAGATCGTGGAGGAGCACTGCAGCGTGGAGCAGTCCCGCCGCGCTCAGGCTGAGCCCATCAGCCTGGACAGCTGCCTGAAGGCCTTCACCAGTGAGGAGGAGCTGGGGGAGGACGAGCTCTACTACTGCTCAAAGTGTAAGACCCACCGACTGGCCACCAAGAAGCTGGACCTCTGGAGGCTGCCGCCGATCCTGGTGAGTCCTTCCTGCGCCCTGGATGTCTGCTTTCCCCTTCTCACTGCAGCCGTCTGTGATCAGAGACAGAACAGCTCATCTGCCCTGTTGGTTTCCTTCAGATTGTTCACCTGAAGCGCTTCCAGTTCGTAAACGGCCGCTGGATAAAGTCGCAGAAAATTGTCAAATTCCCTCGGGAGAAGTTTGACCCCAGCGCCTTCCTGGCTCCAAGGGACCTGGAGCACCGCTGCCTCCAATCCCGCAGCGAGAGCGAGGACCTGCTGAGGGTCGGAGAAGACAACCTGTCATCCATCTCTGCTCCAGCTGGCTTCTGCAACCTGCCCAAAGGTACCAGTAGCAGCAGATCAGTGTCTCTGCAGAGGGAAGCTCGTTTTCCAGCGCTGTGTCCAGCTGCAGGAGGCCTGATGCACGAATGGCTGCATAGGGGTTGATGCGTCACAAATGTCTCCATCATGGATGACAGACAGAGCTGCAGCAGTTTAAACCCTCCTCTTGGTGATGACCTTCAACCGTAGACGAGTTCGTATGGAGTTAGATCTGTCTCAGTTTTCACAAATACACATATTAGATCCACACACGCACAGCAAGATTCATGCAAACACAAGATCCACACATGCACCAAGCAAAGCCTCCATCCTCTGCTGTTCCTCCCGTCCTGCTCCGAGCATGACCTATATGATTGTTTAATTCAAACATGCGCTAATGAACGCCTAATTTAATATGACATTAAATCATTAAATCGCAGCATCAATCACACACGTTTCTGCCCAAACATTTTCTATTTGTTGTGGGTCTTATTAACAGGAATAATAATCATACAAAATCGGTTTGTTCTCTGCTTCCAAACTCAGCATCTCTTCATCCATGCCCACCATAAGAACTTTGTTTAGAAATTGTCAGATTGTCTCAGTTGTGACTGGATTTAATTAAACTTTTAAGCCTCTCTCTATGAAATAGTTATTTTGATGGAGATGAGAAATCTGCTTCCTGGTTTGTTAATGTACCAATAGTTTGTGTCCAATCTTTTAATTAAACAGTGTTAGTTTTGGGGAATATATAAGATTTATGCTCTAATTTGTAGTTACCGATCTGTCCATACCATATTTAATTTGACAAACTGGATCTTCTCGATGTTCTTTTTCCTGTTTGGTGCGATTGCACCCGGCCGGACCGGAGTGGAGCTCGGCTCCTGATTTTGACGGTGAAGTTCGGAGGTGTAGCGGTGGATACGGTAACCGTTCTCATTCATTAAAACGAATGTGCAAGTGCTCCGCACCACGTACCTGAGCGGGGCGGATACAGAGGAGGTGGGATCTGGGTCATCCCACGTAAAGAACTTTCTTATGATTGCCGTATAAAAGGGAGCTCTGTGATTGGTGGCAAACCATCCTTGCTTAAAAAACACATTTGTGTTTGAGTCTCTAAAATCCAACTACAAACGCAGTGAAGTTTAAAGGCCGCTGGTACTTTGTGATTTATAATTGTTTATGGACCAGAAATACTCTGAGTCTTCCTGGTCATGTATGAATCAGAGATGTGGATTGGTGGAAATTGAGTTTGCAGCTCATTAAATTATTTCTTATCCTAAAGCAAACGACAAATACACAAAAATAAAATAAAATAAATGAGGTGTTAAGAAGCTTATCTGTTGGTCTAAATTTTCCTGCTTCTAGAGGTGCTACTTTACGTTGTCACTTATTTTAGTCGCTGTATTCTTGGTTCCAGGCAGCGACGTGCAGATTTCCTCCTGTGCTGTGGGCACCATACCACCATGTCAGATATTAAGATTTTAGATTAGATTTATAGACACCATCTAATTAGAGATTATTTCTAATGTAAGCTCAGTTTAGTTCCTCTTTTGGTCTCAACTAGGTTTTGTTTCCTGTGTTAGATCTCTGCTTCCTGAACGACGAGCTGTCGGGTCACTTCATTCTCCTCACTGTTGTTTACAGGCGCTAATGGTAATTGGTAGGATAGGACATAGATAGGAACATAGATAGGACGTAGATAGGACGTAGATAGGAACATAGATAGGAACATAGATAGGAACATAGATGGGACGTAGATAGGGACATAGATAGGAACATAGATGGGAGGTAGATAGGGACATAGATAGGAACATAGATGGGACAGGTGGCCGAGAGAACACCTTTACCAAAACGAAATTAGGAAACTCGGATTAATGCAAAATTGACATTGAAATAAATCATAAAAAAATTGGATCACAAAGGAGAGATTGTCTCCAGCGGGTAAATAGCACTCATAGTTGACTAGCAGCCGGTAATTGACTAGCAGCCTTAGTCGACTAGCAGCCATAGTTGACTAGAAACCGGTAGTTGACTAGAAGCCATAGTTGACTAGCAGCCGGTAATTGACTAGCAGCCGGTAGTGGACTAGCAGCCATAGTTGACTAGCAGCCGGTAGTGGACTAGCAGCCGGTAGTTGACTAGAAGCCGGTAGTTGACTAGCAGCCGGTAGTCAACTAGCAGCCGGTAGGTGACTAGCAGCCGGTAGGTGACTAGCAGCCGGTAGTTGACTAGCAGCCGGTAGTGGACTAGCAGCCGGTAGTTGACTAGCAGCCGGTAGTTGACTAGCAGCCGGTATGGACCCACAAACCGGAGTGGGAAATAAGGGAGGGCCCGGGAGTGGAAAAGCACCGGGAGTGGACCCACAGCCGGGAGTTGACAGCACCGGGAGTGGGGCTGGCAGCCCTAAAATGGACTGGGGCCGGTATGGACTAGGGACCGGGGAATTGAATAGCAGCCTTAGTCGACAGCACCAAGTCGACTAGCAGCCCTAGTCGACCCAAAAAAACCCGGGAGTTGACTAGAAGCCCCTAGTTGACTACAGCCGGGAATTGCCCAGCAGCCGTAGTCAACTCCAGCCATAGTTGACTAAAAACAGCCGGGGGGAGGGGACTAGCAGCCCCGGGAGTTGACTAGCACCGGGGTTTTTGACCCAGCAGCCGGGAGATACTAAAGCCGGTAGTGGACTTTGCAAACCCCCCTAGTGGACTAGGCAAACCGGGAGGGGACAAACAGCCGGTTTGGTGACTAGCCCGCCGGGAGGGTACTACACCGGTAGTGGACTAGGCCCGCCGGGAGTGGGGGAAAAAAGCACCGGGAGTGGGCAGAAGCCGGGAGGTTTACTAAAAGCCGGTAGTTGACTAGAAAAAACCCCCCCTAGTTGACTTTTAAAACCATAGTTTACTAGCACCGGTAAAATTTACTAAAGCCCTAGTTTGACTAGCCCGCCGGGAATTGACTAAACCATAGTTTACTAGCAGCCGGGAGTGACTCCAGCCGGGAGGGGGGACTAGCACCGGTAGGGACTAGCAGCCCCTAGTTTGACTAGCCCGCCGGGAGTTACTAGAAAACCCCCGGGAGTTGAAATAAAGCCGGTTGTTGCTAGCCCGCCGTTTGTTTACTAGAAGCCGGTTTTGACTAGCAGCCCCGGGAATTGACTAAACGCCGTGTCAACAGCAGCCATAGTTTACTAGCAGGGCCGGTATGGAAAATAGCAGCCGGGAGTTACCTTTGCAGCCGGTGTTGACTAGCAACCCGGGTTTTTGGGCTAAAAAACCCCCGGAAATGGACAGCGGGGCCGGGTAGTGGACTAGCAGCCGGTAGGTGACCCAGCAGCCCGGGAGGTGGGCTACAGCCGGTAGGGGACTAGCAGCCCGGGAGTGGGGCAGCACCGGGAGTTTACAGCAGCCGGGAGGGAACCCAGCAAACCGGGAGTGGGCTAGCAGCCCCGGGAGTGGAACCCAGCACCGGTAGTGGGCTACAGCCGGGAGTTTGACTAGCAGCCGTAAATTACCCGGCAAGCCGGTAGTGGACTGGCAGCCGGTAGTGGACTGGCAGCCGGTAGTGGACTAGCAGCCGGTAATTGACTAGCAGCCTTAGTCGACTAGCGCCCCTATCGACAAACAGCCCAAAAAGCACTAGAAAAACCCTAGTTGACTAGAAGCCATAGTTTACTAGCAGGGCCCTAAAATTTCCCACCCGCCGAATTTAACTAGCAAGCCATAGTTTTATAGCAGCCGGTAGTGGACTACACCCCCGGGAGTTTGACAAACAGGGCCGGTTTTTTTTTTTTAGCAGCCGGTAGATGACTAGAACCGGTAGGGGGACTAGCACCCGGGAGTGGAAATAGCAGCCGGTAGGGGACAAAGCAGCCCTAGGTGACCCAGCAGCCCCTTTGGAAACTACAGCCGGGAGTGGACTAGCACCGGGAGTGGGCTAGCAGCCGGAAAGGACTAAACACCGGTATGGACTAGCACCGGAAGGGGGCTAGCAGCCCAGGGGACTAGCAGCCGGGGAGTGGACTAGCAGCCGGTAGTGGGCTAGCAGCCCCTATCGACTAGCCCCCGTAGTCCCACTAGCAGCCGGTAGTTGACTAGAAAACCCCGGAGGGGGGGAACCCAGCACCCGGGAGTTAAATAGAAACCGTTAAATTGACTAGAACCAAAAGTTTACAGCAGCCGGTAAATTTACTAGCACCGGTTTAAATTTACTACACCCCTATCGACTAGCAGCCATTTGTTGACTAGCAAACCCCCTTTTGGTTGGGCTACAGCCGGTATTTGGAAAAAATAGCAGCCGGTAGTGGGGCTAGCCCGCCTAGTCGGGCTAGCAGCCCGGAAATCCCACTAGCAGCCAAGGGCGACACAGCCGGTAGTCGACTAGGGAACCGGTAAAATGACTACAGCCGGTAGTTTTACTAGAAACCGGGTTTTGGGGACTAGAAGCCATAGTTTTACTAGCACCGGTTTAAATTTACCCAGCAGCCGGTAATTTTAAATAGCACCGTTAAATTACTAGCCCGGCCCTAGGTCCCACTAGCAGCCGTAGTTTGACTAGCAGGGCCGGGAGGTGACTAACAGCCGGGTAGGGGGGCTACACCGTAGGGGACAAACACCGGAAAATGGACTAGCTGGCCGGTAGGGGACTAGCAGCCGGTAGTGGACTAGCAGCCGGTAGGTGACTAGCAGCCGGTTTGTGGGACTAGCAGCCGTTAATTGACTACAGCCGGTAGGGGACCCAGCAGCCGGGAAAGGGGACTAACAGCCGGTATGTGACTAGCAGCCTTTATTGGGCTAGCAGCCGGTAGGTGAAATAGCAGCCCCCGGGAGGGACAAACCGCCGGTTTAATTGGGGCTACAGCCGGGAAGTGGGCTACAGCCGGTAGGGGACTAGCAGGGCCGGGAGTTTGACTACAGCCCGGGAGTTGACTAGCACCGGTATGGACTAGCACCCGGGGAAATGGGGCAAACAGGGCCCCTTGTCGACAGGGACCGTAGTCCCACTACAGGGCCGGGAGTCCCACTAGAACCGGTAGGTGACTACAGCCGGGAGTTGACTAAAACCCGGGGGGGGGACCTAAAGCCATAGTTGACTAGGGAGCCGGTAATTGACTACAGCCCCAAATTTACTAGCCCCGCCCCTAGTCCCACTAGCAACCGGAAAATCGACTACAGCCGGTAGGTGACTACAGCCGATAGGTGACTAGGGAGCCGGGAGGTGACTTTGCAGCCGGGAAAGGGGACTAGCCCGGTATTTGGGCTAGCAGCCGGTAGTGGGCCCAGCAGCCGGGAGTTGACTAGGGAAACCCGGGAGTTTACTAGCAGCCGGTAGTGGACCCAGCAGCCGGATTGAAATAGAAGCCATAGTTGACTAGCAAAGGGTAATTGACTAGAAGCCATAGTTGGGCTACAGCCGGTAGTGGAACCCCCCCCCAGCAGCCGGGATTTTTTCTACAGGGCCCGGGGAGGTGACAGCAGCCTGTAGGTGACCCAGCAACCCGTAAAGGGGAAATTTGCAGCCGGGATGGGGCAAACAGCCAGTTTACTAGCAGCCGGAGGGGCTAGCAAACCCGGGAGTTGCTAGCAGCCGGTAGTTTTACTACAAACCGGGAGTTTGGGCTAGCACCCGGGAGTTTTACTAAAAAAGCCATAGTTTTACTAGTCAGCCGCAAATTTACTAGAAGCCCCTATTGAAATAAACAGCCGGTATTGGACTACACCGGTAGGGGAATGCAGCCGGTAGGGGACTAGCAGCCGGTAGTGGACTAGCAGCCGGTAAAGGGGACTAAACAGCCGTAGTGGGGCTAGCAGCCGGTAGTTGACTTTTGGGGAGCCCCGGGAGTTTGGGCCCAGCAGCCGGTAGTTTTACTAGCACCGGGAGTTGACTAGCGCCGGTAGTGGACTGCAGCCGGGAGGTACTAGCAGCCGGTAGTGGACTGCAGCCCCGGGAGTGGAAATAGCAGCCGTAGTGGACTACAGCCGGTAGGTGACAAGCAGCCCGGGAGGGGGACTAGCAGCCGTTGTGGGCTAAAACACCATTTGTTGACTAAACAGCCGGTAGTGGAAATAGCAGCCATAGTTGACAGCAGCCGTAGTTGGAACTACCAGGGGATAGTTGACTAGCAGCCGGTAGGTGACTAGCAGCCGGTAGTTGACTAGCAGCCGGTAGTTGACTAGCAGCCGGTAGTGGACTAGCAGCCATAGTTGACTAGCAGCATCCAGTCTGTCCAGGTCAGCTGTAGTGATGGTAAACAGTCCATTGAGTCGTTGACAAACATTTAACTCTGGATCAAAGACGGACCTTAAATCAGGATCAGAGGCTTAATCCAGTTAATATAACTTTGTTCCCTGAATGATCGACTGATTCGCTTCTTTTCATTAAACTGATGTTTCTAACAGATTCCTGATATTTTTCGGTTAATTCATGAAACATGTTTTGATTTCTTCCATTTCGATGATTAAAATAACTCTATGATTGTAAATGTTTAGTAAACATGGCCAGTGGATGGGAGGCGGCCATGCAGGACCTCCATGTCATCCAGTCTGTCTGTAAAAACAAGCTTGAATTAAAAACAAGAAAATAATAAATGGATCCAATAGTTTTTGCGGCTCTACAGCAGCTGAAGGTTATTCCCCCCCTAACTCCAACATGCTGTGAAGGTTAAAGGTCAGTAAGGTGGCGGCTGATTGGGCGACGCTAACCACATTCACCCACCTTTGCTTTCCCACAGCCTCTCCCGCCTCCAGCAGGAGATCAGCACCTTCTCTCAGCCGGAACAGCAGCCCCTCTGGTAGCCCAAAGTCTAGCGGTCGCCGGCCGGGCCGGCTACGGCTGCCCCAGCTCGGCAGCAAGCACCGGCTGTCCAGCAGCAAGGAGAACTTAGACGGCGCGGCGTCCTCTGAAGCCGACGGAGCGCCGCAGACAGACGCAGAGGCAGGAGTCACAGCAGCAGCTGCAGGGCCCCTTTCTTCAGGCGACCCCATGGCATCGGAGTCGTCCTGCGGCACCGAGGCGTCCAGCAGCCACTTTGATGTCATCCTGGTGAACGGAGACAGCAACGGGATGGGATCGGACTGCAGCATAGAGAGCAACGCGGAGCCAGAGGGTTCGCTGCTTCAGCACCGAGACATGTGTCTGGATCCCCTCTACAACCTCTATGCAATATCAGTCAGTAACCGCAGCTCGTTCACAGCCTTTTAAACAGCCAGGAAACAGCCTGTCAATAAGCTTTTCCATCTGCTTCTCAGTGTCATTCAGGAATCATGGGAGGAGGCCACTATGTGACGTACGCCAAGAACCCCAACGACAAGTGGTACTGTTACAATGACAGCAGCTGCAAGGTAAGCAAACGCCAACATTGGTTTCTGCAGCCGTGACCTCTGACCCCAAACGCTACATCCCTTCCTCTAAGGCTGTGTCCCGATGTCCGCCCTAACCCCTATGTAGTGGTTACGCCATTTTAATGGGTGTCCAAACGTCTGCTGGATGAAAATGTAGTGGATTCAAAATTTCCCACAATGCAACTTGAAAAGTAGTGATCATCCATGTTCACTGGAAGAGCAGATATATCCCAGAATGCTTTGCAAGAGCTCTCCTCGCAAAGCACTTTTGGATTTCAGGTTTTACAGCAGCGACAAATAAAGATGGCGCAGGCACCCTGCGGGGAGGCGGAGTCACGTGGCCATCAGGGAGCGAAACGTAGTGACCACCTGTCTGAGCGCTGAGTTAGCCCACTAACTAGTGATGGAGGAGTCAGAGGTCAGAGGTTAGGGCGGACGTTAGGACACAGCCTATCTGCAGCACCATCCCAGCAGCCACCACCGTGCTTTGATTGGAGGCCTTTCTTTCTAACATTTAGCGGATCTGTTTCAACAGGAAGTCCATTCTGAGGAGATCGACACAGACTCCGCCTACATCCTGTTCTACGAGCAGCAAGGAGTCGACTACTCCCAGTTCCTGCCCAAGATTGACGGCAAAAAGATGGCCGACACCAGTAGCATGGATGAGGACTTTGAGTCTGACTATAAGAAGTACTGCGTCCTCCAGTGAGCGCGTTCTCTCCGTCAGCACTGAATCCGCGCCTGCTTTCAGCGCCGGCCGCCAACGGCTACCAGCCGGCGGTTCTGTCTGCCTATAGGGAGGCATCGCAGCACTTTTTACTCAGCCCAGAATCTAGCTTAGTCAGACCCCCCCCTTAAATCTGCATTTGTGTATTTTTGCCATAATAAACCTGATGTATGCAGATGTGGCCAGATGATGATGATGATGATGATGATGTTTGTGACCTGAGAGGAGGAAGAAGACGACGGGCTCCGGGTTTGAAGGCTGATGATTGGATCCAGAAGAAGATGGAAACGCCACCATGTCTGCTGGTGTCACATTTGGCGGCAAACTGGTTCCTGATCCGGAGCGTTGGGAACCGGGAGCTGCTTTTCACAGCGATGATGAGTCATCAGGGTAAAGGTCACATGCTACCTCATCGCCTCCCATCACACCGCAGCTGGAGCCTCTCAAACAGTGTTAACGACAAACATTGGGGTCCTTCCATTGTAGGAGAGACCAGGTACTGACATTTCAGACCCCCCCCCCCCCCCGTAGTTTAATCCCAGAGCTGCCAAATCTGAGCGGTGGTTTGGAAGCTGGTTTGATTTTGGAAAGGTGCCATGATTTCAGAAATAATAACTTAAATGTGTTCGGTATTCGTTCCTGACTTTTTTTGTGTGTTTTATAAGATTAGTTTTATTTTTGTAAACAGAATATTTCTGTTAAGGCAGATCTTTTTAGATCAGGCATATCTGAGGCCACGCCTACAGGAAGTGGGCTTCTCTTTGCACCTTAGGTCCCTGCTGTCACTTTACACCACTTTGATCACTAAATCCTCAAACCTGGAACATTTAGGCCGAAAACGTTAAGCTGCCAAAGATTTTATCCGTGCTTTTATTGTTCTCCATTGGAAACGTTTAGCAGCGAAACCTTCCTGATGCTGAGGTGACGCCATGCAGGAGAGACGCGTCCTGCAGTAAACGAACGATTGTTGGGAGGTTTCCGTTTAGCATCGGGATGCAGAACAAACCTTCTACGGCTCATTAATCCCATTTCAAATAATCTGAGATGTTCAGATGAATGGTTGACCTGCCGTCAGCGTGCCGATGAGCTCCCACTTCATCCTTTCTTTCTCTCTTTGACTCAAGCAGGAAGTCGTCTTAAATAGCAGCTGGTTGCCTGCTAGTTGCCCCCCCCCCCTGAAGCCGGCTGTGGTACAGTCTGGCAGCAGGTGATCTCTGTCAGGATGAAGCTCCCTGCGTCATTTCAAGTGAGTGTGAGCAAAAAGCTGAAATGCTTCCTGCTCGGATTCTGATGGATTTTTCTGTGCGCCCCCCCCTCCCGCGGTTTGAATTATTCTGGATGTATTTGGTTGAGCTTGTGTGTTTTGAACATGTGCTGAAAGCTGCTGCTCCTCCGCCGCTCTGCCTTTACGCTGAGCTGATGATGACCTCCGCTGTGAAGCGTCACTCGCTCAGATCTGATCAGATGAAAACCCATTTTCTGCCGTAGCGTTCGTCTCCCGGCTCCAAGCGCGTCGGCTGTTTGTTCTTCTCCCTCCTGTAGCTCAAACCTCGTTAGTTTCAGCACAACCTTCAGACACCGAACGACGAGCCTAGCAGCCGGCGCCCCCCTCCCTGGATAAGCATGTTGGCAGGCGGGGCGATCTACTACTGAACTGTCTGTGTTTGTAGCCTCTTTTTATTTAAGGTCCGTGTGGTCGGATCAGAACCCGACTCATTAATTTAATGAACTTTTTGTAAGGTGTTTGTTGAAACAAAATGACATTGCACTGACATGAAAACGTGTACATAAAGTGTTTTTTGTAAATACGCCAATGAAAACTGTGTATTTGAATATGACCTGTACAAAATATTGTACCTGTAGTTGTATATGGAGTGAAACTGTTGATCTGTAACAGAATAACCTTCAAATTAAACTCTGCTGATGAAACATCAAACACAAATGACTTTTCTTTGTCCTCCAAATCCTGCAGCATCTCTGCACACATCTTCCTCTCCTTTAGTTCCTCTTCCTCCACCTCATCCTTTTAAAGGAAAAGTCGCTCAAATTCAGAATTCAAACTTCTGAAAGTTCTTTAAATGTGAAATGATTCCATCCTGTTCAATAAATGATCAGTGTTTTTAACTCAGAGTAATTTTCATGTGAATGTGTTTTACTGGAGGCATCCATGTTTGTCAAAGAACACTACTGCCACCTACTGGTTAGTGACATTGTCACGGTGCGGTATCGGCTGTTGATCAAGTCCCAGTGCTGTATCTCAGAGGTCTTCAACATTTTCCAGGCCAAGGACCCCAAACTGATGTCTAGATGGAGCGGGGACCCCCTAATTATTTTTATTGTATTAAATTGTGTTATATCAAACTGGTCCTATATGTAACGAAAGTAATTTCTCGGTGGGATTATTAAAGTATTTCTGATTCTGATTCCTGGTTGTATCGGGTGTTGTGAATGAATCGGTTCCCAGCTTGAAAGAACTCCTGCACTGCAAAAAAATTCTACAAATGAGTAAAAATGTTTTAAAATAAGTGTATTCACCCTTAATGTAAGCCGGAACATAAGATGATCTGCGAATTAAATGAGGATTTTTACCCTTGAAATAAGAGACTTTAGTTGTTTTTTCTTATTTTAAATGTTAATGGTCTTATTCCATTGGCAAAGTGTCTGCTCAATTTAAGAAAAAAATCCACTTATTTTAAGAAATAATTACTAAATTAGATTAACAGTTTTTGCAGTGTGTGTGTCTCTGAATGTGAGCATTGATGACTGAAAGACATCTTCTGCCTCCATTTATCTGTTTACTACAGTCTCTTGGATTCGTGTTCATGTGGATTTAAAGACATTTAATTAGTGGAAAAAATTGCAGAGGGAAAAAAAAAAAAGTCTAATCAACCAAAACTTTCGTGACCCCCATGCAGAACCTCCGTGGACCCCCTAGGGGTCACGGACCCCCTGTTGAAGACCTCCCCTGTATCTGGTGTTTGTCACAACGCGCTATTATCTAAGTCATCTTGAAAACATTCTTCTTCCAAATGTTGGCTACATATTACGGGTTTTTTCTCTGGCCAGAAGTTCGATGGCAAATCCTCCCTCTTCAAGTTGGCGATCCAACAATGATTCCAGCTTCCAAAAACGTACAATTCAGTCATAGATATGATTCCTTCCAGATATCACCACACCCCCCACCCCATCACAGAGGAACGAAGCTCCTACCCGCTCCAGCCGGTGAACAATACCTCCTTAACGACCGACCTTCAGAATCATAGACAGGTTTCAGTTATTACAGGCTAACGATTACAGGCCCACTCATCGGTTACCATTTGCATGTTTCCAAGCGATACAAGGCTTTGTCTATAAAGACTCAAACTCACTGCGGATCCAGACATTAGAATTGAGAAAGCTTCCTGGAGAGGTGGAGAAACGTCTTCAAATCTGGGAAACCAAGTCCAAGGATTATTTTTGAACTTTTACGGAAAGAGGTATTACTTATTATGGCAAAAATGGCCGCTCCTGGACTCGGTGATCACCACGAAAATTATTGTTTTTATTCTTTTACTGATTAACACAAAAGTCATTAAATTACTGCAAACATTTTAGTTTTAGGTCTAAATAATGATTCACTGATCATTCCTCACTGACCAGACTTTTCCTTTAAAGATTACACCCCCCCCCCACCATAACCTTATAGAAATTGTTTATTTCTATAAGGTTATGGTGAGAAGAACGGAATCTGATGATAAAAATTCTCTGCTTTGGACATGTAGAAATCTTTTCTTTTACAACAAAAAAATCTGTTTTCTATCGATAAATTAAACAAGTGGGACACATTTATTTTTAATCAATGAGTTAAATAAACAACTGAATAAAATTAAACGATCATGGGAAGATGAGGAAACCTCAGCGAGCATCTCTGCTGATGTCACTCCTACCTCAGAGGTCAAAGGTCAGCTACGTTGGTGTCAAACTTTGATTTTGATGTCGTTTTTGCAAAAAGTAAAAGATTTGCAGAACAATTGATATGATTAATTTTCTTTTTTAAATTGGTTTCAAGTAGGTCATTGAAATTATTCAGGTGTGTCGGATAAGGTGGTGTTGATGTGAGAGGCCGTGTCCATCCTTCAGGAATCGAACCCTCGGCTTCAGCGTCTTCCACCTGAACTTGGTGAAATTAGACCCTCTGATCAGCAGTTTTCTCCCTTTTTCACCTCATTGGGGATAAAAACCAGCTTCTCAGCAGGTGGTTGATTACTGCAGGAACCATCCAGCCATTTTCTGTCACGCTTTATCCCAGGTGGGGTGGTGAGGGGGGGCCGGTGCCTATCGGGTCCACCTTGGACAGGTATCCAGCTGTGCTGTGGTCAAGACCACATAACCGGAGACCGAGTCAGGACCAAGACCAGCGCCAGTATGTGACAATAAAATGTGAAACATGATCAAAATCATTAAAATTGATCTAAAAGACCCACATTCACATAACAACACCTAGATATTTAACACACAGAACTGGAATAAACATTAACATCTTTATTTAGTACTTGTGTGTAGTAATCACAGAATTTCAAACAATTAATCAAAATAGTATTTTCTCTGCCTTTCATGAACAGTACAAACATTTATGTTGTTTTTAAATGTGCTATTTCAAAACAATGTGCAAATTTACTTAAAAAAAGCCAATCATTTCTCTTGTTTCTCTCATATACAGATTAAAGCTATATCATATAACTTTTCTTAAATCTATCTCTGTCACCAAGTTGTGAAAATATGTTATGAGATAATTTGTTGAAAAAAATAGATTGATCTCCTTCACTTCCTCCCTGAGCTACTAACATCTGCAGAAATACAAACCCCACTGAAATACAAAGAGCACAGAAGCCTGATTGACTTCTGTCAGTTCTGAGACCCTGTTGCTGAATCAGATGGTTTGTTTTTGACCAAGCGGCGTATTTCTCTAGTTAGCACTGGGAACATAGAGAAAAGGCAGAAGTGCTCAATATTTTCACAGCTTGTCGGTCTCATAACATACTGTACCAACATAATGACCTAAACATGTACGTAGCTTACCTTTCTTTGTGCTTTCTGTCAAGGTGTCGATGAAAGTTGGACGTAGTCCCTACCTCTGATAGTGAAGCACTGCAGAACTTACATTACGCTGTATGCTTTTTTCTCAGTGTTGCTTTTTACAAATATATTCTTTGTGATTTAATTAGTCCAATTTTATAATCGATAATTTGGCCGACATCTTATCCCGTTCTCAGACAACCACTTGTGACTTTCAATCAAAGTGCTGCAGCCCGCATGCAGGTGAAAGGGGGTGGGCGGGACAGCGGTAAAAAAAAAAAAAAACATGCATTCACCAATGAGACAGGTTAAAGGTTGGGTTTGAATCCAAGCATCCAATAAAAAGAAGGATCTTAAAGAAACTGATAATATTCCGATGATTAGCGTGATTTCCACAGTTGTGGTCTTGACCGGTCTTGAAATAAAATGCCGAGTCCTCTGCGCCCGAGACCGAGACGAGACCGAGACCAAATGCAGTCAGGTCCGAGACGAGACCAAGACCATCAAAAAATGGTCTCGAGACCAAGACCGATCTTGTGTGCTACAACAGTGGTATCCAGTCCATCGCAGGGCAACACAGAGACAAACAACCATTCACACCTAAGGAGGATTTAGAGAAGCCAGTTAACCAAACAGTCATGTTTTTGTACTGTGGGAGGAAGCTGGAGTACCCAGAGAGAACCCACCATGCTCAGAGAGAACATACTAACTCCATGTTGAAAGACCCCGGGAATCGAACCTGGAACCTTGTTGATGCAAGGCGGCAGTGTTACAGCAGTGAGCAGCCCTACAGCTGGAACCTAGAGGCTTTAAAACATGCAGGTGTTTCTGCTCAGGCTGACATTAACGAGGTGATTTTAATGAACCGTCAGACCAGAGTCCTACCAGAACCAGACCACATCCTGCCGCGCTGGACGCCGCTGCAGGTGTCATGTGAGCTTCTGCTGCAGCTCAGGGAGGAAAACCACATTCTGGGGGTCTCTGCTTCCCCGAACCAAACGCTGCTTCTTTCCGGCCCGCCTCTCATCTGATCCAGACTCACACATGAAGCCCCTCTAAGTAAATTCAATAAACCAGGACGCCCCAAACAGATCAAATATGTAAAGCTGGAACTTTAACATGAAAACAGTTGTAGATAAACGTTGTGATGTCACAGCAGCTACAGACGGAGCGTTTCATTTTACTGCAGGCGTTAATAAGTTTCTGTCAGTTTATTTCATATTTAGCAGCTGTTATTTCTGTACTCGATCTAATAACAGATCATGTTTTACAAACAGGACGGATCTGTCTCTGCAGCTGTGTTTGACCCCCCCCCCCCCCCCCCCCCCCCCCCCCCCATCCAGATGCTGTATTTTGGCCTCTAATGTCTGTAACCCTGAGCTGCTCTGTGGGCTGGAGCGAAGCAGCGTCTGCAGCTTCTGTTCACTTCCTCTGGCTGAGTTGTGGTTCAAACGCGATCTGAGCGCCTGCTGGTTGAACGACAGACAGGTCGGTCAGAGGTTCAGGCGGATTATTGCGATTGTCTGAACAAACGGAGACGAAGTGCAGCTGGTTTGGGGTCTGGGATCCATGGACCTCTGATCTTACCCAGAGGTTGGTAATCTAACAGCTTGTTCTGCTCCTCTATGTTCTTGTCCACCAGTTTCTTCTACCCATTCCTTCTAGACCAAACTGATCTTCTGCTAATCGAGGCATTCCGGCTTATGGGCCGAGGACATCCAGTGGGATGTCTCCGTACAGTGAAATGTGTCCAGGTGAGCTTTGGACCTTTAGCCGTTTGGATTCAGAGCTGATCCAGATGTTTAAACCTGAACCATTGCCTCATTTCAGAGTTCTACATCATGCTGGGAGTTCTGTCCTTCGTGGTCCTGCTGTTCTCTGTGCTGGGCGCCGTGTTTCTCACAAAGTAAGACTTTCTATCAGGATGGGATCTAAATGCTGCTGCTGGTTCTAAGCTGCCTGCTCCGTTTGGCTGCAGCTCATCTTCCACATGTGTGCCTGATGGCAACCATTTCTGCAGAAATTCATGGCAGCACTGACTGTTCCTTTATGTTCCTCACAGTCGTCCGTTTATCTCAGAGAAAATGTTCCGGATCTTCATGATTCTCTGAGACCTTTGCAGCCGGCTGCTCTGCTGAATTAGTTTCTGTGTAAAAAATATTTGTTTTCATGTTAAATTTAAACACAGAGCCTGATTATGATGTAATCGTTTTTTTTCACCATGTTAGCTGTGATGCAGCAGAATAAGGAAAAGCTCCAGATATCTGCACTTTTCTTTTACCTGCTTTTTAAAACATTTTCCTGCATTTGGCTGATTTTTTTTTTTTTTTTTTTTTTTGCAGCTTAAGTTTTTCTTTGTTCTCATCTGCTAATCAGAAGAAAAAATCCAGGATTTCTAAAGCGGATTTTTTCTTAGAACAGCTTCACTCCCCTGATGTCATTTTTTATCGTTTTTTTAGAGACCGAAGAAATTAAAATGAGCAGTTTCTGTCTGTTAATAATCATAATTATGATTACAAAAGATTTATAAACTATGGGGACAGTTAATAATGCATACAGATGAAACCGAATATAGAAAAATGTGAAAAGACTGATATATTTTTTTAGCTATCTGACTTTAAATCTGACTCAACTCGACAGCATAAAGATTTCATATCCCTTTTCTAAAAGGATATGAAATGTTTATTTATTTTTGGAGGCCTACTTACGTTTTCTTGGTAAATTGAAGTATTAGTTTTTAAACTGTTAGTCGGATGTTTTTGGTTTCCTGCTAAAAGCTTCGTAGTACCTGGTTCTCTTCCTCCTGGAAGGAACTGCTGATCTGTTAGACCAGCATACCCATACAGGTGCTTCTCAAAATATTAGCATATTGTGATAAAGTTCATTATGAACATTCATATATTTTAGATTCATTGCACGCTAACTGAAATATTTCAGGTCTTTTATTTTCTTCATACGGATGATTTTGGCAAACAGCTCATGAAAACCCAGAATTCCTATCTCACATAATTAGCCTATCATGATGAAGGTCTCTAAACGAGCCATGCACCTAATCCACTGAAACAGATTAACTCTAAACACCTGCAAAAGATTCCTGAGGCCTTTAAAACTCCCAGCCTGGTTCATCAGTCAGAACCCCAATCATGGGTCAGACTGCCGACCTGCCTGCGTCCAGAAGGCCGTCATTGACACCCTCAGCCAGAGGAAATGACACAGAAAGATATTTCTGAACCAATAGGCTGTTCCCAGAGTGCTGCTGCATCAAGGCGCCTCAGTGGGATGAAAAAGTGGCAGAAAACGCTGCACAACCAGTAGAGGTGACCGGACCCTGAGGAAGATTGTGGAGAAGGTTCGATTCCAGACCTTGGGGGACCTGCGGAAGCAGTGGACTGAGTCTGGAGTAGAAACATCCAGAGCCACCGCCTACAGGCGTGTGCAGGAGATGGGCTACAGGTGCCGCATTCCCCAGGTCAGCCACTTTAGAACCAGAAACAGCAGCAGAGGCACCTGACCTGGGCTACAGAGAAGCAGCTCTGGACTGGTGCTCAGTTTTACACGTCATCTGGAAACCAAGGAGCCAGAGTCTGGAGGAAGACTGGGGAGAAGGAAATGCCAAAATGCCAGAAGTCAGTGATGGTCTGGGGCGCCATGTCAGCTGCTGGTGTTGGTCCACTGGGTTTTATCCAGGGCAGGGTCAATGCAGCTGTCAGGAGATTTAGGAGCACTTCATGCTTCCATCTGCTGAAAAGCTTCTTGGAGATGAAGACGACCTGGCAGCTGCTCACAGAGCCAAAACCACTGGTAACTGGTTTACTGACCATGGTATCACTGGACTCAATTGGCCTGCCAACTCTCCTGACCTGAACCCCATAGAGAATCTGTGTGATATTGAGAAGAGAAAGTTGAGAGACTCAAGACCCAACACTGTGGATGAGCTAAAGGCTAAACGCTATGGAAGCATCCTGGGCCTCCATGACACCTCAGCAGGCTGATAGCCTCCATGCCACGCCGCGTTGAAGCAGTCATTTCTGCTAAAGGATACAGAATTATTTGAAGGTCGACTTTTGTATTAAGAACACTTTTCCTTTATTGGTCGGATGAAATACGCTAATTTTATGCCAAAACATACTTTAAACTACCTCAACGGATGTGCATCCCTTTAGTCATGTACAAAAAAACTATTTAATGACATACTTGTTGGTGTTTTTGGAAGCATGTGGGGATCTGACCTTAAATAGGTTTTTTTAAACAGATAAACGCAGTCTGAAGCCTTGCGCTGCGTATTGACTATAGGTATGCTGATCTGACAGAACAGCGGCTCAGGCTGACTGGATTTGACCTGCCTGACCTCTGTGTTCATACCTATATTAGACGCCGTGCTCTCGCTTGACGTCCCCGTTTTATCCCTCTGTCTCCATGGAGACGCCCTCCTCTCATCCTGGTGAGACATCTGCAGGAACATCACGCTTCCTTCTTATAGCCAATGAACGGCCTCCTCGCCTTAGTTCACGTATCACTTTTTAGGGCGGAACTAAATCATCCTGTAAATATTGTGTCCCATATTGAAAGAATAAGGAGGTGATTCATTGTGTATTTTCACACTTCAAACCCAAACATCAACAATCTAACAAAAATGGACCAAATAAATGAAAGGAGCAACTAAATCCAAGCAGGACCTCCTGAGCTCCGCAGCTGCTGCTGTCACAGGTGAACGGTTGGGTTTATCATGGTTTTATTTGTTGTTTCTGTGGCGTTAATGATCATTTATTGGACATTCTGCAGTTTTAACCCATATAACCGTTAATTTAAAGGGTCAGTAAAAGAGAAATAGAGTTTCTATTCAGGGATCATTTATTAAATGAGCCATTGAAAGCCTTGATGTCATGGCGGAGTTTGCTGCTTGTTTGCTGGATTTCATAGATTAGATCAGACCAGCTTTAGTGTCAGTGCTGTCTGGTAGATAATATTACTTGCTAAAGAATATTTTCTAGCTTTATTTGGACTGAGAGTTTATTGATCAGTGCTTTACTAAAAAAATGTGACCTAAATTAAAACATGTCAGTCAGCGGGACCTGGGCCAAGGGGCCCCTCCTGAAAGGTGGCGACAAGTGTCTCAGAACGGATAATAAAAACAAAGTTAGTGCCATTTGTTTATGATGTTATAACATGTTTTATGTTTTTGTTCAAATTAATTATGAGTTTTAAATAAGACGATGGCTGCAAATGTGACTCCCTGTGGCCAGTTATCAGGCCAGCTAATGCTAACCTAACATTTAGCAAAGCAGTGGAGAAGAAACGCAGCATCCTGTGTGGCCTGTGAGCCGCTCTGCTTCCTTTAGTCGTCACCAACGTTACAAAGCTTGACCTCATTTTGCTTCTTTTCTGTTTTTTGGCTCCAGCCTGAAAAACGTTTCGCAGACAAGAAGTTATTTCTCAGCTCATTGAGACGATTTGATCATTTTGATGAAAAGTTGCGGTTCTTCCCTTTAGCTTCTTCCCTCTGGGTCTGATTCAGGGTCTCTATCACTTAGAGACGGACGTTCTGCTGTTGGAGGCTATTAGAGATGAACCTCCAAAACAGACAATAAATCTGATCAAATATTTCCATATTTTAAGTTCCTACGATGTTTTTGATTGAAGAAACTAAATTGCATTTTTTATCAACTATATGTTAAAATCATATATGAATGTTTCTTTTTTAATCCCTTTCATTTCCTGTTCTGTTTTACATCAGGAAATGCTTCTGTTCCTTTATCATCTGGTCGGTGAAGCTGCGCAGTAAACAGCTTTTCTGCTTTGCACTAAATTACAGTTTTAATTTTCCAGGTACCGCGCCGTGGTTCGGACCAACCGGAGGCTGAGGGGGAGCCAGTTCCTGCATCCCCGTATTCCTCAGTTAGAGATCCCAGCTGTGACGCCCCCACCCCCATTACTGGAGGAGGTGGAGCCGCCTCCTCTGCAACCTACTTTGGAAAGATCCAGTGGGTTCAGGTTATCCTCCAAGAGGCTGTGGAGAGGCCTGCAGCAGGTACCGCTAACGGCAAACACCCAACGGCTTCTATTTAGCTCTGACATGGCGGCAACCAGACTTTACATACGTAGACGACTCATTGGACTAGAGGGCGGCCATCTTGGATCAGACCAGCTGCTGTCAGAATGAATAGGAGGCGCCTTAGATCTCAATTTAATCACATGAAAGACGAGTCAGAAATAATTATTGCAATAATCTCTTTCATGTCACAACCACTTAAAATAACTAATTTAAAAATTACCTTCAGTTAGATTACACAGATTTATTGATTAAAAACATTTTAAACTGAACTCAAACCGGATGAGATATAATTAAATATTAATGATAATCTAAAAGTTGTATATTAATATATTATAAGATTGTTTTGCAAATATTATATATTTATACAGTTTATTTTTCATTATTTTTAAGGATTGCTCTTTGATAATGATAATTTCTTACAAAAGAAAGTAAAGTTATTTTGTTTTTTAATAATTTTATGTTAATTTTTATTTATTTTTTGTCATTGTCAAGACATTTTTGTCAAATCGTAGTGAATGATAAATTGACATTGTGTCTAACTAAAGGCTTTTTGTCCTTATAAACTTGTCTAAACTTCTTCCAAAACTCTTTTTCAAACAATTTTTTTAAATTCATTATTTATGCATATGTGAACATTCTTGTTCTTTAATCAGCTAATATGTGTCATACATACGTCTTTTAAGTGGATGTGACATGTAAGAGATTATTGTGAAATTATCTCTGACTCGTCTTTCATGTGATTAAATTGAGATTTAAGGCGCCTCCTATTCAGTCTGACAGCAGCTGTCTGAACTGTGGTCTGATCCAAGATGGCCGCCCTTTAGACACGTTGGCCTCGCTCCCGACAGCGTCCAATGAGAGCATGTATGGAGGCAACGGAGTCTTTGGGGCAGACGACACCTCCTGCAGCAGGAAATCCGATGGTCATGTGACCAGATTTCATCCAATGTTATAAAACCTGAAGCTGGAAATTTGTTTCCATTTAAACTTCTGTGAATCATGAAGAAATCCTGTGAAATGTGGAAACATGAGAGTTAAATATCCCTGTTTATGATCATGTGGAAGTATGTGATTCACATGTATATCATATGTGATTCACATGAGTTTTTAAAACCATGAATTGTTAGAAATTCCCAAGTATACTTTTTCACGTGACTCTCATGTAAAAAAACCCTCATGCTAAATTCCCTGGTGGAACACACCAATCTTCACGCTGTAATTGTGCAGCCGTGAGTTGTTTTCCTGTGAGGGAGAACCTGCAGAGGAGTTTCTTTGTGTCTGCCTGACTTCATTGTTTGGATTACAGGAGCCTCGTTTTTCCAAGTCGGACCTGAACCTGCTTCAGCTGATCAAAGCAGGGAAGGAGGGGGTCTTCTACCAGGCCAGGATGAACAGAGGAACGTGTAAAGGCCACAGCATGTTCACCTGCAAGATCAGCAAGGAAGGTACATCACAAACATATGGCTGCATTTTAACTGGAGACTTCAGAGTTCCTCTCCTTCTGGGCCCCCCCTCTGGGGTCGGGGTCCTGCACCTTTTGGGCCTCTCTCTGCTCAAACTCACCTTAGCCAACCAGATCAGTCAGAAGTTAAACACTCCTGCTTTAGTTGTTCCATCTAAAGTTTAGCTTCTGCTGGAAAATTTGGATTCCAGAGGCTGCATTTGGTTTTGGAGTCAAACAGGTCCTGGCCAGCTAATGTCTGTCCAGCTGATATATGGTGTTATGATTTTAAGTTAAATGCCAAGTAGGATGTCACATTAATGTTGGGATTTAGTCACTCCTCTGTGGGCTGCCATGTGACTTGCCTGTTGAGGCCTTGGCTGAAATATGGGGGGCCGCAGAGTTCCCCCAGCTGTTATCTGGTCATCATGTCAAGATGAAATATGGACACTGGTTCCCAATGTCCAAAAACTATGATCATATGGCACAGCAGTGGCTAGCCATGTCTGGATGGCTAATGCCCTTTGTAACTAAGAAGATGAGTTAGCTGGGATATTTATATAAAAATAAGATTTATTTCTAGATTTATTTTGAGTCATATGTCTGTTACTATGCAGGCTTTTAATAATAATAATAATCAAACTTTTTTCATCTCACATTGGAGAAATTAACTCTCTGCATTTAACCCCTCCCCTTGGCGAGCAGTGGGCTGCCATTGTGCAGCGCCCGGAGAACAGGGTGGGTTTTGGGGTCTTGCTCAGGGACCCAGAGTGCAGTCTGTGGGAGTGGGACTCAGAACCTCAGGATCCCAGGATCTATGTAGCCCTAACCACTAGGCCGCCACTTCCCTCTTCGCTTCACACGGAGACATTTCTGCTGCTCCTTCAGGTCTCCTGCTGTTGAACTTTAAGCTGCTGCTTGGTTTGCTTTTACCTCAGACCGGCTCTGAAATTCTCATCAGTCTATAAAATTAAACAAAGAACAAAATAACTTGAGTTTGCCATAATAAAAAGTGTGTAATTGTTTTTTTTGTTTGTTTTCTTTTTTAAGTTTAGGTGAAAATGATAAGAGTTTGGATCTGAACCTGAATAGCACTAATTTGATATGGATGCTCTCCTCCCTCTCAGGTGTCCGTCTCAAACATGTGGACATGGAGATTTGCATCATGAGGAAGCTGGTTCATCACAAAAACATCCTGCAGCTCCTGGACTGGAACACATGTGACCGTAAGAGTCCCTCACCGCTGGCATAAACTGTTAAACCTACGGAGAAAATGCTGTCTGAGATTTTATTTCTCCATTAATTCTTTAAAGTCAGAACTTTTAAATATTCTGCAAGGACTTCATATTTTGGGCCGTTTTCTAAAAGTTGATGCATCCCAGAGTTCTTCTTTACTGACAGCTGATGTGATCTCTGACTGAACGGCGCTGTGTGCAGAGCCTTTCATTCTGCTGATGGAGTATGTGAGTTATGGAACCCTGAGGACCTTCCTGCAGACCAACAGAGCCCACCTGAGTGGAAACCCAGAGCTACAGAGCCTCCTGACCATCGCCTCCTACCACATCGCCCTGGCAATGCAACACCTGCGCTCCAAAATGGTAACTCTTCACCGATGGCAGCCGGGGGGGATTTACCATTAGGCAATACTAGGCAGCTGCCTACAGCTCCAAGTTCCTGGATTAGTCCATATTGGATCAGTCCATTTGCTGCACATGTTCAGAAAGGTCCAAACAGACAGCAGCAAACCATTTGAAAACAAGCCATGCAAAGAGCAGTGTAGCCAACTTAGCGCTTTAGTCGCTATATTTAGCCACTTTTCAGACCCCTCTAGCACTTTGATTTCTAAAAAGCTCCTAGCGCCAAATCTAGAGACTTTTTTCTGCTACTGGAGACTTTGGAGACAACATCTAAAAGCAGCGAACTCTGCTCTCCAGAGCGAGTAGATTGGTAACCCCGCCTCCTGCTCTCCTCTATCTTGTCTGCTGTCATGATTCATGCAGCTATTATTTCATCCAAATGAAAAATGGAGAACAGATAAGCAGATCATGGCTTGTCTACAGTGAAAAGAAGGACTGGGTTATTTACTTTGGCCTTTTTGGAAACACAGGAAGGAGCAATCAGCTAAGTGAGCTTAGTGCTTGGAGAAAATCTTTCATTCCTTTAGAGACAGCATGAAAAGTCAGCTGAGTACAAAACATAGAGAGGAAAACAAGAAGAAAAAGGACAAGAAGAGAGGGACACAACCTAGAACAGATAATGGATGTCTATTCTATTAACATTTCTCTATCTGTAGAATGGGGCTGTTTTATATTGCTTTAAAACATTCTTTACTTTGGCTTCTTTACTGCTAATGAAGTTAGCAACAGGCTAATATGGACCTGAATATTTAGTTTTTTTAAGGACTGACTCCACCATGTGTCTCCAACTGAAGGTTTGTAATTGTCAGATTATCACACCCATAGTCAATACCCATTAGCAAGACGTCCGATTTAGTTTTTAGTTTTGTACGAAAAATAAACTTTAAATTACCTAAACGGGCGTGTATCCCTTTAGTCATGTACAAAAAAACAGAACAATTTTAGGTCAGATCGCCACACGCTTCACAAAACACTAAAAAGTGAGTAATTAAATTGTTTTTTTCGAACAAAACTCAAGGGATAAATTGGTATTAACTCTGGGTATGTTGGTCTGACCGGGTATGCTCATCTGACAGAACACCAGTCCTAAAGATCATGTCATAAACTAGAGGAATATGTTGATCTAAAGTGGCTAAAGCTGCTCACTAAATGGAAGTAAAGTTATCAGAAAGCTGCGTTCTGCTTGGAAATGAAACTGAAGTTTTGATTTATGCAGCTACACCTTTTGAAGTCGATGATGCTGAAGTTTGCTTTTCTGGAAATGAGTTTGACTCCCCTGCTCTAGATCTTTGTCAGACTGTGGCGCCGTTATCTTGTGTGCAGATCGTTCACTGTGACCTAGCTCTGAGGAACATCATGGTCAACAGGTTTCCATGGGAGGTGAAACTGGCCGAGTTCGGTCTGGCCCGAGACTTGACGCGCATGGCGAGCCGCCGCCGCAGCAGCCGTTGGAGAAACCAAAGAGTAAGAAAAAAAAACATCTTCTAGAGAAATTGACCATCGGATGGGAACAGAGTCCTGAGGACGCTTGTCTCTGTAAAGAAGTGACGGAGCTGTGGTGCATACAGGTAGACGAATAGCTGGACTTCATCTGCAGGAGTCCTGCAGCAGAAACTTCTCGTTAATGACCTGAACGAGGCGTTTTACATGAAAACCTTTGGAGGAAATATTCTTCACCTCATTTATTCCTTCTCTGCTGCGTATTTTGTCTAGATGTTGATTTCTAGAATATGAGGCATCCCTTCTGTATTCAAAGGAATCTAAACCGGTTATTGTTGTCCTGGCTGGATGGGCGAGGGGTGGGGGCTGTGATGATAGCAGGAAGGAATCAACTCTATTGCTGCATTGGAGATTTTTGAAAGATGAAATCTGATTCGGTTTTTCTTTCTTAACAAAGATGGCTTCCTTCACGCCCCTCTCACACCACCTGTCTTCTTTGTCCAACAGAAGACAAACTGTATATTCAGCCAGGCCAACAATTCCCTCTAACGCCCCCCCTTTCAGAGACATAGACAGGTATGGGGCATTGCAGGCTAACAAAGAAGCCAAACGACCCCCATTCCAAAGGGGGGGACCCGTTCATCCGTTTCTATCTGCATGTTTTCTAAACTAAAACCAGGCTTTGTTGGGCTGCTGGATAAAACCTGGAACTAAACGCTATTTCTGACATTCTGAATTGAAAAATCTTCCTGGATGGAAGAGAAACGTCTTCAAACTTGGAAACAAAGTCCAGAGGATTGATTTAATTTTTTTGGAATGACTGACCTGGATGACTGAGAATCTTTACCAGCACATTTCCTTCTCTTTCCAAAAGGAGCACTGCAAAAAGATCTAGAAATAAGTAAAATTTTCTTCAATTAAGTGTATTTACTCTTAATTCGGTGATAAATCAGATGATCTGCCAATGGAATGAGTTGTTTTACTTTTAAAATAAGATAATTAGATAATATGCACTTGAAATAAGACAATGCAATTATTTTCTTTCCTATTTTGAGTGTAAGTAATCTCACTTTCTTCAATTCAAGAAAAAATGACTTAATTTTTTGCAGAGAACCAACGTTTTTATTCAGACCTGATAACTAAGGAGCTGTTCTGTATTTTTCAGGTGGAATTGCTTCTAAAACTCTGGTTTAATCAGGTTGAAAACAAACATCTCCTCTGGTGCAGTCATGTCTGCTGCAGAGAAGTTTCTAATCAGATGAATCTGTGATTTGTTTTAAAGTTGATTGAAACTAACAGTGCTTTTCATTTTCCTATAATACTGTTAAGGTTCAACCCTTTTAGCACCGGTTTATCACCTCTTCCCTTCATTTGTTGGCCTTAAACACGCCTCATGTTTGGTTCCATAAGCTGTTTTCTGCAGCTTTATTCTGATCCGTTCTTTAGATGAACTAACAGGTGGGACCCTGCAGAGCTTTTTTCCTTCACTCTGCATTCACACACTCTGCTCTCCGTCTCTCAGATGGAAGATGAAAACATTGCGTGTTTGTGGGGGGTGGTGTGGTTGACGTTGTTTAGAACAGGAAGCAGCCCCTTTGTAGCCCTGCAGCCTGAAACGGAGCTGCAGGCGTGGCCATGCCAGTCTGAAGTGATGCTGAATGCAGAATGAATTTCTCCTCCATCCTGGAGGTTCTGCTGCTTCCTTTGTCCTTCTGCTGCAGCCTGTGAGTTCTGGTGTCAGAGAATAAGCAGCTTCTTCAGCCTCTAAACATCAACACACTTTTTCCACTCTGTGTTGTGTACAGACCCGCGTGCCGCTGCGCTGGTACCCTCCTGAATACTTCAAGAACAACTACTACAGCTTCAAAGGAGACGTATGGGCGTTCGGCATTGTGCTGTGGGAGATGCAGACCTTTGGTAGGTGGGCAGTTAAAAGCTGCAGAACGGGAGGTAAAATGCGTGAGAAGGCCTGCTGCAGTTAGAGATGCTTCACTTTCACTGGGATCACTCTGAAAGAACAACAAGATTCACATTTTCTTTCTTTCTTTCTTACATTTCCATCTTTAGTATCTTTGTAACTGTTAAAATTCCATAAAATATCAGGATTAAAGAGTCGATCAACTAAGGAAAGAAAAATGGCAACCTTTCTCTGTGATGTTTACAGCATTTTAAAACATCTAAACTGTGATCCATGTTGAGTTAAGGGACAGCGTTCAATGAATGCTGACATCTGGTGGTCAAACTGGGGATTGCAGCTGATAATTAGGTTTCAGTTTAAGGTCCTTTAACAAACTGTAGAGTATATCCTCCATCATGGAGAAGGCGAGCTGTTAGAGATTTTTTTTATCCCAGAAAAAAACAAAAACTTTAGAGCATGTTTTCTACTCTATTTAGTAAAATTCACTTCACTAAATGCTGAGATAAATGTACCAACTGTGACATCAAGGCTCTCTTCAAAAACATAGATTATAATGTTAAACATCAGGGCTCCCTTTCATGAACCAGGTTTACCGAAAACTTTACGTGTACTAAACCAGAGTTTCCTCATCCTCTGTTTCTGTTGCCATAGTAACATCCTCCCAGAGCTAACCTGGTCACAGCAGGTTTGCTTCAGTAAACTCAGAGTCCTCTGTCTCCTCGTTCTCCTTACAGCAGCTGATCATGCTGTTTTATTTCCTGATTTAGTCAGATTTCTGTTGCAGTTTTGTGCATAAAAAAAAAAAATATATATATATAAAATTATATTTATATATATATATATATATATATACGACCGTTTGACGAGGATCTCATTAAAGAATGATCAGCATTTTTTCACAGAGAATTAAATATTTATAGGGAGAGGATTCTCCAACTCAGTGACAGGATAGGAGATTGCTGGTTTAATATGAGCGAGATGCTGATAATTCTATTTTTATTTAGTTATATTTACAGCACATGAAGAACTAATAAAACTATTTTTCAGATGACACATTAATAGATTCAATGATTCAACAGGGGGAAAAGGAATTACTTTAGGATTAGGATTCACTCGATGATACCAACCTACTGAGCCTGCTGGCACAATCTACAGCCATTCTATGGGCCTGATAGCTGCTAATAACAACAATTTACTGGGATGATAACATCCGAAGCGCAGCTGCAAACAGCCACTGATTTACTGAGTAAAAGAGACTGAATCAACATGAGGAGGAACCCATGAGATGATGAACAGGTTCTATATATTAGAACAATGTTTTTATTCTTCATTCTCACCTGCTGACAGAAGATTTCACCTAAATGATACATTGATTTTATAATTGCATTGTATTTTGTGATTGTGTACAGCACTTTGGTCCTGTCGGTGTATAAAGTGCTTCCTAAATAAAGTTGCTATGGTATTGATCTACTACCATTCAAGAAATAGTCCCCTCATATCATCCCACAGCTGTGGCAAGCCCTTTTGAAATTTACTAGTTTTACTGACTATTTCAGTTAATCAATCAATCAAACTTCTTTATTGTCAACTACAATTTACATTGCAATCGAAATTTCAGTTTCAGTAAAACCATTCATCACAATGCGTCACATACATTTGGGTGGGGGGCTAAGAGGGGGGTGCGGATTGAATGAGGCTATGCGTGCCACAGAACGCTGCCATTCAGCAGAACGGCGCGTTTTTATGGCAGCCAGGTCCCCACCGGTTACCTGGCTGCACAGGTCCCAGGCGGTTTCCTATAGCGTTGCCTTTATCTCTGTGGAAAGATAGGAGCCACACTGGGGAAGAGAAGGGAAAATAAAGCATATTTCACACTTTATCCTTGACAGGATACAGTTTGAGATATCAAAAAACCTCAGCACAAGAAAAGCACATGTAATATGAGACACATTTCAGCAGAGGGTCACATCAGGGGCGGAGTCACATGAAGTCAATCTGACATTTGAGACATTTATAGTGTTTGTATGATGAGTGCGTTCAATTTGTCCGTGAATGCTGACCACAGGCCATGTCCTTGGTAATATGGAAGTTTATCAACAGTTATTGAGCACATCCACAGATGTTAGCGGGTAGGGGAGGGTGGGCAGTTCTTCTGTGCCCTTCCGCCATAACATCCAGGGGAGACTAAATAGGGGAGGTCGAATCTAGAATAAGACTTATTGTTTGGAGAGCAGGCTGCACAGGAATTTCCTTCAGCCTTGAGTCTTTTTCTTGCTGGCTCTTTCATGGCGAAATCCAATATTCCGATATGTATTCCTATTACCTGAAAAAAGTCTTTGTCTAAATGACCATTTTAAACAAAATGCCACTCTCCATATCTAGAATAAACATTCTCTGTATAGAAATAAATTTCAGATCTCCATATTCCTAATATTACTGGTCAGCATTTGTATTACTTTATCTATGTTAAATTGTTTTTCAGATATCATAAATATATTTTCAGTCAAGCTGATAAATGTCAGAATGGCCAATTAAAATGTATAAACATTTCTAGATATTTAAAATTTAATTCTTACTAGTATCATATATATTTTTTTTACTTTCTAAAATCGAAAATTGTAATTTAGAAAATATATTATTACGGTTAAATCTGGGAGTTTGATTTTGATTAGGAAGAATCTTATTTTAGTGCTTTACAAATGGAGCAACAGAGAGGAAAGTGCTTTAAATTTAAAACGGCCTGCCATAGGCCACTTCATATAAACTTAAGCATTAACTCAAGCATCAATCTTCTCCTTTGCGATCTTCCTCTTTTCTTTTTTAGCTGTAATGCTGTTTCTCTGTCTTTCAAACACATTATCAAATTTTATTTGATTTTTTCTGCATTTCTGCATTAAAATCTCTAGTTCCAGTGGGGTGAAATAGGCACTTCCTGTTGCCTGTCGTCATGGTGACTCATTGAATCGGTGCTCCACTGATAATGGCTTTCCTCCACGTTAAGTTCTGAGTGGACCTGGTTAAAACTAATTGAACTAATTGATAGCAGCCGTTGTGAAACCGAACACTCAGAGTTCCCGACTTTAGGCTGGATCAATTTAGAGATGAGGATTTAAATCTGAATTTGTTAATCCTGCTTCGTGAAACGGACCCCAGAGGGAGTTTAGAGAATCATCCATGTTTTGAACTAATTAGATAAAGTGTGACATTTGATCATCAATATGATCGATCAGCAGAAAATGAAACTGTTCCTAAGTTTGTTCAGCTCATGAAGATGTTTGATTTCCAGGAACGTTACCGTACCCAAACCTGGAGACATCAGAGGAGGTGGTCTTCCACATCTGCATGGGTCATAAGAACACCAACCCTGAAGGATGCAGAGCTGAAATGTAAGCAGAACCCGTCAGGATGACGGATGTCAACAGGTTTTACAAACCTTTAAAAAGTTACCTCTGTGCATCGTGTTAGATTGATGGCTAACTGGATTTAAATCAGCTTAGAAGGTTTTTATGGTTCAACTCCATGTCAGGACAGTCCCTTCATCAGCTGATTAGCAATCTGGTTAAAAATTGTGGCTGTTAAACTGGGACAGAAACTGTTTTTTTAATCTCTGGCAAGAAAGCTCTGGATTTACCGATGGATCTACGTTCCCACCCTCACCTATAAGCATGAGATCTGGGTAACGACCCAAAGGAGAAGATGGCGAATACGAGCGGCCAAACTGAGTTTCCTTGGCAGGCTGTTTGGGGGCACCCTTCCAGATGGGGTGAGGAACTCAGATACCCGGGAGGAGTTCAGAGTAGAGTCATTGCTCCTCCACATCTAAAGGAGCCAGCTGGGGAGGCTCGGGTATCTGTTGCTGATGCCTCCTGGTCGCCTCCCTCAGGTGGTGTCCCAGACACGTCCCATTGGGAGGAGGCCTGGTGGAAGGACCAGGACCCGCTGGAGGGACAATGTCTCTGAGCTGACCTGGTGTCGCCTCAGGGAGCAGCTGGAGGAGGTGTGTGTGGATCAGGAGGTCTGGGCATCTCTGCCTCTGCGACCCGGCGCCAGATAAAGAGGAAGAAAGTGGATTTATTGTAACAAAGCTGACCTCTAAAGAAGAGATAATCTTTAGTTTATAATCATAATGGTCTTAACTGGGTGAATAGTTTCAGCTAACAGTGATTCCTCAGCTCTGCTTTTCCACCAAGCAGCAACAGGACTGTCCTTTCTTCTCACTAATCCACCGGTGCAGAGCTTGCTCTGCCATCAAATGCCTCCGTCTGTTATGACATGTAAGTGAAAGGAGAATAGAAAGGCTGAAGGATGACCTGAAGGTCAGCTGGAAGTCCAGCCACCAGCAGAGGCTGCTGCAGAGTTATTTCCATTGATCAACCACCTTTCTGATGGATTGTGCAGCAAATGGAGAAATATTTGAAAGGCTGAGAGCCACAGTAGGATCTGTGTGGTTCTAACGGGGACGCCAAAGCTATCCTCATGCAAACAGGGCGGGCTCACTGTGGAGAGAGAGCTATGTCACATACAGGATCTACCAGGTGTCCCAAACATCCAGAGGAAACAGGTGGAGGAAGAAAAACCCACAAACTGGTTTATTCGCCATCAGTCGGATCAGCTGGCTAGAAATGCAGACACTATGAGGAGAAATCTGCTCCTGCATAAAACAAGGCTTTGTTTGGCTACTATAAAAAACCTGGAATTAAACGTTATTTCTGACATTTGAATTTAAAAAGCTTCCTGGATGGAAGAGAAATGTCTTCAAACTTGGAAACAAAGTCCAGTGGATTGTTTTTTTTAGCTGTTTTTGGACTGACTATGACCTGGATGACTGAGAACTTTCACCAGTAGGTTCCTTATCCAACGTTTGTAATAGATATAATGTTGGAGTAATACTTGCTGCACTTAGAAACTGTTTCTGCTCTAAAACATGAGAACAGTTCCTGACAGTGGAAACATGAAAATAAGAGAATAAAGTGTGCTTGACTTTTTACAGGCTTCACATTATGCGTGACTGCTGGCAGGAGCCTCACACCCTCAGACCCTCCTTCAAGGAAATCGTGTCCATGCTGGAGAACATCATGGAGAACGATGCTGTAAGCAGCCGCCTGCTCTGTTTAAAATCCACCATTAAAAATGAACCAAACCAGCTTCTGCTCCCAGTCTGCAGACGTCTCCAGATTCTATGCTTGTTCTGATGGACTGGATGCTTTCTGTTATTTGCAGGACTACGTAGATGTGGACAGTCCACAGAGTCTGGTGAGAGAGGCCAACTATCATGAAGCTAAAAGTCTTCGAGGGAGTGTCTCCTTGAAAGAAGAACATGGGGCTTAAATTTTACCAAAGCTGGAGAATTTAATCTCTGAAGAAAACCTTTTAGTTTGAGCGCTTTGTTGAGTCCTAACCTTCTGTTTCCTGTATTTTCCAAAACTTGTTAATATATTGTTAATTTCATTAAAGCGACATTTTAACGTTTCTGTTGTTTATTAGACTTTTCTTTTTGCAGCACATGATGCATGTCTATTTAAAAGACAAGTCTGGTCAGCAAAGAATAACCAATGAATCATTGTTTATACCTAAAACTAATATATTCGCAGTAATTTAATGAATTTAGTGTCAGTCAGTAAAGAAATAAAAACAATTTTTGTCACGATCACTGAGTCTGGGAGCGGCCATTTTCCCCCAAATATAGTAGCCCCTCCCTCCTGCCATCTTCCAGCAGTGACGTCACGGTGCGGTAAGCCTAGCGCCATTCTCCCCGCTTTACAAGCTAAATCAATGGGAACTACTAGACACATCTGCAATCAACAACAATTATTGAAGATTTCCAGAGGACTTCACCATTGAAATTCACCAGAGCTATAGTGAAACTGACAATGCCCACGTGCATGGCAGCTGGATGCATGGAATACATCGGGTAAAAGTGGAAAAAAAAGAGTTATTCCACCTTTCTGATTCCTGATCCTCCACGGACGAGTTGGTCGTTGGATCGCCAACTTGAAGAGGGAGGATTTGCCATCGAACTTCTGGCCAGAGAAAAAACCCGTAATATGTAGCCAACATTTGGAAGAAGAATGTTTTCAAGATGACTTGGATAATAGCGCGTTGTGACAAACACCAGATACAGCACTGGGACTTGATCAACAGCCGATACCGCACCGTGACAACGTCACTAACCAGTAGGTGGCAGTAGTGTTCTTTGACAAACATGGATGCCTCCAGTAAAGCACATTCACATGAAAATTACTCTGAATTAAAAACATTTATTGAACAGGATGGAATCATTTCAGATTTAAAGAACTTTCAGGAGTTTGAATTCTGAATATGAGAGACTTCTCCTTTAAAGGGATTTATTAAAGATAAAATAAAAACATAGTAACATAATTTAGCTCATTTTCTCCACACTTGGGGGCTTTTTTCTAACATTTAGGGAGAAAACGATAAATGTAAATGTTAAATCTGTTTCCACATCTTATATCTACTGTTACTGTTGATCATTTATTTCGAACACTTCAATTCAATTCAGTTTATTTATATAGCGCCAAATTCACAACACATGTCATCTCAAGGCACTTTACAGTTCAACCAGATCATACAGTCAAATTGATACAAAGTTTTCTATCTAAGGAAAACCAGTTGATTGCATTGACTCATCGACTCAAATACAATCCCTCACACTAAGCATGCTTGTAGCGACAGTGGAGAGGAAAAACTCCCTTTTAACAGGAAGAAACCTCCAGCAGAACCAGGCTCAGTGTGAGCGGCCATCTGCCGAGGCCGACTGGGGTTCAAGGAGACAGAAGCAGAGATACAAAAAGCAGCTGTAAAAGGCGGCCCCGTCCAGGAAACACGCAGCCAGGCAGACGAGCTCCAAGGCAGCTCCCATGCCAGAGGACGAAGAGAGCACATCCAGCCAGTCACGGTCAGAGAAACAGGACCACACTGGAAAACAGGCCGATCTCCAACATCTATAAACAATGGTGTTGATGGAAGCAGCACAGCTGATGTTTCTTTCCAGGATGACGTCACAGCCAAACAGGAACAGATGAGGCAAAGCTACTCTGAGGAAAAGCAGAGAGAGCAGAAGGTTAGAGATTGAACTAACAGATTCTGCAGAATAGGAGAACAGAGAGAGAATGAAGCAGAATGATGAAATGGGGGTCCCTATGTCCTCCAAAAGTCTAAGCCTATAGCAGCATAACTATAGAGAGAGCTCAGGATAACCTGAGCCACTAACTAGAAGCGTTATCAAAAAAGAATATTATGGTCAACTGTATCAAATGCAGCACTAAGATCCAACAGGACGAGCACAGATACAAGTCCATTATCTGAGGCCATGAGAATATCATTAGTGACTTTCACCAGAGCTGTTTCAGTGCTATGATGAGCTCTAAAGCCAGACTGAAACTCTTCAAAAAGTTCATTATGGTGGAAGTGATCGCAAACTTGTTTGGCAACTATTTTCTCAAGAATTTTGGATAAGAAAGGAAGATTGGATATAGGTCTATAATTGACCAAGTCATCTGGGTCAAGAGACGGTTTCTTAAGCAGAGGTTTAATTACAGCAATCTTAAAAGCTTTAGGTACATATCCCTGTAACAGAGATAGATTAATCACATCTAAAATGGAGGAGGAGATCAAAGGGAATACCTCCTTAAATAACCTGGTTGGAACTGGATCTAACATACAAGTTGAAGGCTTAGATGAAGACAATAATTTTGCTAATTCAGAAAGTTCAACTGGATCAAAGCAGTCTAAACCCGGTTCAGATTCCATGACTACCTCAGGTACAATCGCGGATAGAGGAGTGCTTATGATCTTATTTTTAATAAGATCAATCTTATTTATAAAGAATCCCATAAAATCATTGCTGCTAAGAGCAGGTGGAATGGACGGTTCAACAGAGCTATGGCTCTGGGTGAGTTTGTCAACTGTATTAAAAAGAAATCTAGGATTATTCTTATTCTTCTCTACTAATGAGGAGAAGTATGCTGCTCTCGCTTTACAAAGGGTCCTCTTATACAGCAGTAAACCATTTTTCCAGACTTGGAAGGACTCCCGCAGGCCTGTGGAGCGATATTTTCTCTCCAGTTTCCTAGCATTTTGCTTCAAAGTACGCAGCTCTGCATTAAACCAAGGAGCAAGCTTTCTATTTTTAACGGTTTTCATTTTCAAAGGAGCTGCGTTGTCTAAGGCAATACGCAGAGAACTAGCAACCCCATCAACAAAATCATCAACCTGTGAAGGGGAATAATCTAAGCTTTTGCACTCTGCAGCACTGCTCAGTGACACAGATGAGAGAGAAAGTGAAGCAGATTCTTTAAAATTTATAACTGCACTATCTGATAAAGATCTACTAAAATGGAACCTTCTTTTGGGGGAGGAGAACTCTGTTAAAGTAATCCTGAAGGTTATTAGAAAGTGGTCAGACAGGACAGGGTTGTGAGGAAATACTGTTATTTCTTCACATTCTATGCCGTATGTCAGCACAAGATCCAAAGTATGAAGATGAGAATGCGTGGGACTATTCACATTTTGAACAAAGCCAATAGTGTCTAAGATAGCATTAAAGGCTGCTCTTAAGCTATCGCCTTCAATGTCAGCATGGATGTTAAAATCTCCCACTATGATGACCCTGTCAGTATTTAATACCAAATCAGAAAGGAACTCTGAAAACTCATCTAAAAATTCAGAGTAAGGACCTGGTGGACGATACAAAGTTACAAAAAGAAGAGGTTTTCTTGCCTTGAAATTTGGATCATGGAAATTAAGGGTTAAATGTTCAAAAGAGTTGTAGGAATTAACTGTTTTGGGAGTAATCAGTAAGTCAGACTGGAAGATTGTTGCTACTCCTCCTCCTCGCCCAGAACTTCTGGGTATGTGAAAATTTAAATAGCTTGAAGGAGTTGCCTCATTTATGCTCACATAATCCTCTTGCTGCAGCCAGGTTTCTGTAAGGCAAAACAAGTCAATGTGATTATCACAAATCAAGTCATTAACTAGTAGACTTTTAGAGGAAAGCGATCTTATGTTAAACAGACCGCATTTAATTGTTTTAACTTTTTCCCCAATTGGAGTTATTTTGATTTTAATTAGATTATCATGATTTACTCCTTTGGGAATCTTTGCTAATTTATTAGATTTTGGTCGTGGGCAAGACACTGTCTGGATGGAGTAAAGAGTGGGTAACAGTAGAGAAGCTGCAGAGATGTGTGTTAAACTACAACTCTGCTTCCTGGTCTGCACCCTGGGTGGTCAGGGTTTTGGAGGACTAATAAATGTGGCCAGATTCCTAGAAAGAAGAGCTGCACCATCCAAAGTGGGATGGATGCCGTCTCTCCGAATCAGACCAGGCTTTCCCCAAAAGGATTGCCAATTATTAATGTAGCCCACGTTGTTTTCAGGGCACCACCTAGACAACCAGCGGTTGAATGACGACATGCGGCTAAACATGTCATCACTGGTCAGATCAGGTCAGGAACACTTAATAAAAAGCAAATATAAGTAAATTAATAAAGTCATAACAAAACAAAACAAAACAAAAAAGAAGAAAAAGAAAAAAATATATGTACATACCATCATGTTCGAAAAGGAGTAGGAAGAAGTAATAAAACTTAGTAAATCCTACCCCTGTTCTATAGTAACATCTACCTATGTTTAACCTCTTACACCCTAAGGGTGTATAAATAAATTTTTGCCTGACAAAAACACACAAAAGTTAATCACTTATAGCCTCACAGCTATTAGATTTAAGAAGAAACTTTTGGTACGTCTGTAAAGGTAAGATGTCATAGAATGGTTTTCTGGTGTCAGCACCATTGTAGCTTTGACCCTGCCTGAAATATTAGGGACAAAATACAAACTATTTTGCATTTTTTGAATCTCGCCAAAATTTTCTTTGAAATAAACATTGCAAAACACTACAAAAATATTATTTATAGCACAAAAAAGTAGTACAGACTTTTAAATCTAAATGTTGTGTAAAAATATACCAAATTTGGTATAATCAGATGAATCATATTTATTTTAGAATGGTATTAGTGAGAAATTTCTTAGGCGGAGAGGCCATTTTGGCACATTTATCCAAAATGTCACCAAACTGTGCCAAATATGTTTTTTACATCAATACTGGGGGTTTGTTAAAATTACGAGGTCATGTAGCAGCTGGACCCACCGGTGGGTCCGTAGGGTTCTAGGGGTTAAGCATATATACATATCTATATATATATATACACACATACTCATAGATACCTATACATATATACACACATACATACTTACACATACACCCCTATCTACACACCCACATAACTATAGACAGTATACACATATCTCTATCTACATATACGTACACATCTATCCATACATATCCATATACCAAAAACCCTTATCTCTCACACTTTTTTTATTTTTTTATATATATATATTTTTTTTTTTTTATTATTTCATCTCTCTTGACTTCTTATCGATTTTAATTCATAGTGGCAGAGCAAGTTCTATTCCCCCTCAAGCCCCCTCCTCCCTGTATCTTGTAAAAATAATTAGTTTATATATGTTTTTAAACTGGTTGATGTTTGGACATTGCTTCAAATCCATGCTCAGTCTGTTCCATAGCCTCACTCCACTATTTGTTATACAAAATCTTTTCCTTGCAGTTCTGTATCTTTGAATCTTAAAATTAGTTATCTCCCTTAAATCATACCCCCCCCCCCCCTCTCTCTCTCATAAAACACATTTGTCAAGTGACTTGGTAATAGCTTATTTCTAGCTTTAAATAGAAATTGTGCCTTTTGGAATTTTATCATATCATAAAGCTTCATGATTTTAGACATTATAAATAGTGTGTTGGTGTGTTCTCGATATCCAACTTTATGAATTATTCTCATGGCTCTTTTTTGCAATATGAACAGTGGCTCTAGTGAACTTTTATATGTGCTTCCCCATGCCTCTATACAGTAAATTAAATGAGGTAAGACCAAATAACAGAACAGAGCATGGAGTGATTTGTAATCTAAACAATATCTTACTTTGGCTATTACAGAGATGCTTTGAGATATTTTAGTGCTGATGTATTTAATATGAGACTTCCAGCAAATCTTGTCATTTATTATCACCCAGAGAAATTTAGTTTCATATACTTTCTCTATATCAACCCCTCCTATCTGTACCCGTGCATGATGAATTATTTTTTTGTTACTAAATATCATATATTTCGTTTTACTCAAATTTAGTGACAGTTTATTTTTATTTAACCAGTATTTAATATTAATGAATTATAGTGTCCAAAAGTTGCTGTAAATTCTCACCTGATCCTATTATATTTGTGTCAGATGATGTATTTTTTCTGTAAATCTTAAATCTATGTGTAAATATCCAAATAGATCTTAAATCCACACCCCAGTTGAGGGGGGTGGGGGTGGCTGGGTCAGATGAGAGCCCTCCTCCTATTGGTTCCAGTGGGTTGGGGGCGTGGCCACACGGTCAGCATATCTTCTAAAGATTTAAATCTGATATCTAGGATTTAGACTCATAGGAAAATATAGATGTATATATAAAATATGTAGATATAGGGCATTGAATCAACAGTAGGATCACCACCAGGAAGGGGTGGTGCGTTCAGGGACACCTCTGCCTGTCAGCCAATAGGAGGCCGGCATTGAACGTGCGTTTTTACGCCACAGGTCGCGGCGGACTTTTGGACCCTGATTCTTCCCTCTGTCTGCTCCTGGCGCGCGCACAGAAAATGGCTCTTCGTGTTTTAGAAATCATCTTTTTCTTTTATTTTGCATCTCATATTCCCATAACGCTGTTGATTGACCTGCAGGCCCTGCTGCCCGGACATGTTTACCCCCAGCCGGTAAGTCCCCTCCCCTCCCTCTGTGTGGCCCCAGGGCCCCTCCAGCTCCCTGAGTTTTCATCCAGTTCTCCCATCAGCTGAGGGACCTTCTGAGCTGGTATGCTGAGGAGTTCAAGGACCCCATGGTGCTGGACCCCCCCCACTGGTTCAAGTCCTTCGTGTTCTGTGAGGCTGTGCTGCAGATGCCTTTCTTTCCCATTGCAGCTTATGCTTTCCTGAAAGGTGAGTGCTGAATGCATGGGAAGGACTTTCCACAAAGGAACCTTTAAATGAGAGAAAGTCTGACAGTAACACCTGGTGTCCAGCTGCAGGTTTAGATTAGATCAGATTATAATCTGGAAGGGGTGTCCTCTGCTACTTGAGAGCAGAGGTGTTAAAGTATTCATGTTTATTCCTCCAGTTTAAATCCTGCTGTTTGAGAACATTTTATAGAGGTTAGAGGATAAAAAAAAAGTAGCATTTTTTAAAATGCTTAAAGAATAAAAGTAAAGCAGTAAAAACTGTTAAGTCCAGAAGCTTTACTGCTCTACTTAGAGGAACATTTTCCTGCAATGCTGGATGATAACTTCCTTAGACTTCCACCATTTTGGTTTGTAGTGAGCAACAAGTTGGGGCAGCACCGAGTCCAAACACAAAGAAATTGTCTGGATGAAACTAATAATTGTATTGAAATATCAACAGGCCATAATGAAAATGAGCTTACATGAAACAAAAATAAAACCTGTCTATTTTTAAACTGTAAGGAGTAGAAAGTAAAAAGTTAAGTATAAATAGTCAACATGTCTGCTTCAGTAAAGTCTTTGTACTTTGTTAGTTGACGTCTCTGAGCGTGTGGCGCTGCTGCCATTAGGGATAAAAATGTTGTTATCGGTAGATTGATAAGGTTTAAATCAGGGCCGGTCCGCCCCTCCCATAGAAATGGAGTTAGTTGACCTTCAATTCTTCACCGCAGCTCCAGCTTCTGCAGTCTATCTGCAGGCAACATCTGGCTTTACTGGAAGAACATTCAGCTGATCTATGGGAAAGGTTTCTGTGCTTCATACTTTTGGTTCAGCAATGTTCAAAATTAACCTGTGGCAAGAACAACAAACAAATTACACAGTTTAGATCCATGAAAATTAAAGTAAACCAACGAACCCGGACAAAAATCACATCAACAGGAAAATATTAAACTGAATCTTTGGTCTAAATATAGGTTTGTTAAACTGATCCTTCCTCATCTGTTGGTCTGGCTCCAAGTTTAATAATCTAAGTAATGATTTCTACATCCTTAACAAAGGATTAGGGAGTTTTCTAATGATACTGCCTCCTGTGGCCAAAACACAGAACAGCAGCTCTCCTCTGCTCCTTCTCACAGCTTGCTCTCATACTTGACAGTTTTTTTTTTTTTTACTTTTTCCCGTATCCTGGAGTTTCCATGGGTGTCTCAGTCGATCTGGATGTCTGTTGCTTCAGATTATCCACAAATTCCACCTTAAATCTAACGCTTCGATAGTTTGCTAGGTCTGAACCGTCCAACATGGACGCACTTGACGTCACATCCGCCAAACCGCGCGGGAAATTCTGACCCGAAGAAAAATAGGCTGCATGCTGATAGATGCATCAGTGCAGAACCACTGAGGCGTCAGTCTGATCATTATGTTTTAGTCATAAAGGGTTAAATAAAAACGCTGCTTTAAAGAATTATTTTTAGTAAAAACTTGCTTCACCTTCTGTGGAAACCGTGTCAATTCTATTCAGTTTATTTCTATAGCTCCAATTCACATCATGTCATCTCAGGTCACTTTCCAGTTCAGCAGATCATCCAGTCAGATTGATTCAAAGTTTTCTATCTAAGGAAAACCAGCTGATTGCATCGACTCATTGACTCTTCAGCAATCCCTCACACTAAGCATGCTTGTAGCGACAGTGGAGAGGAAAAACTCCCTTTGAACAGGAAGAAACCTCCAGCAGAACCAGGCTCAGTGTGAGCGGCCATCTGCTGAGGCCCACTGGGGTTCAAGGAGACAGAAGCAGACATAGAAAAAGAAGCATAGATACAAAAGGCAACTGTCAACCAGCTCCACAGGCGGCCCCGTCCAGGAAACACACAGCCAGGCAGACGAGCTCTGAGCCAGCTCCCATGTCAGAGGATGAAGAGAGCACATCCAGTTAGTGACAGTCAGAGAAACAGGACTACACTGGAAAACAGGCCAAGCTCCAACATCTAGAAACAAAGGTGTTGATGGCAGCAGCACAGCTGATATTTCTCTCCAGGATGGAGTCACAGCCAAACAGGAACAGACCAGATGAAGCTACTATGAGAAAAAGCAGAGAGAGCAGAACGTTAGAGATTGAACTAACAGATTCTGCAGAGTGGGAGAACAGAGAGAGAATGAAGCAGAATGATGAAAAAGGGGTCCCTATGTCCTCCAGCAGTCTAAGCCTATAGCAGCAGAACTATAGAGATAGATCAGGATAACCTGAGCCACTCTAACTAGAAGCTTTATCAAAAAGGAAAGTTTTAAGCCTAGCCTTAAAAGTAGACAGGGTGTCTGCCTCACGGACTAAAACTGGTAGTTGGTTCCACAGGAGAGGAGCCTGAGAACTAAGCCTGTCAGGCTGCTAAAGTCAGAGAGAATTTCTTCGAGGTGATCTCAGGTTTTCCATTCAACTGATCAAAGTGGGCATGTTAGCTCTTTAGCTAAATGATTGGTGTGCAGCCTGGTTCTGCTCCTGTTGATCGCTCTCCTCCTGCAGGTGGCTGTACGTGGATCCGGACTCCGGCCATTCTTTACTCCACACATGTTGCCACCACGCTGATCCCCATCCTGGCTCATATCCTCTTCCATCAGTTCCCCACCAAACCCCACCCCGGCCCCCAGACTGACAGAGAGCGCTGGCTGCTGGTCTCCATCTACGCGCCCTACCTGCTGGTCCCGCTGCTGCTGCTGCTCACCATGCTGCTGTCCTCCAAATATAACTCCGCCTCCAAAGCTGGGAGCACGTCAGGAAAAGCCAAGAAGAAGAACTGAATCCTTGACCGAACTCTGATGTTTACCTCGGTTGTAGAAGATCTCCTCCTGTCCTGCAAAACTCGATTTAAAAGCTCATCCAAGACTGAAGGCCAAACCATGTCAGGCCTTCACTCTTTTTCTTTTATGAAGCTTTTTGTGCTCCTTATTAGTTTTATCTGTTAAAATGACACAGTTAATTTAGATTGAAAAAACAGAAGCTTTCTGAAACTTTGGAGGAACGTAAGTCTGATGAAGATAAACTGGGTTTAATTGTTTTAGTATTTCTTTCACCCCATTGTGCCTTAAACTTTTTCACATTTCTATCACTTGAATGCATTTATTGTGATAAATCAGCATCAGTTTCTACATAATAACACAACGCTTCAGATAAATTTATGTTTTTTATAATCAAATTTTACAAATAAAAATCTAGTTTGGAGAGAATTTCTTCAGCTCTATTTAGCGTGATGCTTAAAATAAAATCCAGTGCAGCCTTCAGACGTCACTTCATCTGCAAACTGAGCTCTTTGGTGTTTAATCAAACCTTCTGACCGAAGCTGCAGAGTTTTAACACAGAATATCTGTCCATGTGTGTCTCTGTCTGCTGGAAGAATGAAGCTGCACATCCTGCTGAACTAAAGAATTATGCTGCAGGAAATCATTCCTTCGTTAGAGTCAGCGGGCAGAGGAGCACTGCAAAAAATACAAATCTGTCATATTTTTTATTTCATTTTCAAATTTAGTTTTCAAATGGTCAAAAACCGCACAGCCTCTCCTGCCTCCTGGTTTATGTTTGATTTGATACCAAAACGTGTTTATACACTGCAAAAAGGATCTAGAAATAAGTACAAATTTACTATTTACCTGCTAAAATTAAGTGTAAATACATTTAATTTAAGACAAACGTCTTTCTAGGTTGTTTTGGCATTGAGGGAAATTTAGCAGAGCTGCATGGCGGAGAAAGGAGACGTGTCTGAATCAAAGTTGAGCTTTAACTAATGAGTAAAGATGCTTCAGACCTGCAGCTGTGATTGAAGGTAAAACTGTTTCTATAAAGTGGGTTACTGCTGCACATGACCTCAGCAGGGGAGGAGCTGCTGATCAAACTGGCAGCAGGAGGGAGCACATGTGGAGGTCTGCTGGGTAGGAAAACTCTGCACAGCATCAGCTGCAGGAATCCTGCCTCCTCATCCGAGTCATGAAGCTTTTTCTGAATTCTGCAATCAGACCAAACTCTGCTCAGCATGTAGGGAGAACATCCAGCACAGAGAGGTTAGCGAAGCATTTAAAGGCATTTTGCTGCAGCCTGTAGATGTATATGAACTTCAATCAACAGGAAGCTGTCCAGATTCCCCAGGTGAATGTTAAAAGCCAAGACCATAAAACTGGTTCTGAGTTTAATATTAAAAGCTCCAAATATGGGCTAAGATTAAAACATCAATAGATATCAGTGATATTCTGAATCGAGAGGTTAGGAGGCAGAGGAGGAGCTAAATATGTGCAGCATTTAGTGAGATCAAATGTTAGGAGACTTATTAAGTTCAGTCTGAGTCAGATGAACACAGACTCAGTTTGCTAAAATAACAGCTGCTGATTACATTCATTAAAAATACATTTTTCACTTCAGTTCATAATAAACTTTATGGAAATTAAAGCTAATTTGGAGATTAGTTCATAGAGGCAGCCATGTTGGTTCAGCCTGTATCCGTCGGGTTGCTGGTTTCAATCCTGTCTCAGTGGTTATGATGCCTTGCCTGCTGGCCCACTGGTGCCGATGGTTTGGCTTCCATCTGTCTGTAGCTAAAGAGAAGTTCACCCCATCACATGATGAATGAATGAATGAGTGAATGAATGAGTGTGAGGCGTGGAGAGCTTTGGGGTCCTTGGACTTGATGACAGTGATACTAACATACAGATAATGTTAATTTAGTAACTATAGTCACAAGTTCAAACATATTTAATAATTACATACAGTTAGATTTTTTCTTTTGCCTTTCTGACAATTAAGGTTTTCATTAATTATTTGAGTATTCCATCAAACAAATAAAAGCACAATTTGCAGCCTTTAGCTGCTAAAGGGTTTTTATTTTACTCTTACTCTGAAAAAAGAGCCTTTATCAGATCAAATATTCAAGTTTACTGAGATGTAAAACAATGTGCCATGAAGCAAACCCCCTTTCCATTGAAAATATGATCTGAACGACCCCCCCCCCACAGTGACACAGAAGCCAGGGACAAAAACCATCCATCTTCTCCTGCACGGTCACTGTCTAACCCCCCACCCCCCCTGTCTATGGGCGAGACGCGGGGTCGACCCTGGAAAGGTGACCAGTCCATTGCAGGGCAACACAGAGACAAACAACCATTCACTCACACCTAAGGAGGATTTAGACAAGCCGATTAACCTAACAGTCATGTTTTTGGACTGTGGGAGGAAGCTGGAGTACCCAGAGAGAACCTACGCATGCTGAGGGAGAACATGCAAACTCCATGCAGAAAGACCCCGGTCCAGGAATCAAACCCAGAACCTTCTTGCTGTGAGGCAGCAGTGCGACCCACTGAGCAGCCTTTACCCAAACCAAAGATCTAAAAAATCAATTCTTGTGAGTTCGTATCCCGCTGCTGCCAGAGAGCTTCACTGTCACCAGACTGGAGCTCTGGAAACCATCAGTGATCCTAAAAGAAGAGTGAAATGAGGAAAATCAGTGGTGTTGCTCCTGTGACTGGCAGCTGAACCTCCTGATAAAAACTGCACCACTGGGTCCCTCAGATATTACGTAATCCTGGTTTGTTTATCTGCAGAAGGTTCCAGCTTTGTGGATGACTCCTAAAAACACTCAGAGGAATTATTTACTGAGCTGGAGGAACTTTGGTTGTTTTTGTTTTATGATCTGTCATTTTCTTCTTGTTCTGAGGCAGTTTCTCTGTCCTGCTGTTCTCTTTTATTGATTTCCTTCAGTTGTGTGACCCTGAGTCTTCAGTCAGGTCTCCCTGTGCTGATCATTGGATGTGTATTCTTTTGTTGTCCTAGGTTCATCTTCATGTTTCTCTGGTCCAAACTGTGTAAACATATTCTACTCGCTTAATGTCTAGCTTTGAAGCAAAAATATCCTGGGACTGACACCAGACCAGCAGTGACCTCCAGAACCACATGTGACTCTGCATTGGTCAGAGCTGATGGAGTGAGCTGTGTTCTAGCTATAGAGGTAATACAATTGGTATTTTGGGTTGTTTTTCTGCGTGTTTCCAGGGGTGGATTTAGGGAATGTGGGGCCCTAGGCAAAGAAAGGCAGGGGGCCCTCTGAATGGACAAGACAACGCAGAACAGCCCCATTCTCCAGATAGAGAAATGTTAATAGAATAGACATCCATTATCTGTTCTAGGTTGTGTCCCTCTCTTCTTGTCCCTTTTCTTCTTGTTTTCCTCTCTATGTTTTGTACTCAGCTGACTTTTCATGCTGTCTCTAAAGGAATGAAAGATTTTTTCCAAGCACTAAGCTCACTTAGCTGATTGCTCCTTCCTGTGTTTCCAAAAAGGCCAAAGTGAATAACCCAGTCCTTCTTTTCACTGTAGACAAGCCATGATCTGCTTATCTATTCTCCATTTTTCATTTGGATGAAACAATAGCTCCTCATTAGATCACTAATCCTGACAAATATTCTTTTTTCCTGAGCAAACAGGGAGAAGCTATCTGAGAGTCATTGCATTAGGGATGCAAAAAGCTTAACAGAAAAAACAAAAGTGGTTCAGATGTGTTAAAAAGAAGCTTCATCCAAACTTTGGATGCTTTGACCTTTAGGTGCCTGCAAGAAATCCGAATCCGAAAGAGGTGATCCTGGATCATGTGTCCGTTACCATCCCACTGAGTTAATATCTCTGCCTTGGGAAGAGCAACACGTTTCCATAGCAACTGATGATCCAGGGCTTCATGTCAGGTGATGCGTCAGTCATGACTGAAGAATGGACATTTGAGCCATTTTTCCCATTTATCCCCTTATTACAGAATGTTTCAACTTTTCTTCACTAAAGGTCGATGAGCTCAGCGGCATAGATCCAACCTAAAATCCTTCCTCTGTATCCAGTCTAGAAAAACATTCTATAGAGTAATAAAGCATCCAAAGTGTTTCCTCTTGGGACACTTTACAAGGCAAACTCTTAAACTCACTGAACATTTTGACACTTTTATTTTCTGCCACTAGAGGTCGCCAAACCTTAATTCTGTTCCTCTGTTTTATCATTTTTGTTGCTGTTGTTTAAGATAAATTGTTTTACAAAGTGTGCCATGTTGCATCTCTGTAGGACTGTTTACATTTTATTATATATATATATTCATATTTCCCAAGCCTTTTTTTTTTATAAATAAGCCTTTAAATTGACTTGAGCAACATGGCTGTATACCTTCATTCATGAGTCACAGCGTGTAGGCTTTCTTATAAACAGTAAATTACGCGTTATAAAGTAGAGCAGCTGAGATGATAAATATCTGATTTGTGATTTAGCCGAATTTCATCTTGCTTCTGTAGGGACTAGATGTTGCGGCGGAAGGACATCACGCGTGTTCCGCGGCGGGCAGCGTATAAAACCTGAACATGGCTCTATTTCTGGCTATTGTTGTTTGACTGAGAGGAGGACAGGTGGACAGTGGGACAGAGGGACAGAAGGACATCCTAGAGCCTCGCGGTTTATCATCGCTGCTTTAATGAGCAGTTTGGGACATGAAGTGATGAATTATTGAAGCTGTCGCTCAGAGGAAAGATTCAGTTTTGTTCTACAGCGGAGGGAAGATGCTCCGCGCACGCGCCCAATGTTGACGTTTAAACGTTTTATTGTTGGGATGTTTAAGCCGAGTGTTGAACTGCAACCTGCTCGCTGATGTTTGTGGTTTCTGTTGGTGTTTCAGAGGGACGGTGGCCTGTTGGGCTCATGTTATTGTTAGCTGTGGAGAGCAGCTATGAGGCTAGCTGTAGCCGCTAAGGCAGCGCTCTGCAGCTGATCCAGGATCAGGTCCACATCATGTAGACAATCATCCGCTGAGCATCTGGGTCACAGACAGACAGACGGACGGACGCGGCTAAGCTAAGCACCGATGCTAACCGATCGGCTGATGTAGGACATCCCGCCGCTCATCTCTGATTCACACCTGAAGGAAACATCGGATCAGCTGCCATGACCCATCAGTGAGGCAAGGAGCGGACTCCTTCCTCCTCCTGTGAGGAGAGCAGATCCAGGGTCGGGTCTCCCCGCCCTGTCACCATGGAAACGGTGGGAGACTTTGAGTACAGCAGGAAGGACCTGGTTGGACATGGAGCCTTCGCGGTGGTGTTCAAGGGGAGACACAGGAAGGTAAAGAGGAGAGAATATTAAATAAAATAATCGGATCCTCTCAGCCAAAGATCCAGATGCTAACAGCTGGTTGCTCTTTTTTCATTCCATTTACTTTGTTGGCTGTAATCGATTATTTATATAATTAGTTAATTCATGAAATGGATGAGTCAGGCAGCAGGGAGTGACGTGCAGAGGTGGGAGGAGCTTCCTCGTTCACCATCCAGGCCCAGCTTATATAACAGCTGCTCAGAGTTCATTCATGCTTCACCTAAAAACAGGATCAGATGATGAGTTGGAAAATAAACCTGACCCCCGTGAAGCATTGCAGTACTGAGGAGATGCATCTGTGATGCAGCAGAGTAAATGTGCATGCACACACCACCAGTGCATGCACACACCACCAGTGCATGCACACCACCAGTGCATGCACAGAATGATCAGGGTCTCCATCATCAGGCATCTCAGATGCTCCTGTTGCTAGAAGCCATGCATAGATGCAGGCAGGCCGCCATGTTGGCCTCTGTGGTTTTATGTAATAACACCTGAATGATGCAGTCCAACCTATTTGCAGCAGGCTCTCCATAAAGGTCCTGACCTCCTGACTGCCTCCTTTCTCAGGATGTTGAGTTTTAATGAGCTGTGATCCGTTGCTTCTTTCACACATTATTTAGACTTTCTAATGGTTTTCTCTGTGTGTGAAGATATGGAGGCAGAACTACTGACCAGACATGACACACAGGCCCATAAGGGAAAACAATAATAATTGAACTTTATTGATCCACAGTGGAGAAATTCCCTCTCTGCATTTAACCCCTCCCCTTGGGGAGCAGTGGGCTGCCATGGTGCGGCACTCAGGGAGCAGTGTGGGGTTTAAGGACCTAGAGTGCAGGCTGCAGGATCAAACCGGGTACTTGCAAACTGTTCAGAGCTGTTACCACTAGTGCTCTAACTACTAGGCCATCACTCCAACATTTATCACAGCATTTAGCAGCAGATAAAGTGAATTTTACTAAATAGAGTAGAAAACATGCTCTAAGGAGCGGGGCTCGAACTCAGAACCTCAGGATTCCAGGTCTGCGCTCTAACCACTATGCAGCCACTCTACAGGTGCTGGTCATAAAATTAGAATATCATGAAAAAGTATATTGATTTCAGTAATTCCATTTAAAAAGTGAAACTTGTATATTATATTCATACATTACATACAAACTCATATATTTCAGATGTTTATTTTGTTTAATTTTGATGATTACAAATGACAACAAATGAAAATCTCAAATTCATCATATCAGAAAATTAGAATATTACTGAAGACCAATAAAAACAAAGGATTTATAGAAATGTTGGCCAACTGAAAAGTATGAACATGAAAAGTATGAGCATGTACAGCACTCAGTATTTAGTTGGGCCTCCTTTGGCCTGTATTACTGCAGCAATGCGGCGTGGCATGGAGTCGATCAGTCTGTGGCACTGCTCAGGTGTTATGATAGCCCAGGTTGCTCTAATAGTGGCTTTTAGCTCTTCTGAATTGTTGGGTCTGGTGTATTGCATCTTCTTCTTCACAATACCCCATAGATTTTCTATGGGGTTAAGGTCAGGAGAGTTTGCTGGCCAATTAAGAACAGGGATACCATGGTCCTTCAACCAGGTACTGGTAGCTTTGGCACTGTGTGCAGGTGCCAAGTCCTGTTGGAAAATGAAATCTGCATCTCCAAAAAGTTGGTCAGCTGCAGGAAGCATGAAGTGCTCTAAAACTTCCTGGTATGTGGCTGCGTTGACCCTGGACCTCAGAAAACACAATGGACCAACACCAGCAGATGACATGGCACCCCAAACCATCACTGACTGTGGAAACTTTACACTGGACTTCAAGCAACGTGGATGAAGTGCCTCTCTTCTTTTCCTCCAGACTCTGGGACCTTGATTTCCAAAGGAAATGCAAAATTTACTTTCATCAGAGAACATGACTTTGGACCACTCACCAGCAGTCCAGTCCTGTTTCTCTTTAGCCCAGGCAAGACGCTTCTGACGCTGTCTGTGGTTCAAGAGTGGCTTGACACAAGGAATGCGACAGCAGAAACCCATGTCTTTCATACGTCTGTGTGTGGTGGTTCTTGAAGCACTCACTCCAGCTGCAGTCCACTCTTTGTGAATCTCCCCCACATTTTTGAATGGGTTTTGTTTCACAATCCTCTCCAGGGTGCGGTTATCTCTCTTGCTTGTACACTTTTTTCGACCACATCTTTTCCTTCCCTTCGCCTCTCTATTAATGTGCTTGGACACTGAGCTCTGTGAACAGCCAGCCTCTTTAGCGATGACCTTTTGTGTCTTGCCCTCCTTGTGCAAGGTGTCGATGGTCGTCTTTTGGACAACTGTCAAGTCAGCAGTCTTCCCCATGATTGTGTAGCCTATAGAACTAGACTGAAAGACCATTTAAAGGCTTTTGCAGGTGGTTTGAGTTAATTAGCTGATTAGAGTGTGGCACCAGGGGCCATCAATTTTGAACCTTTTCACAATATTCTAATTTTCTGATATGATGAATTTGAGATTTTCATTTGTTGTCATTTGTAATCATCAAAATTAAACAAAATAAACATCTGAAATATATGAGTTTGTATGTAATGTATGAATATAATATACAAGTTTCACTTTTTAAATGGAATTACTGAAATCAATCTACTTTTTCATGATATTCTAATTTTATGACCAGCACCTGTAAATTAACCTAAAAGGACAGAAAACTTGTTTAGGCAGGAAGTTCTGACTTTTTCAGTGCAATCTAAGCATTTTGCAGCCATTGGTGTGATAGAAAATCCCAGGTTTAAGTCCTTACTGGAGCCTGTCTGCATCCACTTCGTTCTCTTAAATCCTCCTGTTTTTCTGATGGACTGGAGGGCGACCTGCACCCAGATTCATGCAGGAGACGTGCAGCGTGTCCTCTGCAGCCCTGCACTGATTAGGAAATACTTTAATGAACAACAAGCTGTTGGGTGTTGTTTTGATTTTATCAACAAAAGGGATTAGAAGGTAGGGTGGTGTATTTGGAGTTTTTTTTTTTTTTTTTTATAATGAAAAACTGCTAAATGTAAATAAAATAATTTAGGAATCCAAAATCTTTAAAGCCATAAAACCACAGCATAATCTTTATAAAGATCTAGAAGTTTTTGGGAGGTGGTTTTAAAGATCCTGACCATTGAAGGACGGATTGATCCATATTTCATCCAAATATAGCAGGAAAAAAGCCTCTTGGTTTAAATGAGGAGGGATCAGGGTCCCTGGGGGGCTGCAGGATGAAAGTTTATCCAGTTTGGAGGTCATATAAAACCACAAAGGCTTTAAGGTTCAGGAAGGACTAATTTTCACCCCATAGATCTGGTTTATCAATGAATGAAGCAGAAGTTGATCCCTCTGTCCTGCTTTATGACTGCCTGTGGTTTAAACGCTCTTTACCCTTTATAGGGCAAGTTAAGCGTTTTCCATCCCCCCCGTCCCTCAGTGAGATCTAGAAGCACAAGATCTATATCCAGACATTCAGCAAAGATCCTGCTACATGGCTGTACATCTGATTTTGATATTTGACACATTAGATGAGCCCTTCAATGATATATTACCTACTGGAGAAAAAAAAAGTTAACAAGTCAAGAAAAAAAGGTAAAAAGTTAATTGGAAAATTAATAAGCCTACTTAACAATTATATTATATTATTATTTCTTATTTATTATTATTTCTAAACTAAAAATGTCAGTGCCAGTATTAGCATTAATGCCTGTAAGCTTATTTCACTCTCAGGAGTTTTTTTCATGAATTTCTTCTAGAAGCACTGTTGTTATTTTTCTTAATTCATTCGGGCAAGTTGGCGTTTCTTGTTTTTACATTGACATTCATTTTTACCATCAGAATATCCATATTTTTTTAATGTTCCAAAGGTAATAAGGTCTTGTGCTGGATTCTAATAACACTATTGGCTGAAAATGTTTAATTTTTAGAGTATTTCCCTGAGCGGCCTATAAAGGGTTAAAGTAATGGACCTAAAGCCGCTCAGGCCGCGCTGCTGCAGAAACTCACCAGATATGAAGGTCTGAAAATGTGCTGTGATTGGCCGTCCTCCTGTCATTTGTGAATGGAGGAATCGGTCATGGTTCCACTGAGGCTGGGTCATTTCTTCCACATGGAAACCTTTCCTCTCACGCCTACATTGTCAAACTGAATGCAGAATGGATAAAGGCTCCCATCTTTTATTGCATTTTATTAGCATCTTAAAATATCTCTGAATCCTCCAGATGTTGTTAATGATATTCTTATCAATTTTTCCCAGTGTCTTGTCTGGTTTCTGCCGTTTCTTCCTCCCTATTGATGCTCATCCAACCATCATCAGCTGTGATTCATGAATGAGGTCATCGGTTATTCTGGAAGTGGGAGCTGGCTGCTGCTTCTTTTTTTTTTCCAGGATGACTCTGCAGACCATAATAACCCAGCGTGTGTCCGTTGCATGCTGGGTCCTTTGCCCGCCTCCAGGCTGACTTCAGCATCAGCAGGAACATCTCCTATTAACCTAGATTCTGCTGCAGGCTGCCTCTTCTCTCTATGTTCCTGCTCTGATCAACATTTCCAGATCGTTTTTTTCAGAGGTTCTGAGCTGGTTTCTGCATATGGAGGCGTTCTGTCAGACCAGCATACCTATAGTCAATACCCATGAGCAAGACGTCATTTGTGTTTATCCATTTAGTTCTCTACGAAAAAATAAACTTTAAACTACCTCAACGGGCGTGTATCCCTTTAGTCATGTAGAAAATAAAATTTAAAGTCAGATCACCATACGCTTCAAAAAACACCAAAAAGTGAGTAATTAAATTACACGCTCGTTGAGGTAGTTTAGTGTCTATTTTTTTTTTTTTACAAAAAATAGGGTCAGTAGTAAGACGCCTGTTCTGCCTCTTCATTCTGCGCCTCAGAAGGCGCAAAGCCAAGTGACCTGATGCTAAGCGTTTCCTTCCACCTTCCAGGCATCGTTCAGCAGCACCATCAACCAGGAGGCCTCTCCTGGATTAGGGCTGATGCTTGAGGCGCCCAGCAGGGAGGTTATGTTGCTCTAGTCTGAAAAAAACCATTTGAAAAGTTCAGACACGCAGGAAACAGTGGAACAAATGGAGTCTTTGATAAATGATCCTGTAAGCTGTGGTCTGGAGACGGATGAGGATGTCCTCTAACCTGTTTTCTCCTCTGTGCTGGGAAGAAAACTGACTGGGAGGTGGCCATCAAGAGCATCAATAAGAAGAACCTGTCCAAGTCCCAGATCCTCCTGGGCAAGGAAATCAAAATCCTGAAGGTGAGGGGGGTGGCTGATGACCTGATGGTGACCTGATGGTGACCTGATGGTGACCTGGGTCATGGAAGCTGACCTTTCTCTCTCTGCTCTGTTTACTCAGGAACTGCAGCATGAAAACATCGTGGCTCTTTATGACGTTCAGGTAAGTGTAAAGACTCGGGGTGGGTGGGAGGGGCTTGAAGCTGATTTCCATGAGTGACGAATTAGCTCAGTAAAACTTTAGGGGTTCTGATGATTTCAATCAGTTTAAAGTCATTGCAAGATCAGAAGATTTACCACCAGCTTCCTGCCATGAGGGAGTGGTCTGTAGTCTGACGCCTCGATTCCACACACTGCGTCGGCGCTCCGCCCCACTGCAGAGTACCTGTCTGTCATGTTAATCAGTGAGAGCTGTTCCACATCCACCGCTCCTCCACTCGTCTCCGTCCGTCAAAATCCAGAGCTGAACTATTTTTATCTCCGCTCCGGTCCGGCCAGGTCAAGATCCGCAATTCCAGTCGCACCAAACAGGAAAAAGAGCAGCAAGGAGATCTTGTTTGTTAAAATACAGTAACTACAGATCGGTAATTACAAATTGGAGCATAATTCTTCTATATTCCCAAAATCAAAGAACGTTTCATTAGATGATTGGATGCAAACTATTGGTTCTTCAACAGACCAGGAAGCAGATTTCTCATCTCCATCAAAAATTTGATTTTATACCGAGGGGCTTAAAAGTTTAATCAATTGGAAGTAGAGAACAAACATAGTTCATCCAAACCATGGATGATCCTTGTTTTCCATCTTACAAAAATCCACAACAAAAAGAAAATATTTGCGCAGAAACTGTTTATATGCTGGATGCAGATTGGGAATTTTTTAAGCTGTCATATTAAATTAAGCGTTCATTTCCGCATGTTTTGCTCCTATAAATGTAATATTACCGTAATATAGTGCATGTTCTCCTCCAGCTCAGAGGAAGTCGGAGCGGAGCAGGATGGTAGGAACAGCGGAGGCTGTAGGCTTTGCTTTGCGCAGGCAATCTGTAGCGCTGCGGGGCGGAGCGTGGCTGGACGTGGCGGTGACGGAGGATGTGGGATTTCGGGGTGAGAGCAGAGGAGAAATTTTTATTCCCATTTGATCTGATGTTGGCTGAGTGCTAACATGACTAAACCAGCTTTATATCTAGGCCTTTTAGATCTTCCCTTAACTAGGAGACTTTCCAAACGATGTGCTTCTTTAGAAGCTCTGATAGCTACAGCTCCTCCCATCCAGGAGGTGGCGCCCTGACCTGCTTTTACCGTTTGCCAGATGGCTTCAAGGTCCGCTGATGCTACCTATTAGCAATCGTTTAGCCTAAATAAGTCATTACCGACGCGTCCCTTTACCTCGTTAGTTTTAATTTAGTTTGTTTTGTTTTTGATCTTGAATATGAGAAATGTTTTGCAGAGAAACGGTTTCCCTGTTCCACATGATTTCAACCTTTTATTCCCATTGGTTCCTGTTCAAAATTCATTACACAATTATTTATATACTTAATTTATTTCTCCCAGCAAAATAAATACTTTAGTTCTGCATCACTCTGGTTTTGTATCTATGGAAAAACTTCCACTGGTGACATGATTTATTGTTAGCCTGGTAGCACTTAGCATGCCGCGTTTCCTACGGTCTGGAACCAGATCTGATCCGTTCCTCCTGTCCTCGGACCAGTTGTTTTCTCTTTGGTCATAATCCTGGTCAGTTAGTGGGTTTAGTAGTTAGTACTGGTTATCCAACCTTGCCCCCCCTACAACCCCCACCCCCCACCCCCCCTCAGAAAGACACTCTGCTCCGTACAGCATCTGAAGCCAGAAGCCGGTGCGTTCATAGTCCACTTTCCAGTTAAACATGGCTAACTGGTCTCTAGCCATCTACTGGTATTTCTCCAGATTCACTTCATCAGCAGCTGTCCCCCAGTTTGTCTTTGAAACTTTTCTCTAGTTATTCGTGAGCCATTTCATTCTGGACAAGCAGAGGTTGTCGGTTTAAATCTGGATAGTTTGGTTTTCCTCAGACTCTGCTGTAGTTCATTTCCCCACCATCTTAGCTGCCAGCCTCTAGAAACCTCTTTGATATGGGATTTCATGACATCATTGTTTATAAAATGTTGTTTTATTGTAATACTCATCGGGTTGTTATTGGAGTCATTTAATTTGAAAATATCATACAGTGTGTCCTGAGCTCAGTGTGGTTTTCAGCTTTATAATTCCCTGAAGCAGAGCATAATAAAGCACAGTGAATGTCCCTATCAGCAGACTTTGATCCTAACCTAGTTGTGACTCCATCATGTGACCTTCAGGTGTTCTGATTTTAGAAATGTTCTCAAATCCTCTAAGGATTTTTACAATTCTATTCAGTTTATTTCTATAGCTGCAATTCACAACATGAACATTTGAGATAAACTAACCGGAGTTAAAATTACATTTAGTAAGTTTTTACTGAAAAACCGCTTTTCTTATTTGAACCTTTTATGAATTCTATTCTATTCAGTTTATTTCTATTCAGTTTATTTCTATAGCTCCAATTCACATCATGTCATCTCAGGTCACTTTCCAGTTCACCAGATCATCCAGTCAGATTGATTCAAAGTTTTCTATCTAAGGAAAACCAGGAGAAAAATGGATTAAATCTATAAGAACAGACAAGATGTGCTTTAAAAACCTAATAATTATTTCTGATGTTGATTTGATGATGTATATCAGGGGATCTGATATACCTTTAAAAATGAATATGCCTCCAGTTCTGAAAAAATAGTAAAGATGAATATGTATTTTTTAAATGTATCTTGCAATGGAGCATAAAATGGTCTAGAACTTGACAGTAAAATGATTTTATTTTAATATTAGGCTACATTTTCAAGACTAAGTGATAAACAAAGATTATCCGTTTAAAAACCACATGGAAAACAATTAAAAACACCGCCTAAATTATGGCGACGGCTCCGCCTAAACGACGGCGACGGCTCCGCCTAAACCATGGCGCCGGCTCCGCCTAAATGATGGGCCTACAAGATGGGCCTAAATGACGGCGACGGCTCCGCCTAAATGATGGGCCTAAATTATGGCGACGGCTCCGCCTAAACGACGGCGACGGCTCCGCCTAAATGATGGGCCTAAATTATGGCAACGGCTCCGCCTAAACGACGGCGACGGCTCCGCCTAAATGATGGGCCTAAATTATGGCGACGGCTCCGCCTAAACGACGGCGACGGCTCCGCCTAAATGATGGGCCTAAATTATGGCGACGGCTCCGCCTAAACGACGGCGACGGCTCCGCCTAAACGACGGCTATGGCTACGCCTAAATGATGGGCCTAAACGACGGCGCCGGCTCCGCCTAAATGATGGGCCTAAATTATGGCGACGGCTCCGCCTAAACGACGGCGACGGCTCCGCCTAAATGATGGGCCTAAATTATGGCAACGCAACGGCTCTGCCTAAACGACGGCGACGGCTCCGCCTAAATGATGGGCCTAAATTATGGCGACGGCTCCGCCTAAACGACGGCGACGGCTCCGCCTAAATGATGGGCCTAAATTATGGCGACGGCTCCGCCTAAACGACGGCGACGGCTCCGCCTAAATGATGGGCCTAAATTATGGCGACGGCTCCGCCTAAACGACGGCGACGGCTCCGCCTAAATGATGGGCCTAAATTATGGCGACGGCTCCGCCTAAACGACGGCGACGGCTCCGCCTAAATGATGGGCCGAAATTATGGCGACGGCTCCGCCTAAACGACGGCGACGGTTCCGCCTAAACGATGGCGCCGGCTCCGCCTAAATGATGGGCCTACATGATGGGCCTAAATGACGGCTATGGTTCCCCCTTAATGATGGCCCTAAATGACAGTGAAAGGTTCTCCCTAAATGACAGACTGGCCACCAGTGTTAGTATTTCTTTGTATTCTTTCGCCGTGCCCCCCCCCAACCCTCATCCAAATCACAGGATACAGAAAGATGTAAACAGTCCAGCAGACGCAGTCAGCGTTCCTTCTGTCAGCGGCAGCTGAGCAGTGAGCGCTGTGTTTACGGCCCAGTCCCTGCTGGTTGCATAATGTGGCTCAGCTGAGGGGAGAAGAACTGGAAATGGGACGAATGTTTCTGGTTAGTGGAACTGGGAGCAGCTAAGCTTTCCTAGAAAGCCTGGCTCTGTTTGTGTTCCTCCAGAGGTTGGGTTTCCAGAGGGTTTAGAGGAGACCATCTCTGGCCGTGTTTTCCTGTTCGCTCTGACGGTCACCGCTGTCAGCTGTTCAGAACACGGGGTGACGTTGGTGTGACATCAACAGGCTTCTGCTGCACACTGCTCACTAGCTGCTGCCAGTTGTACACAAACATCTCCTGGCTGCAGCGTTTGCTTTCCCACACGCCGTTGCATAACCCTCAGCTGCTCCTGTTGGACTGTGACACAATAACTCAGCCTGTTGCTCTGAGCTGCTTGTGAAACCACTGTGTGACCGTGAGCGTGCTCCGAGGACAGGTGGCTGTTTTGGAGGATTTCACGCTCGTTTCTGGGCCCCGCCCTCAGCTGGCGGCTCGCCATCTGTAGCCAAAAAACCCCCAGAAAACACGGCGCCTGGTTATCATTTCATAACGTTTAACTGCTGCTTCCTCTAACGGCGAACAAAGGGCGTCCTGTGAACTGCTTCCTCTGCTGGCTTCGCTTTACTCCAGCAGAGGATCAGAGGATAGATTAATGCTGGGATGTAGAGCAGCGTGGTTCTGACAGCCATAACCATTATGCAATCTGCCTTTAGCCCTATTGGACACATACAACCCACCCCCCAGCAGCAGCAGATGGAGAAATCCCCTGATTGATTGGGAAACATGGAGCAGCTCCATGTACATAGAGGTGGCTTCTGATTGGACCGAATCTATGTGCTCTTAGAGCTGCTAACTAGTTTCTATTTCCACCAGATTCTGGTCTGAGAAGAACTAAGCCAATAGATCCAAAATGGATTCCTGTGTGTCTGAGGAAAAAAGTCATCTGAAGTGTTTTAAGCCAAATCATTTCTATCAAACTGACCCAATAGATATAAGGAACTAGAACCGAGTCCATTCCTGCATGTGGTTTTTTATGTGTCTGGATAAAAAACTAGATCCTGGCAGCTTGGAAAGCTGCAGAGCTGCTGCTGTAGTTTATGTCGCTATTGAGGTCTGTATCTTAAGGGCATCAAACTGCTGGACGTAGATGTAGAGAAACCTGAGCATTACTAAAAGGCTCTCAGCGCTGTGTCGGTACCGTCTGCTTTATTTCTGTTTCCACGGCGAAGAGGACAGGTGCTTGAGGACAAATGGCTCCTCTTACTGATTCTCTGTCTCCTCTCTTCCAGGAAACTCCCAGCTCCGTTTTCCTGGTCATGGAAGTAAGTTTAGAAACTCGGCTCTGGATGTTTACGCTTTTTCTTTCCTCTTTGGCATCCAGTCAGAGTAGCTTGGTTCTGTGACCCATCCAGTCTTTTTAATTTGTATCATAAGTTGGTTCAATGTCTTACTTGATGCATCCCTCTGTCCGCTCGTTCCTGCTCTCTGTCCACTTCCTGTGTTTTCTGCTTCACGTGTTTCCTGTCCTCATCAATGAGCCGCTACCATTAAAACCTGTTATTGAATAGTTGATCATCCTCATCCTTCACCTTCAACCTGCAGGCGGCTCTGCAGCTTTCATCCTCGCTTTTCTCCTGTTCTTTCTCCCTGCTGTTGAATGAGAGGAAGGTTGTTCATGTCTCCTGATGGGATTTTTCTCCTCACAGTACTGCAACGGAGGGGATCTTGCCGACTATCTGCAAGGTAAGCTTCTGCTAATCTGTGTGCCTGACACACAGATTATCATGGATCAAAACAAAGTTAGGGATGCTGCAGAGGAGGGAAAGCTGCATGTTTAAGAGCCTGTTTGTTTTTTTATGGAGGAGAGAAACAGCTGCTAAACTCTACAATGATGTTCAAAGCAGTGACTAGTTTCACCGCACAGAGCAGAACCTGCACATTGACTCAGGTTTGTTACCCTGATTAAAGCAGCCAGGCTTTAAAACGTCAAAAACATGGAACACTGCCCCTCCCCCATGTGTTGCTGCACAGAGAGGAGGCGGCTAGATTTTTGCTTTGCTTGTTGGAAATAAGTTGGATTATTAAAAAAACAAAACAAAAACTAGAAGTTAAAAGAGCTGCACATCTACATCCCATAGATCTATGATTAGAGTTTATCGGTTGGCTGAGCTGGAATAAAGAAGCTGCTGTGATCGGTTTCCAGTGAAAAAATTAGATGGACTGTTAGAAAAATGTCTGAAATTAGTCATATTTCGGCTCATTGCTTAGATTTAAATTACGCCGGTATTAGATATGCTGATGTCTCTAATTTATTTATTTTTTCATAACAGAAAATGATAAAAATGTATTTAATTGATGTTTTAAATGTTACATTTAGTGATGAGAGTGAAATATAGATTTTATTTATATTAAGATTATTTCAATTTAGTTTTATGTTCAGATGACATTTTAACTCAGATTTTCTTACGTTTTTTAACCTTTATTTGTCATGGTTGAAAATAAACAGCATCATGGACTCGCTCTGAAATCACTCAGTTTATGAACTTAGCCTATAAGTCCTCCAAGTTCTCAGTTTTAAACCAAACTTAATGCTAAGGTAAAAAACAAACCATCCTGTCTTAACTTTGTGAATTTACTTTATAAAAACTGATTTTTTTCTATGTCTAAATATTACAGATAATAGAATAAAAACAAAAACATTCCTGACTACAGATTAGGGTGGGGCAATCAACTGCATTTGCTATAAAATCAAAATTTTTGAATCGCAGAGGCACAAAGTTTTTAATCCTAATACATTTAACAAGAGTAAGACACTAAATTTCTCCCTCCAGCCCTTTAGGTGGCAGTAATACGATTAAAGTTGGTATGAGCCGCACAGAAAGGAGGACAGAGGTGCAGCTAGCACCTAGATCTATGCTTTATAGAGGAAGTAAGAACTTGTTTAACAGTAAAGTCCAGCACTGCAGGACTCTGGACAAGCAGCCTTTTAGGATCATGGAAAAACTGAAACCCTGGAGTAAAACACTGTGCTTGGTGCGAAGGATTATCGCAATAAAATCGCAATGTTGGTTGAAAATAATCGTAATTTATATTTTTGGCTCAATGGTTCAGCCCTCCTACAGGCAGAGCAGGAAACCAGCTTCAGCCTTGCTTATCATACCGTTTTTATCCAGGAGTTCCACAATAAAGGTGTTATTGATGTTTCAGGTCTGTGTGTAAATGACCTTTTCTAGGTAATCTCTGAATGAAACAAGGTTAGGTTTTAGGTGAAATGTGGGCGTCACATGTTGACTCTCCTGGTTTAGGTCCCAGGCCTTGGTTTAGTCACAGCTCCTCAGTGTCAGATTGTTAAATCACAGGGGGTTTCTGCGGTGCAGTTGACCGTGTGGACGGAACAGCTCCGTTTTTAATTCTATTCTATTCAGTTTATTTCTATAGCTCCAATTCACATCATGTCATCTCAGGTCACTTTCCAGTTCACCAGATCATCCAGTCAGATTGATTCAATTTTTTCTATCTAAGGAAAACCAGCTGATTGCATCGACTCATTGACTCTTCAGCAATCCCTCACACTAAGCATGCTTGTAGCGACAGTGGAGAGAAAAAACTCCCTTTGAACAGGATGAAACCTCCAGCAGAACCAGGCTCAGTGTGAGCGGCCATCTGCTGAGGCCCACTGGGGTTCAAGGAGACAGAAGCAGACATAGAAAAAGAAGCATAGATACAAAAGGCAACTGTCAACCAGCTCCACAGGCGGCCCCGTCCAGGAAACACACAGCCAGGCAGACGAGCTCCGAGCCAGCTCCCATGTCAGAGGATGAAGAGAGCACATCCAGTTAGTCACAGTCAGAGAAACAGGACTACACTGGAAAACAGGCCAAGCTCCAACATCTAGAAACAAAGGTGTTGATGGCAGCAGCTGCTGGTCTGAAGGCTAACCAGACCGTTCCTATTTCCTCACGAACAGCCTCTAAATCTGTAGAGTGAAAAACCTTTTGGTGCCTCGGATAGTTCAGCTCGGACTCTGACCTTCCACCAAAGCTCATATACGGCTCCTTTCTCTCTTCTCTAAGCCAAAGGGACTCTGAGAGAGGACACACTGAGGGTCTTCCTCCAGCAGATGGCCGCCGCCATGCGCATTCTCCACAGCAAAGGAATCATCCACCGTGACCTGAAGCCCCAGAACATCCTGCTGTCATACATGGGCCGCAGGAAGTCCAACATCAGCGCCATCCGCATCAAAATCGGTAAAAGAAGAAATCAGCTGTTTTTGTTTTTGTGGTCAGATGTTAGATGTCTAAATGAAAACACAACCTTTGTATTCTGCTGAGAAGATCCATGTGAGGGTTTATGGAATGACGGGTTTCTCATGACGCCTGTAGTCACTGTTTTGTTCTGCTTCTCTGTCCTACAGCTGACTTTGGGTTTGCTCGGTACCTCCAGAACAACATGATGGCCGCCACACTCTGTGGCTCCCCCATGTACATGGTCAGTGGCTTTAAACGTGTTTGTTTCAGTGTTTATATTATGGGTTACCAAACATTCAGGCTTCCTTGATCAGCAGATTGCTCCAGAAACCTCCCTGATCCGGTTCTTCATTCTGTTTCAGGCCCCAGAGGTCATCATGTCCCAGAACTATGACGCCAAGGCTGACCTGTGGAGCATCGGGACGGTTATCTACCAGTGTCTGGTCGGGAAGCCTCCGTTCCAGGTCTGTACGGAGCACAAGGAGCTCCTTACCTGATAAGTAGCTGCAGGGAAGTGTGTGTCATCGGTTCTGTTTCTCTCCCGTCTTCAGGCCAACAGTCCGCAGGATCTGAGGATGCTTTATGAGAAGAACAAGAACCTCCAGCCTGTGTAAGTCCCGTCCTTTGCAACGTCCTCTCGCCTCTATGATGTCATCATCTGCTGTCCGTTGGTTCGGGGTCAGTTTGTTCCTCTATCCACCTCATTATGCTATAAAACATGAAATTACATCCAGGCTGTTCAGAACGGTTATCAAATGCCTCTTCTACCAGTTTTGGGTCCGTTTCTTTCCTCTGGTTCCCAGCAGTAAAATTAGCTCTGACTTGTAAAGGGACATAGAATGCAAAACCTAGATTCCATTGTAGATGAATAAGGATAGTTCAGTGGGTGAAATGGATGAACAGAGACGTTCAAACCCCATCAACTCCTCCTTTCTCTGCAAATCTCACTATTCTAAACTTCCACCATAAAACAGGTGAATTCAAACGAAGCAGAGTTGTCACGCCCCGAAATTGACATACAGACCAGCCCACTGGTTCACTGGCCCAAAGGAGGGGGGGGGTGTCAGGTATGAAGTGTGGACTGCCTGGCCGCTGACTGGAGGAGGGGGGCTGGGGGCCGGTAAGGCAGGCGGGGGGGAAGCATGGGGCCGCCTGTTTCCAGGCTACCATCACCGGGTCGGGTTCAGTTGCTCCGTCCCCCACTGGCTCCCTGCCCCTGTCCGCCGGGGTTCCCTGACCAGCCCTGGAGCTGACGGCTCGGTTCTGCTGCACTGTAGTCGATCTGAATCTCGGACGATTTCTAAATTCCACCAGACATTTTTTTAGGCATGAAAAGTAGGACATGTCTGCGTCTTTGCTCAGCAGCTTGGCTCGTTGTAAACCAACCAATCAGAGCACAGCTCATCTAAATATTCATGATCAAACCATAAAAGGAAGAAAACCTGTGGTTTCATTCTAGGGCTTTTAACCAGGCTGCATTAGGGCTCATAGAACAGCTAATATGCCATTTTCAGCCCAACCAATGTTACACACCCTATTAGAGACCTGAAGGACCAGATACCCTATAGAATCATTCTATCACCCTATTAGAGACCTGAAGGACCAGATACCCTATAGAATCATTCTATCACCCTATTAGAGACCTGAAGGACCAGATACCCTATAGAATCATTCTATCACCCTATTAGAGACCTGAAGGACCAGATACCCTATAGAATCATTCTATCACCCTATTAGAGACCTGAAGGACCAGATACCCTATAGAATCATTCTATCACCCTATTAGAGACCTGAAGGACCAGATACCCTATAGAATCATTCTATCACCCTATTAGAGACCTGAAGGACCAGATACCCTATAGAATCATTCTATCACCCTATTAGAGACCTGAAGGACCAGATACCCTATAGAATCATTCTATCACCCTATTAGAGACCTGAAGGACCAGATACCCTATAGAATCATTCTATCACCCTATTAGAGACCTGAAGGACCAGATACCCTATAGAATCATTCTATCACCCTATTAGAGACCTGAAGGACCAGATACCCTATAGAATCATTCTATCACCCTATTAGAGACCTGAAGGACCAGATACCCTATAGAATCATTCTATCACCCTATTAGAGACCTGAAGGACCAGATACCCTATAGAATCATTCTATCACCCTATTAGAGACCTGAAGGACCAGATACCCTATAGAATCATTCTATCACCCTATTAGAGACCTGAAGGACCAGATACCCTATAGAATCATTCTATCACCCTATTAGAGACCTGAAGGACCAGATACCCTATAGAATCATTCTATCACCCTATTAGAGACCTGAAGGACCAGATACCCTATAGAATCATTCTATCACCCTATTAGAGACCTGAAGGACCAGATACCCTATAGAATCATTCTATCACCCTATTAGAGACCTGAAGGACCAGATACCCTATAGAATCATTCTATCACCCTATTAGAGACCTGAAGGACCAGATACCCTATAGAATCATTCTATCACCCTATTAGAGACCTGAAGGACCAGATACCCTATAGAATCATTCTATCACCCTATTAGAGACCTGAAGGACCAGATACCCTATAGAATCATTCTATCACCCTATTAGAGACCTGAAGGACCAGATACCCTATAGAATCATTCTATCACCCTATTAGAGACCTGAAGGACCAGATACCCTATAGAATCATTCTATCACCCTATTAGAGACCTGAAGGACCAGATACCCTATAGAATCATTCTATCACCCTATTAGAGACCTGAAGGACCAGATACCCTATAGAATCATTCTATCACCCTATTAGAGACCTGAAGGACCAGATACCCTATAGAATCATTCTATCACCCTATTAGAGACCTGAAGGACCAGATACCCTATAGAATCATTCTATCACCCTATTAGAGACCTGAAGGACCAGATACCCTATAGAATCATTCTATCACCCTATTAGAGACCTGAAGGACCAGATACCCTATAGAATCATTCTATCACCCTATTAGAGACCTGAAGGACCAGATACCCTATAGAATCATTCTATCACCCTATTAGAGACCTGAAGGACCAGATACCCTATAGAATCATTCTATCACCCTATTAGAGACCTGAAGGACCAGATACCCTATAGAATCATTCTATCACCCTATTAGAGACCTGAAGGACCAGATACCCTATAGAATCATTCTATCACCCTATTAGAGACCTGAAGGACCAGATACCCTATAGAATCATTCTATCACCCTATTAGAGACCTGAAGGACCAGATACCCTATAGAATCATTCTATCACCCTATTAGAGACCTGAAGGACCAGATACCCTATAGAATCATTCTATCACCCTATTAGAGACCTGAAGGACCAGATACCCTATAGAATCATTCTATCACCCTATTAGAGACCTGAAGGACCAGATACCCTATAGAATCATTCTATCACCCTATTAGAGACCTGAAGGACCAGATACCCTATAGAATCATTCTATCACCCTATTAGAGACCTGAAGGACCAGATACCCTATAGAATCATTCTATCACCCTATTAGAGACCTGAAGGACCAGATACCCTATAGAATCATTCTATCACCCTATTAGAGACCTGAAGGACCAGATACCCTATAGAATCATTCTATCACCCTATTAGAGACCTGAAGGACCAGATACCCTATAGAATCATTCTATCACCCTATTAGAGACCTGAAGGACCAGATACCCTATAGAATCATTCTATCACCCTATTAGAGACCTGAAGGACCAGATACCCTATAGAATCATTCTATCACCCTATTAGAGACCCGAAGGACCAGATACCCTATAGAATCATTCTATCACCCTATTAGAGACCTGAAGGACCAGATACCCTATAGAATCATTCTATCACCCTATTAGAGACCTGAAGGACCAGATACCCTATAGAATCATTCTATCACCCTATTAGAGACCTGAAGGACCAGATACCCTATAGAATCATTCTATCACCCTATTAGAGACCTGAAGGACCAGATACCCTATAGAATCATTCTATCACCCTATTAGAGACCTGAAGGACCAGATACCCTATAGAATCATTCTATCACCCTATTAGAGACCTGAAGGACCAGATACCCTATAGAATCATTCTATCACCCTATTAGAGACCTGAAGGACCAGATACCCTATAGAATCATTCTATCACCCTATTAGAGACCTGAAGGACCAGATACCCTATAGAATCATTCTATCACCCTATTAGAGACCTGAAGGACCAGATACCCTATAGAATCATTCTATCACCCTATTAGAGACCTGAAGGACCAGATACCCTATAGAATCATTCTATCACCCTATTAGAGACCTGAAGGACCAGATACCCTATAGAATCATTCTATCACCCTATTAGAGACCTGAAGGACCAGATACCCTATAGAATCATTCTATCACCCTATTAGAGACCTGAAGGACCAGATACCCTATAGAATCATTCTATCACCCTATTAGAGACCTGAAGGACCAGATACCCTATAGAATCATTCTATCACCCTATTAGAGACCTGAAGGACCAGATACCCTATAGAATCATTCTATCACCCTATTAGAGACCTGAAGGACCAGATACCCTATAGAATCATTCTATCACCCTATTAGAGACCTGAAGGACCAGATACCCTATAGAATCATTCTATCACCCTATTAGAGACCTGAAGGACCAGATACCCTATAGAATCATTCTATCACCCTATTAGAGACCTGAAGGACCAGATACCCTATAGAATCATTCTATCACCCTATTAGAGACCTGAAGGACCAGATACCCTATAGAATCATTCTATCACCCTATTAGAGACCTGAAGGACCAGATACCCTATAGAATCATTCTATCACCCTATTAGAGACCTGAAGGACCAGATACCCTATAGAATCATTCTATCACCCTATTAGAGACCTGAAGGACCAGATACCCTATAGAATCATTCTATCACCCTATTAGAGACCTGAAGGACCAGATACCCTATAGAATCATTCTATCACCCTATTAGAGACCTGAAGGACCAGATACCCTATAGAATCATTCTATCACCCTATTAGAGACCTGAAGGACCAGATACCCTATAGAATCATTCTATCACCCTATTAGAGACCTGAAGGACCAGATACCCTATAGAATCATTCTATCACCCTATTAGAGACCTGAAGGACCAGATACCCTATAGAATCATTCTATCACCCTATTAGAGACCTGAAGGACCAGATACCCTATAGAATCATTCTATCACCCTATTAGAGACCTGAAGGACCAGATACCCTATAGAATCATTCTATCACCCTATTAGAGACCTGAAGGACCAGATACCCTATAGAATCATTCTATCACCCTATTAGAGACCTGAAGGACCAGATACCCTATAGAATCATTCTATCACCCTATTAGAGACCTGAAGGACCAGATACCCTATAGAATCATTCTATCACCCTATTAGAGACCTGAAGGACCAGATACCCTATAGAATCATTCTATCACCCTATTAGAGACCTGAAGGACCAGATACCCTATAGAATCATTCTATCACCCTATTAGAGACCTGAAGGACCAGATACCCTATAGAATCATTCTATCACCCTATTAGAGACCTGAAGGACCAGATACCCTATAGAATCATTCTATCACCCTATTAGAGACCTGAAGGACCAGATACCCTATAGAATCATTCTATCACCCTATTAGAGACCTGAAGGACCAGATACCCTATAGAATCATTCTATCACCCTATTAGAGACCTGAAGGACCAGATACCCTATAGAATCATTCTATCACCCTATTAGAGACCTGAAGGACCAGATACCCTATAGAATCATTCTATCACCCTATTAGAGACCTGAAGGACCAGATACCCTATAGAATCATTCTATCACCCTATTAGAGACCTGAAGGACCAGATACCCTATAGAATCATTCTATCACCCTATTAGAGACCTGAAGGACCAGATACCCTATAGAATCATTCTATCACCCTATTAGAGACCTGAAGGACCAGATACCCTATAGAATCATTCTATCACCCTATTAGAGACCTGAAGGACCAGATACCCTATAGAATCATTCTATCACCCTATTAGAGACCTGAAGGACCAGATACCCTATAGAATCATTCTATCACCCTATTAGAGACCTGAAGGACCAGATACCCTATAGAATCATTCTATCACCCTATTAGAGACCTGAAGGACCAGATACCCTATAGAATCATTCTATCACCCTATTAGAGACCTGAAGGACCAGATACCCTATAGAATCATTCTATCACCCTATTAGAGACCTGAAGGACCAGATACCCTATAGAATCATTCTATCACCCTATTAGAGACCTGAAGGACCAGATACCCTATAGAATCATTCTATCACCCTATTAGAGACCTGAAGGACCAGATACCCTATAGAATCATTCTATCACCCTATTAGAGACCTGAAGGACCAGATACCCTATAGAATCATTCTATCACCCTATTAGAGACCTGAAGGACCAGATACCCTATAGAATCATTCTATCACCCTATTAGAGACCTGAAGGACCAGATACCCTATAGAATCATTCTATCACCCTATTAGAGACCTGAAGGACCAGATACCCTATAGAATCATTCTATCACCCTATTAGAGACCTGAAGGACCAGATACCCTATAGAATCATTCTATCACCCTATTAGAGACCTGAAGGACCAGATACCCTATAGAATCATTCTATCACCCTATTAGAGACCTGAAGGACCAGATACCCTATAGAATCATTCTATCACCCTATTAGAGACCTGAAGGACCAGATACCCTATAGAATCATTCTATCACCCTATTAGAGACCTGAAGGACCAGATACCCTATAGAATCATTCTATCACCCTATTAGAGACCTGAAGGACCAGATACCCTATAGAATCATTCTATCACCCTATTAGAGACCTGAAGGACCAGATACCCTATAGAATCATTCTATCACCCTATTAGAGACCTGAAGGACCAGATACCCTATAGAATCATTCTATCACCCTATTAGAGACCTGAAGGACCAGATACCCTATAGAATCATTCTATCACCCTATTAGAGACCTGAAGGACCAGATACCCTATAGAATCATTCTATCACCCTATTAGAGACCTGAAGGACCAGATACCCTATAGAATCATTCTATCACCCTATTAGAGACCTGAAGGACCAGATACCCTATAGAATCATTCTATCACCCTATTAGAGACCTGAAGGACCAGATACCCTATAGAATCATTCTATCACCCTATTAGAGACCTGAAGGACCAGATACCCTATAGAATCATTCTATCACCCTATTAGAGACCTGAAGGACCAGATACCCTATAGAATCATTCTATCACCCTATTAGAGACCTGAAGGACCAGATACCCTATAGAATCATTCTATCACCCTATTAGAGACCTGAAGGACCAGATACCCTATAGAATCATTCTATCACCCTATTAGAGACCTGAAGGACCAGATACCCTATAGAATCATTCTATCGCCCTATTAGAGACCTGAAGGACCAGATACCCTATAGAATCATTCTATCACCCTATTAGAGACCTGAAGGACCAGATACCCTATAGAATCATTCTATCACCCTATTAGAGACCTGAAGGACCAGATACCCTATAGAATCATTCTATCACCCTATTAGAGACCTGAAGGACCAGATACCCTATAGAATCATTCTATCACCCTATTAGAGACCTGAAGGACCAGATACCCTATAGAATCATTCTATCACCCTATTAGAGACCTGAAGGACCAGATACCCTATAGAATCATTCTATCACCCTATTAGAGACCTGAAGGACCAGATACCCTATAGAATCATTCTATCACCCTATTAGAGACCTGAAGGACCAGATACCCTATAGAATCATTCTATCACCCTATTAGAGACCTGAAGGACCAGATACCCTATAGAATCATTCTATCACCCTATTAGAGACCTGAAGGACCAGATACCCTATAGAATCATTCTATCACCCTATTAGAGACCTGAAGGACCAGATACCCTATAGAATCATTCTATCACCCTATTAGAGACCTGAAGGACCAGATACCCTATAGAATCATTCTATCACCCTATTAGAGACCTGAAGGACCAGATACCCTATAGAATCATTCTATCACCCTATTAGAGACCTGAAGGACCAGATACCCTATAGAATCATTCTATCACCCTATTAGAGACCTGAAGGACCAGATACCCTATAGAATCATTCTATCACCCTATTAGAGACCTGAAGGACCAGATACCCTATAGAATCATTCTATCACCCTATTAGAGACCTGAAGGACCAGATACCCTATAGAATCATTCTATCACCCTATTAGAGACCTGAAGGACCAGATACCCTATAGAATCATTCTATCACCCTATTAGAGACCTGAAGGACCAGATACCCTATAGAATCATTCTATCACCCTATTAGAGACCTGAAGGACCAGATACCCTATAGAATCATTCTATCACCCTATTAGAGACCTGAAGGACCAGATACCCTATAGAATCATTCTATCACCCTATTAGAGACCTGAAGGACCAGATACCCTATAGAATCATTCTATCACCCTATTAGAGACCTGAAGGACCAGATACCCTATAGAATCATTCTATCACCCTATTAGAGACCTGAAGGACCAGATACCCTATAGAATCATTCTATCACCCTATTAGAGACCTGAAGGACCAGATACCCTATAGAATCATTCTATCACCCTATTAGAGACCTGAAGGACCAGATACCCTATAGAATCATTCTATCACCCTATTAGAGACCTGAAGGACCAGATACCCTATAGAATCATTCTATCACCCTATTAGAGACCTGAAAGACCAGATACCCTATAGAATCATTCTATCACCCTATTAGAGACCTGAAGGACCAGATACCCTATAGAATCATTCTATCACCCTATTAGAGACCTGAAGGACCAGATACCCTATAGAATCATTCTATCGCCCTATTAGAGACCTGAAGGACCAGATACCCTATAGAATCATTCTATCACCCTATTAGAGACCTGAAGGACCAGATACCCTATAGAATCATTCTATCACTCTTTAACAGATTTAACCAGGAACTAACAGCCCAGAGGAAGTTTAGCTGCTCTTAGATCATCCAGCTGCTCTCTTCTCTGAACTGTAACGGTTTAAACGTCTCTGCTCCCATTTAACTGTTGGTTGTTTAACGCTGGTGTTGATGTTCTGGTTGTGCAGAATCCCGCGGGAGACGTCTCCTCAGCTCGGTGACCTGCTGCTCGGCCTGCTGCAGAGGAATCAGAAGGAGCGGATGGACTTTGGTGGGTGTGGCCTCTGAATTGGGGCTCTGCAGCCTTCAGGCATGTTTAGAAGCTTTCATGCTCTGACCTTTGACCTTCCTCTCTCTGCAGACACGTTTTTCAGCCATCCTTTCTTGGAACCATCGTCCACAATTAAAAAATGTGAGTTGAAAGGTTTTTCTCTGGGGAATCCTCGCTGCAGTAAAATGTTAACTAACGGCAGCACGTCTCCCTCAGCGTGTCCAGTACCCGTCCCCAGCGTTGCCGCAGAAGGTTCCTGCAGCTCCTCTCCATCCATCCGCTACAGCTGCCCTCCTGTGAGTCTGATGGGTTATTGTTCCATGGTGCTGTGGGCCTCTTCTTCTCGCCCATTGTGAACACAGAGCCGTTATTTAACCAAAGGCTTCCAACGGCCTAACCTCTCATTCTTCTCTCCATCTGAACACAGTCTCTTCCAGACATGCAGACTCTGACTGAGGACGGTCTGTCATCTCCTCCGATGGGTCCGCCCAACTTCCTGCAGCTGTCCAAAGAGTCTGCAGGAAGCACCAGCAGCAAGAACTCCTCCTGTGACACAGATGATTTTGTTCTGGTTCCTAACTTCTCAACTGAGAGCTGTAAGCATCCAAAGCAAAGTTATTTAAGGCCTGAGCCTTGATAGAACTACTACTACTTAGATTAATAAATGCTTTCTGCTGATAAATACAGATAAATTGTAGGGATGCACGATATAATTGGCCCCCTATCATTATCGTCCTTAAAACTGAATATCGGACATCGGTCACCCCACCGATATTTAAAGTTTCTAAAGTCTAAAAAAAAACAAAATACTACTTCTTCTTCCTCTTTTTTACAGACTTAAAAACTTCTAAAGACGAGGGAAAAAATATTGATACATTAAAATATCCCAATATCTTCATATGCTGATATATTGCCATTTAAAAACACCATATCAATCTCTTTTACTAATGAAATATTGCTATATGTCATCGTTATGCTACGAAATCCCCCGAAAATTCACCAAATGTTGCCATATTTTTATATGTTGATATATTGACGCGGTATCGATCTATTTTACTAACAAAATCTCACAAGAATTTCCAAATATTACGAGAGTTTTTAACAGAACGATGAAATTTCACCAGATTTTGAAAGTAAAATAGATCGATACCGTGTTTTTAAAAATCTATTTGATATCAGCATATGAAAATATATTTCAGTATATTATTTTTGAAAGTGTCAGAAATGGATAACAAAACTGCTATTTTCAATGACTACTTATTTTTGTCCAGCTTTAACATCGGTATCGGTTATCAGCTACATGAGTTTTAAAATATCGGCATATCGGATATCGGCCAAAATCCCAATATCGTGCATCCCTATAAATTGTTGATAATTTGATTTCAAAATCCTAGTTTTAGTGGATGTAGATCCCATGGGCGTAGGTTTGCATAGGGAACATAGGGACCTGTCCCTACCAATGATTAAATGTGAATAACATGTTTATAATTTACAACACAACGTTGTTACAGCAGTTACTTCTTTTCCTCTCACAACTTTGCTGCCTGGTACGAAACCTCCGGCTACCTGGTACCTGCTGTGTTTAACTTCTTCTTAGTCGCTGATGAACTCCAATGCAACCCTTTTCAGAGTGGAAAAAGTCTCAATTCATCAGACCTGTTGATGCTTCAAACATTGAGAAACAGCATCTAGTGTGTGTAGTGTTATAACATTTGTATAAATGTAGCTTTAAACTAACTGTACCCTGATGCTCACGTCAAGCATAAAAAAAGAGCGTGCATATTTTTGTACAGGACCACTGACATCAGACCAATGAAACTAAAGACCAATAGTGTCCCTACCAAAGTTGATATCAAACCTACGCCCTTGGTATAGATCCAACATCTCCTAACCCATCATGTTCTGTGGCAGACGGGTTGCATATAACTGGAAGCTTATAGATGTTTCATCGAAGGCCTGCTGGAAAGGAGGCCATTGTTGCTTGATTTTAGTGTAACGCTTGTGTAAAAAAGTGCTTCCTTCTACTTGCATGCATGGATCTGCATGGTAACGGCAGCTCTCTCTGACTTTCTGTGGCTGCAAACCCCCTTTAAGTGTTTTACTGCTACCTAAAGCTGCAGTGTGAAATCTTGAGTATTAATCCAAGTGTAACCGACTAACATCGAGTGCCTCTGTGATTTTAAAATTTCATTTCATTACTTAGTGATTTTATTGCAAATGCAATTAATTACCCAGCCCTATTATCCAATATTATTACACATTTATTACATTTTTCTTTTTTTTTTTTTACAATGCATCTCTCCTTTGCTGTGAGTTTTAGCATCTTATGCTCCAGGATCTGCAGCATGTTGCTCTGAAATGCTGCTAACAGGTCAAAGATGAGTGAAGGAGACTCGGCCAATAGCTGCAGCAGCTCAGAGTCCTGTGAGAGCGTTTAGTTGGAGGCTTTCAGTGAGCAGATCTTTGAGTTTCCAGCTGCTCCCATCGTCACTCAGGACTGATCAGGCTGAAAATCAACAGGTTTCTGTCTGCAGGTTAAACTTGATGCATCTCTAATCTTCAGACGTACTGACTGCTAACAGGTCAGGGTTTATCGGTGCTGTGAATCCTGAGCTCGCTGCGTTTAACCCTTTAAGCAGCAGGTCCAGCTCCGACCTGGTGCTGCTGTTCTTTATCTGCTCAGCTGGTCCCAGTCACACTAAACTGGCTATTTTTATTCTCAGCAGCCACCTTTAGGAAGGGAATAAACAGCAGACAGGAGGTCCATCAGTTTAAACACTGCCTCTATGCTACAACAGGCCACACGCTAACCTTCATGGCTAATAAAATCAACCGCTGTGTAGCCGCTCGCAGGTGATGGTCCTGAAGTCTGTCAGGACCTGCTTCTATCCGTCCAGCTGAACTCTGCGTTCTGTACCATCATAGTCCTCATACTTGTCTGTTTTGTCCTCCTCCACAGACGACCACCCAGCAGGAGCCGGCTGCCGCCCGTCCACTGACCTTTTCATGTGTGGAGGGTGAGTAACCACCTAATGCAGCGTCTTTGTGATGCTCAGAAACTCCTTTCTCAATGCGTCTGTTACTATCATAGCATCATAAGGCTAAGCAGGCATTAAAGATGGCCACTGAGCGACGCGTTAGGCTGCCACTGAGACTTTAAAGCATTTAGACTAGTTTTCTGAAATGCAGGTTTTAATGGCTGTTTTCTAATGATGCTGCCACCTGTTGCCAAAAAACAGTACTGCTCATTGCCTTGTTCCAGCTTTCCTTTTTCCAACTTTCCTGGAGTTTCCATTGGGATCTGAGCTGATCTGGATGTCAGTCGCTTCTAATTGTCCACAGAAGCCAACTTGCATGTAACACTTGGATAGTTTGCTGGGTTTGACCCATCTAACATGGGTTAAAACCGCAGACCAGCGCAGGAACTTCTGACCTGAAAATAGGCTGAAAGATGCATCGTGCTGAACTACTGTGGCATCATTTAAAACGTGTTTTATTCTGCCTGGCTGTGTGTTTCCTGGACGGGGCCGCCTGTGGAGCTGGTTGACAGTTGCCTTTTGTATCTATGCTTCTTTTTCTATGTCTGCTTCTGTCTCCTTGAACCCCAGTGGGCCTCAGCAGATGGCCGCTCACACTGAGCCTGGTTCTGCTGGAGGTTTCTTCCTGTTCAAAGGGAGTTTTTCCTCTCCACTGTCGCTACAAGCATGCTTAGTGTGAGGGATTGCTGAAGAGTCAATGAGTCGATGCAATCAGCTGGTTTTCCTTAGATAGAAAACTTTGAATCAATCTGACTGGATGATCTGGTTGATCTGGATCTATAAAGTGACCTGAGATGACATGAGCTATAGAAATAAACTGAATAGAATTAAAAATGATAAAGGGTCAAATAAAAAAAAGCTGTTTTTCAGTAAAAACTTACTAAATGTCATTTTAACTCTAAGTTTATCTCAAATGTTCGACAAACATTAAGGATCAACTTCTATATATAAATTCTACTGTCAGGATTTTCTGTCTCTGCTAATCATAGATGTTTTCCTCCTTTTCCAAATGAGCTGCAAAGCCGTGATGCTGCTTTTTAAAATGACTGATGAGCTCATTTTGGAGGCGTTTCTTGGTGGGATTAGCAGCGTATTGTTTATTCCTGGGTCAGCGAGTCGTCTTTAGTCTGTCTGTTGCGTCATTAGAAGGAAAACAGGCTCCTCACTGCATGGTGAGAAATGTCACCCTGTTGCTGGATGAGTCAGAAAAGCCAAAGTGGTGCGATGATAAGAATAGCTTCACACCACCACAGTCACTGTTATGCTGATTTAACCGTGAGCTTTTAATGGGGAACTGGAACAGATCATTTTATTCATTTCTTCCTAGATTCAAACAAACACATCTCCTCTTGTAAAAGTATTAATGCCTCATAACTTTTAACGTTCCAACCCTAAATTTTAACGCATCTTTGTCCAACATTAAAAGGAGGAAGGAAGCTAAATGGTTTATAAGGTTTTTATTTTGGGGTTTGTCCTCCAGGTTGGATGGATGACATCTATAAAGATAAATGATTTTTCTATCATTGTGGGTCTGATGCTGAGCTGCTTTAGCCCATGGCCGCGCTTTCATCAAACCGTTCCACTGGATTTCAGGCTGGATGTTGCTTAAAGGTTTGTCCTGCTAATAGTGAAACTGTCCGGCTTTCTTTCCTTGCTGAGAAAAGCGTCCTGACTGTTTGGTCCCTCTGCTGTCATGTTCTATGCTGGAAATGCTACCTTCACCCTGATCTGCATTGTCAGGTTTCTGCTCTGCTTGGACTCAGATCTACTCAAGGTTTGCATGTTTTAAAACATTTGCAAAGCGGATCAACTTTGCAGGAAGGGCTTTAAAAAGTGATCCGATAAATATCTTGGCTCTGCGGCAAACGTTGCGGCTCCCGCTGCCGGTAAGAAATGAAGAGTTTGGGTCGTTTTCTGTTCAGCTGTTCTGCAGAATTCACAAATTTTTTTTTTTTCTCTTTCTTCTGCTGGAATCCCACAGTTTTCTGTTTTTTAAATAATAAATGAATATTTGTAATAAAAGATAAATGTGGGTAGATGTGTGGATTTTGTATGATCAGTGGAGGTTTGAGTGACTTTGCTCCCAGACGTGGAAACCTCCACCTTTCACGGTTGCATCTGGTGGAACCATCCAGGCTGCAGAAGCGGTTTCCCATGGTTGCGTCTTAAAGTGATGTTTTAGATGAACAGAGAAGGTCCTTTCTCTTTTCCTCTCCTTGCATCTCCTCAGCGTAGCGATAATAATCCCCTTGCTTTCCTAAACTCTGGTAACACCAACACTGAATCTCCTCATTGCTCGCTGCCCTCCACCAGTTTTGCTCTTTTTTTTTTTTGTTGTCTTAAAGGATCTCCAGCATCCTCCACTAAGTTCTCTAATATATTGTGCCTCTCAGTATATCTGTTCTAGTTGTCATCAGTAATTGTTTCCACTCTTCCATAGAGGTCAGATTTGTGGGGATCGCAGCTAACAGCTGAGCTCTGGTGGTTGCATCTCCCCCAGAGTCTCAAAGCGCCTCTTGGCTGCTTCTGTTTGCTTCATAATTCAAACTTCTGTAAAGGCCTCACATTTTGAACAGCCTGCCGGTCAGGGACACATTCCTGGGTGTTTTCAGAGCTACAGTGGGGAACTCTGGCTTTCTAAGGTTCGTCGGAGTGAAGACGTAGAATAAAACCTTTCACAGCTTTAACATCCATGGAGGTGGAAATGTGGAAGAATGTCTCTGATCTGGTTACTTCTGCAAGTGGCAGCGTTTTTTCAGTCTTCTCCATCTGCATCCTCTGGACATTCGTCTCCCGTTCCTCTCACTGCTTCCTGTTTATCTGAAACTGTTGCATAAATGATTTAAACCCTGGAAGAAACTTTCCTGATGATCCCGGAGTTTCCTCTTTATTGATGGCATTAAGACTGAAGCTCCTGATTTGTAAAAGTGTTTCTTGGCTGCAGTCGGTGATGAAGGGAAGCAGAGTGTGGATTCCTCTAAACAGGAAGTGATTATCAGAGAATGGCCGCCCTGCTGCTGAGTCCTGTCCTGCTCTTCTACTCGCTGTAAACTGGTTTCCATGTTTCCTTCCCTCCTTCGTCTGACGCCGAAGCCTCCCGTGTGTTTATGGATGACAGGAGGAAGGTGGAGGGGGGGGTGGGGTGTTTGGTGCAGACATGTCAGAGTGCAGCTCTTTGCTCCGTGGTTCTTTGTCTGGACTAGTCCTCCCGTCACATGACCCGTAGAACCTCCCAGTGTCTGGAGAAGCTCCTCCCCTGCCGTCTGTGTGACAAAGGCCCCCTGTTGGGTCACTGGGTCACGGCTGCTGCTGAGGAACACCATGTCCTCTTCAGAACAACACCCCCCACCCCCGCCTGTTTGATAGCACTGCGCTCTGGTCCAACTGTAGCCCCGCCCCCAGCCCAGTGTGCTCAGAGCTGATTGGTGGGCTCTCTGTGTTTACATGGAAGTCCAGCCTCTTTGTTTTCTCTCACTTTCTGACTTCAGCAGCTCAAACAAAGACCCAACGATCGCAGAACTAGAGCAGACAGATGTGTTGTGCTGTTAGCAGAGTTTTAAATTATGGGTCTGAGCGGCCATGACAAAGTTCTCCAGGTGGGATCTACAGCCTGAAGCCTCCTTTCTTCTCTCCCAGGCAGCCGCAGCCCCCCCAGGGACAGGCGGCCATGGTCTCCCCGCGGGCGGAAACCACCCCCATTCCTGTTCCCACCCAGGTGCGCAACTACCAGCGGATCAAGCAGAACCTGTCCAGCAGCCCAAGTTCTGCTGTCTACAGCTCCCCCAGGTAAACCCGCCCTTTCACCTGTGTGTGGGGGGGGGGGATGTAACGTTGACGATCTGAGAGTATCGCTGTCTAAGAGACTCGTTCACACATGAAAAGACTCTGTTATTGCATCAGAACCAAGCTGCTGAACGCAGCTCATAAGATTCCTCTGGGATAATGAAACACTGAACGTGTTAAACACACTGCAAAAAAATGTAAATCTAAATTCAGTCCATTTTTCGTAAAAGTGTTTTTTTTTCTTAAATTGTGGAAGTGCGACACTTTGCCAATGGAATAAGACAATTTAAAATAAAAAAAACATAATTTCAGTGTCTTATATTTAGTGTAAATTATCTTATTTTAAGAAATAGAAAAATGAAAACTTTTTGCTCATTTGTGGGTTGATTTTGCAGGGCGGGCTGTAATGTCTGTCCTCGGCTGCAGCGGGTTCTGTTAACCATGAGCTCAGTGAGACGATTTGATCCTGTAAATATGTCTGAAAGCTGAAGGAAAATCTTTTTCTCTGGTTGACGGTTTGTTTCCCAGGTCAGGAACCGTCAGGCGCTCCAACACCAGTCCTATGGGCTTTCCAAAGGCGGGCTGCGGGTCTCCCAGTTCAGCTGATGCCCCCCAGCCAGCGTGCCGGCGCCTCTCCACGGGCAGCTCCCGGCCCTACTCGCCCTCGCCTCTCGGTGAGCTGCGGTTCTTACCCAGCGGCCCTGTGTGAGGCCCAGACTTCATGCTGGTGTTTTGTTTTGCAGTGGGAACCATCCCTGAGCAGCTGGGCCACTGCTGCTGCCAGATGCAGAACCAGGATCATCGCATCCGCTGCTCTGCAGGAGGTCAGTTTGCACCTAAACGTCCTGAACGCTTCATAACGGCAAACATTAAACCGCAGGAAAGCAGTCTTCTGGTTTCAGTGTAAAAGCAGCTTTAGAGCTAAAGATAGCAGACAAACACCTGAGTCATCGACTTTGGATTCCATTGTTCCTGTAATAAGAAGCTGCTGGGATCTGAGGTTATTCTTTATGGTCATTGTTAAAGCTGAGGAGTGTGGTGGTTAAAACAAGTCCCGGTTCTCTGTGGAACAAAACAAACCTCCTGTGATGAACCGAGAAGCACAGGAAAAAATGGGAACAAATTTATTTACCAAAAAGAATTCAAGCTCCTAACAAACTGGACCCATAAAGGAAAACAAAAGAAAAAATCAACATAATCCAAACCTGACACAGGAACAGACCTCTCCAAACTGACATCAGGGAAACGGAGGTCGTTTCTCACTATGTGTACTTGTGCGTTCTAGTAACACTAAAACTGTTCCAGTTCACTAGGACAGCAGACCAAGTTGTTGCTGTTCTGGCTCCTCCCTCTTTACCCAGCATGCATCAGAGCAGACCTGTCCGTTCTCCAGAATGACAGCTGTCCCAGCATGCACTGCGGCAGCTTCCAGGTTAGCGCTCACAGATCTCAGAGTGTTAAGTTAAAAGTTCTCTTTTCTGTTGCCGTTGTTCTATAAAAGTACGTTTTAAGATCATTTGAGGCGAGAATATTATACTTTAAGCTTCACTATATGGAACATTTACTGACTTAGTGCGGAATTTAGAAAATAATTTTTCTTGAGAGGGACTCGGCAACCAGCGGAGCTCTGAGGGTAATAGCACCCAGGGCTAACGTTGGCCCGTCTGCAGCGTGCCAGGGCTAACGTTGGCCCGTCTGCAGCGTGCCAGGGCTAACGTTGGCCCGTCTGCAGCGTGCCAGGGCTAACGTTGGCCCGTCTGCAGCGTGCCAGGGCTAACGTTGGCCCGTCTGCAGCGTGCCAGGGCTAACGTTGGCCCGTCTGCAGCGTGCCAGGGCTAACGTTGGCCCGTCTGCAGCGTGCCAGGGCTAACGTTGGCCCGTCTGCAGCGGGCCAGGGCTAACGTTGGCCCGTCTGCAGCGGGCCAGGGCTAACGTTGGCCCGTCTGCAGCGGGCCAGGGCTTACGTTGGCCCGTATGCAGCAGCCCTCTCTCTGCATAGCCGTGTGTGAAGTACCGCTGGCTCTGATGGAGATAATTTGGTTTTATATGGCTAAATGTTCAATTTGATTTGTGTTAATCTGACTGTGCTCATTATTATTTCTCCACTAAATGAAAAAAGTGAGAATTTATTATCTAGAAACTATTAATAACAGGAGGTGAAATGCAGCTCCAGACTAGCTTTGAATGTGGTGATGTCATCAGTACGCTTTGGTTCCAGTTGACCCAGATTTATTCTGCGTTCTCCCGTTCTCCCCGAGTCCAGACTTTCCTGGGTTCTTCTCAAGAAGGGACTCGACGAGGACACGAGTCTGTACTCGTGCTCTTGAGAAACGGCTATATGCACAGGTTGATCAGATCATTTTGACACAACAGGGGAACATAACATACTTTCACCTAAACAAAACTAAAAAGAAAAGACCAAACTAATCAGTAGAATACTAAATCGGCAACCTATGAGGAAGAGGATTTAACTTCCCAAATTTAAAACAGAAAACAAAACCAAATGAAAAAACCTAAACCCTTCCATCACCCCTTCTAAAGGTAAGTGGAAGAGTCCAACCAGGCCTCCATGTCATTGAGGAGATCTTTAACAGCTGGGGCCTCCTTTCCTTTACTGGCCACGCCCACATGGCAGCCTCCCAGCACCTGGCAACTCAAATGAGAAGTATATTCATTCACAGTAAACCAAAGAAGCAAGAAATGACAAAATGAGTCAACTAAATTTGTGCAACCGAATAGTCAACCAATGCCAAATCACAGCAAAAAGTGAAATCCAGTCCAGTAGAATATAAAAGAAAGAATTCCCAGACCATTTGTTGTTTGGTTTCACATGCACCATCACAACTCCACAGAAGGTGACAGACTGAAGCTGTCTGTGTGTAAAAACATCAGCTGAATGTTTCCTGGTTTATCATCCAGCCATCTCTCCCTCCCAGGTTCTCCGGTTCCCTCCTCTCAGCTTCTGGGCGCTCGGCTCCCAAGCGCTCCGACGCTGACGGATTTCTACCAGACCCGGCAGAAGCTCCACAAGCAGCTGTCTGACCCCGTGCAGCCGTCCTGCTCCTCCTGCAGTCACTCCCCTCAGCTCGGCCGCCCAGCCAACCTGGGCTCCTCCCCCACCAAGCTGCTGGGGTCGTCGCCACGCATGTCTGACTGGCTTCAGAAGTCGCCGCTGCCAACGATCATCGGTTCCCCCACCAAGGTGGGCGCTCTAACCAGCTTTAGCAGACGCCGTCGCTGCTAATTAACTAAATCTCTAATTAACCCATTTCTCTTCAGACAATTTCTGCCCCGTTCAAGATCCCTAAAACTCAGGCGTCCTGCAACCTGATGGCGCTGGCAGACAGCCCGCTTCCCAACAAGACGCTCGCAGACTGTCGGGACATGTGCAGCCACCATTGCAGCCCCTACCTGACGGGACGGGCTGCTGCCCCGGAGGCCAGCAGGACCTTTGGAAGGTAGTCGACCTCTGAGGTTCGCTCTGTAGCCTGGATGATGTCACACTCAGCCCCACGCTGCCTTTCAGTAGATCCCCAACAACATGCCGCTTCCGTTCATTTTCACAATGCCATGTCTGTGTCTCTACTGACCTCTGTGGTTTCCGCATAGGTCCGTCAGTACCGGCCGTCTGTCTGAACAACCGATCAGAATCACTCTGGGAGGACAAGCCTACCAGGGCAGCACCGACAGTCTGAACACTGAGCGGCCCATGGACACAGGTACACGGACGCAGCAGCCGCTTCAGCCTGAAGCCACAGATTTAGAAAAGGATCTGAAATCATCAAATAAATCTTGGATTAATAGGTCGCATTCTAATGAGCAAACAGCAGCTTTTAAACAAAGCGTGCATGAGGAGAAATTAGCTTGTGCACGCTGTTGCACACGTTCGATAGGCGTTCCCTCTCAGGAGCAGGTACTGGGTTGTGCATGTGCGTTTTTATTGCATGTGGAGAGAGTGGGGGTCTTTACAAAATTCCTGAAAATCCTCCATTATACCTTTAATCTTCTGAAAGGTAGACTTTCTCAGCTCTGTTGGGGTTTTAATACAATAAGTCTGGTTTCCCAGCAAACCAGTGAAGCATGGTAATGGGGGCGTCATGCTGCGGGGGTCCGTTGAGGGGTTTGGTTTAGAAAACCTTTGGGGATATGATCCCCTCAATGACAGAAATGTTTGTGTTCTCTGCAGCCCCCAGCGTGGCTCCAGGAAGATCGGCGAGCCCCCGCACCGTCCTGTTCACGGTGGGCTCCCCGCCCAGCAGCAGCACCCCTCCCACATGCAGCCACCTGGGAGCCCGGCCTCGGACCACCTCTGGTAAAAGCCGTCCAGCTCCGCCGCCGTCCGTCTCGCCGTTTGGTCCGTAGTGATCATGTCCTCTCTCTCTAACTGCTCCGTCCTCAGTGGGTTCCAACAGCTCGGCCGGTTCCTTGTGCTCCACCAGCGGTCGGGTGTGCGTGGGTTCCCCCCCAGGCATGACCATCGGATCGTCTCCTCCAGGCAGTTTAGGAGCTGGCCATTGTGCTGATGGAGGGCCCAGCAGCCTGCGCTACCTTCCTTATGGGACCTCCCCTCCTAGCATGGAGGGGTTCATCACCTTTGAAGCCCCGGAGCTGCCAGAGGAGACCCTGATGGAGGTGAGATAGGGCCCCCCCCCCGTCTGAACTTCCTGCCTCATCAGGTGGATTTTAATTTTCTTTGTTTTTCTATGTCCCGGCTCAGCGTGAGCACACCGACACCCTGATGCACCTCCGGATGATGCTCTCCTTCACCGACTGCATCCTGGAGATGGCAGCGCTCCGAGCCGGGGGGGCGGAGCTCGGGATGTCCGCCGCCTCCCTCTACCCCCCCCAGGACAGCGTGGTGGTGGACCAGATCAGCCAGCTCAGTAAAGAGTGGGGGTAAGCGTCTGGATGTCCGGTCACTGTGAGAAGGCTCTTCAGCCTCTAACATGCTGTGACTCTGCTGCCCCCTACAGGCAGGTGGAGCAGCTGGTGCTCTACATGAAGGCAGCTCAGCTCCTCGCTTCCTCCCTCCATCTGGCAAAGGCTCAGATCAAATCTGCTAAGTTGAATCCTTCAACTGCAGTCAAGCAAGGTAGGGGCATCTTCCTAGTTCAGACGGGGGGGGGGGGGGGTGGGGTCGCCATCTCGCCTCCATCAGGGTCTCCAATGGAACTCAGCTAAAGTGGAAACCAGTTTAAACCCAGTAGCTCTACCATTTAATATTCAATCATTTAATCTGCCTCCTGGCTACAGACCTGATGGCAGTGAGAATCAGCTCCTTATGCTGCAGCATCAAATTATTTTCCACCTAAACGTTTCTCCTGGTTTTTTCTAGTGGTCAAGGGTTTGAACGAGCGCTACAAAAGCTGCATCGCCTTCTGTCGCCACCTGACGGACAAACTCAACCACTTCTTCTCCGACAAGCAGCGCTTTGTGGATGAGATCAACAGCGTCACGGCCGAGAAGCTCATCTACAACCACGCCGTGGAGATTGTGAGTTCTTAAACACAGACGCCATGATCTGAAGGCCAGAACTCACCCAATCCGATTTTACGTCCAGTCCGATAGAAAATCGTCCCTCAGAGGTCGTGGCGTTTAGCGCTCTTTGAAAGTCAATGGGGATGATTTCCTGCAGGGGGCAGCGTAGCTCCAACTGATAGAGCCCAGGTCTATGTTAGTCGGACTATGCAGCAATTCAGCAGCAATTTCATGGGTCTGACAGGAAGAGAGACGCAATTTCAAAGTAAAACACATCCGCTTTGAGGGAAAATCCACAATAAAATCTGTTAATCTCACTGAGAAAGAGTCAGTTTGGAGTCGCCCATCGCGTTTATAGTTAGCAGGACAGACTGCCAACGATGAATGAAACATTAAAATAGAAACTTTCCCCATGATGGGAGTTCAGGAGGACAGAAACGGATAAAGCAGTGATCCTCTTTGAGCCTCACAGAAACCAGAATAAGGAGGAGCAGACAGAGCAGGTCAGCGCAGCGTATCTCTCTCACCTCTTTGTGGAAACAAGAAAGAAAAACTTCCCAGATCTCTCTGAGGATCACCTCTCTGCCTCAGTCACCATGGAAACCGTCCCACAGAGTTTATTGCTGCCATTTTCTTTTCTTTAGACATAGATCTCATTATGTTTTTGTTCTGGTTCTAGATGCTGCACAGACTCGTTAAGTAGAGCTTTGCTTTATAGAATGAACCACTGGTTTTTATTTTAATAACTCATAATCTGTTCCAGTCAAATGTGGGAAATAGTGTTAATGTGTGTACAGCACAGAGAATGATCTGCTCACCCTGTCTAGTCGGAGTCTCTCTATACGCAGTCAGTGTGACATGAAAGAAAATATGATTGAAGATTAAAAGTCTGTGTGTTCAGGACTTGAGGCGTGACGAGCTAACGCGGCTAACGCTCCATGCTTCCATGATGTGTGCTCCAGGTTCAGTCTGCAGCTCTGGATGAGATGTTTAAGCAAACGGAGGACATCGCGTATCGCTACAGCAAGGCTGCCATGCTGCTGGATGGCCTCTCCAAGATCCTGCAGGATCCTGCCGACGCCGACAACGTGCTCAAATGTGAGGAGGCATTTCATTGGTTACCTGGTGCTACACTGGAAAAAAATCTAAATCTAGATGAGTCATTTTTTTCTTAAAATAAGTGCATTTGTTCTTGGTTTGGGGAGGTAAAAGAGACATTTTGCCACCGGAACAAGACTATTTACACTTAAAATAGAAAACATGATCTATTGGTTTATTTCAAGTGTAAATTATCTAATTATCTTATTTTAAGAGTAAAAATACTCATTCCATTGGCAATTTATCTCATTTACCTGCTCAATTAAGGGTAAATACACTTAATTTAAGACGTAGGAGAAGGAGAGGAGAGCGTAGAAGTAGGACCGCGTTTCCTTAAAGTCGCTTCTTTAAAGTTTAACTCAAACACTGGAAATTGAAAAGTCATTTTTTCTCAACATAAGTTTATTTTTTCTTGAATTAAGGAGGCAAGTGAGACTCTTTGCCAGTGGAACAAGACAATTTACATTTAAAATAATAATAATAATTTATTTAAGTAAGATAATAAAAGTGGGTGGGGTTCAGCAAACATTCAGGTGTCTTTCAGCAGGATCCTGGTGGGCTCACATAGACAAACCCAGGAAAGTCTGGACTCTGGGAGAACCGGAGCACGCAGAATAAATCTGGATCAATTAGAACAGCAGCGTACTGATGACATCACCACATTCAAAGCTAGTCTGGAGCTGCTTTTCACCTCCTGTTATTAATAGTTTCTAGATAATAAATTCTTACTTTTTTCATTTAGTGGAATAATAATGAGCACAGTCAAATAAACACAAATCAAATTGATGAACACATCTACCATAAAAGGGGAGAGATGAATGCAATGGGGGCTGACACCATTTTGTTTGTTTTTTTAACCTATGGCGTTCTCTATCCGGTGATAGCTGGGGCCCGCTCTCCCAGGATTATGTCCATTTTCACATGTACTTATGCTGCTATCCTCTCCATTATATAAACATTGTTAAAGGGTTGGAGGCAAACGCTTAATCAATAATTTTAATCTTTTTAACATAAAATCAGGTATTCTTTTAATTTTGTCTGAATCCCTTTCCAAAATGGATTCAGCACTGGACAGTTCCAAAGGATGTAAGTTTATTCCCCAATCTGATTACAATAAGTTTGAGTTATTTCTTTCACTATTAACTGTTTCACGCTGCAAAAACGATCTAAAAATGAGTAAAAATGTCTTAAATTAAGTGTATTTACCCTTAATTTCAGCAGGTAAATAAGACGATCTGCCAAATAAGATCATTGGATAATATGCACATAAATTTGACCTGTTTTCAAGGCTGCACTTTAAAAAACTAAATTGGCTATAGCTGTTTTAAACTAAATTTATTTTTGTCTACACCTGTATACAAAATGACAAAAAAAAATCTGTCTAAAAAAATAAATCTAGAAGCAGATGTGGACATTAAAGCATCCTTTTAAAGAAGCTATTTTTTTGCAGTTAAAGTTGGTGGTTTATTTGAATTATAACTTTAAATTTAAAGAATTTCAAATATTACCCACTGGTATGTCATTACACACAAGAGCTGATGAATTTATTCTAATTGAAGCGTGGTGACTGTCTGTTGCAGATAAAGCCAGCGTGGAGCGCAGGATCTCGTCTCTGTGCTACTGCACGGTCAGGCTGTACGAGTAGCAGCTGCACCCCAAACCACTGAGGGACCAGGACCTAAAAAACAGACCTCTCCCTCCTGTAGCAGCTCAGCACTTTCATTTGTTTGTTTTAATCTGCGTTTGTCATCCGTTTGTTGTACTACTGCAGCGGTGCACACATTTCCAACCAAAGATGACAACGGATCAGAGAGGAAACAATAAATCTAGAAGAAGATGTGGACATTAAAGCCTTCTTTTAAAGATTCTTTTAAAATCTGAGGGTGGGAGGATCCCATCATGTTAGCATTCCGGTTTCAGCTGGAAAAAGGAGGATTCACAGGGCTGTGAGACAGTGCTGTGGACTCTAAAAAGACATTGGGCTAAGATTTGATCAGTGGTCCTGCACTTCTAGTTTCAGTGTTTGTGTATTTATTTTCTAGACCAACACAGACTATTCTGCCTTTCATGTAAACCTCAAGTATTGCAGTTGAAGGAAAAGGTTGGAAAGCGACGGCTTCCAGCTGCCTGTGTGGACTTGGACTTTTTAACCCACCAACAAGCTGCTGTTACATCAAGCAGACAGCCATAAGCAAAGGAATCACTTTGTTTGGACTTTTTCTGTTTAAACTCAAGCACTTTATTTTGGAACGGATGGAAGAGAAAATGTGAAGATGTGGTCGACTCCTTTACTCTGCACACTGCAAAAAATAACTTGAGTCAACTCTTAAAATAATTGCATTTACTCTTAATTTCAGCAGGTAAATAAGATGATCTGCCAATGCAACGAGTATGCTTAGTTTAAAATAAGATAATTAGATATTATGCACTTGAAAAAAAATACGTTTTTTTCTCTTATTTTAAATGTAAATTATTTTGTTTCATTGGCAAAGTGTCTCACTTACCACCTCAATTCAAGAACAAATGCAAATATTTTAAAGGAACAATCCGCTCATATTCAGAATCCAAACTTCTGAAAGTTCTTTAAATCTGAAATGATTCCATCCTGTTCAATAAATGATCAGTGTTTTTAATTCAGAGTAATTTTCATGTGAATGTGCTTTACTGGAGGCATCCATGTTTGTCAAAGAACACTACTGCCACCTACTGGTTAGTGACATTGTCACGGTGCGGTATCGGCTGTTGATCAAGTCCCAGTGCTGTATCTGGTGTTTGTCACAACGCGCTATTATCCAAGTCATCTTGAAAACATTCTTCTTCCAAATGTTGGCTACATATTACGGGTTTTTTCTCTGGCCAGAAGTTCGATGGCAAATCCTCCCTCTTCAAGTTGGCGATCCAACGACCAACCCGTCCGTGGAGGATCAGGAATCAGAAAGGTGGAATAACTCTTTTTTTCACTTTTACCCGATGTATTCCAGCATCCAGCTGCCATGCACGTGGGCATTGTCAGTTTCACTATAGCTCTGGTGAATTTCAATGGTGAAGTCCTCTGGAAATCTTCAATAATTGTTGTTGATTGCAGATGTGTCTAGTAGTTCCCATTGATTTAGCTTGGAAAGCGGGGAGAATGGCGCTAGGCTTACCGCACCGTGACGTCACTGCTGGAAGATGGCAGGAGGGAGGGGCTACTATATTTGGGCAAAAATGGCCGCTCCCAGATGAGAATTTTTTATTTTTTTTTTACTGATTAACGCTAAATTAATTTAAATCCAGCAAACTTATTAGTTTTAAGTATAATGATCCATTGATTATTCCTCGCTGACCGGAGTTTTCCTTTAAAATAAGTAAGAATTCTTAAAATAATTGTATTTGCTCTTAATTTCAGCAGGTAAATAAGATGATCTGCCAATGGAACCAGTATGCTTAGTCCTAAAATAAGATCATTGGATAATATACACTTGAAATAAGAGACTGTTGTTAAATGTAAATTGTTTGGTTCCATTGGCAAAGTGTCTCATTTACCTCAATTCAAGAAAAAATGCACTTATTTTATGAAAAGTTTTTTTTGCAGTGCAGACCTGTGTAGGTGGGAATAAAAGTTGGACGGTAAACGGCTCATCCAACGTGTCTTTTTCCATGCCGATATTTCACAGGCTTCACTTGGACCTGTTGAGGGTGGAGCTGATTGGTCGGTTGGATTCTAGCTAAGCGTGACTTCCTGAGCTCATCTAGAGGAGGGAGTGAAAGCAGGACCTCCTGCTGCTGGAGGAAACGATCCGTCACATGACTCCAAGTTCCTACAATAAGATTCCTTTTCATAGAAAATCGAATCAGATGCAGCTTTTTTTTTTATCAGAACTGTAGCTTCTTTTTAAAGATTTAAAGTTGATGTTTGCAAACTTGTACATATTTGAATGAGCTGCATGTGAGGATCCTGCTTTTCTAAATTTTTTTTTTTTTTTCTGTGGGAGGGGGTGCTGCCTCTGCCTGTCAGTCAAAGAGCACAAATCTTTATATGTAAATAATGACTTTCTATTGGTTTTATTTGTTTGATAAGAAAATCCATCATTGGGCCCCGTGAAGCAGCCTCCATCTTTCTACCGCCCCCCCACACTGCAAACAAATGGAATCTAAATAAGCCTTTTTTTTCTGAAATTAAGTGTATTTTTTCTGGAATTGATGTCAGTGAGACACTTAGCCAACGGAACAAGAAACATTTAACTTTTAAGAGAGGAAAAAACAATTGCATTGTCTTATTTCAAGTGCATATTATTTAATTATCTTATTTTAATTGTAAAAAGCTCATGCCATCTGCAAAGCATCTTATTTACCAACTCAAATTAAAGGTAAATACGCTTAATTTAAGAAATTCTGACTTATTTTTAGCTGTTATTTGCAGTGCAGCCCTGGTTCTACATCCTGATCCGCCTCGCCGGTCCGATCAGTCCCTCCGAGTCGTGCTTTGGTCTCTACACTCTGTACTGTACGTCCGTTTCCAGGTGTGCATTAAGGTCAGCAGCAGGCAGACATGTTCCTCCTCTGTACAGGTGTGAACAGGTTTCTGTGTAAAAAGAAAATGGGTTTCAGGGCCCGCTTCTGATGTACTGTTTTATTTTCTAAACATATCTGAGTTTAGTTTTTTCTCCCTCCTTTGCTGTGAGCTCTGATCAACATGAAGCCTTTTTATTGCACACAAACTGAAAGGGGATCCAGCAGGATAATAAAAAAGCTTTTTTAAATGGTGTGATTTTTGACTGTAATAAAACAAAAAGAGTTTTAAATGAAGCATGAGAACCAAGCGTCTGGAATGTTGAATGTATGAACCCTGATGTTTGCTCCTCCCCAGCCTGAACTGAATGCATACCGAGGAGCCACAACCTTATTCTCTCTCCGAGCACCGATTTTACAAAGTGAAATGTTAACGTTCTTGTTTGATTCCCGGGGGGGGTGGGGGTCTCCTGTTGTTATTGATGGAAATCAAATACACTCATTGTTATTAAAAGAAAGAATCAAGCTTTGAGTCCTTATTTCTCTGCAGGCTCCTCATGCTGACGTTTTGCAGCCATGTTTGAATAATCCAGAGCTTTAAGGCTCATCATTGTGAAGCTGCTCATCTCTTCCTGTAATCACTGTTTTCTGACGACCAACAGTTTTTAGTGCTGATAGCTGCAGCTATACTTTGATTAGAGAAATATCAGCTGTACTGCTGCCATCAACACCTTTGTTTCTAGATGTTGGAGCTTGGCCTGTTTTCCAGTGTAGTCCCGTTTCTCTGACTGTGACTAACTGGATGTGCTCTCTTCATCCTCTGACATGGGAGCTGGCTCGGAGCTCGTCTGCCTGGCTGTGTGTTTCCTGGACGGGGCCGCCTGTGGAGCTGGTTGACAGTTGCCTTTTGTATCTATGCTTCTTTTTCTATGTCTGCTTCTGTCTCCTTGAACCCCAGTGGGCCTCAGCAGATGGCCGCTCACACTGAGCCTGGTTCTGCTGGAGGTTTCTTCCTGTTCAAAGGGAGTTTTTCCTCTCCACTGTCGCTACAAGCATGCTTAGTGTGAGGGATTGCTGAAGAGTCAATGAGTCGATGCAATCAGCTGGTTTTCTTTATATAGAAATAATTAGATGATCTGGTGAACTGGAAAGTGCCCTGAGATGACATGATGTGAAATAATGCATGTGAGAAAAAAAGAGAGCCAGAATAAATGACTGGCAGTAAAGTGGGCATTTAGAGATTGGATCAAATGAGGAAATTTATTTAATTTTGAAAGATTGTGACATCACAAAAGAGGATTGGGGCCACTGGGGGAACAAAAAGTTAAAAAAAATTTTAATTTTATTTCAGTTTAATATGGGGAGAGTCAGAATTCTGACTAAAATTTAAAAATGAGTTGACTTTATTTTTTCAGTGGCCCTGATCCTCTTCCGTCTGACACAGGCCCCTAGAAGGAACATGATGACCTGGCTTTGCTGAAGGGAAAGTAAAGCTGATCAAACCAACCTGTTACACTGACCCCTGCTGGTGAACTCAGGAACCCCATCCTGTCAGTCTCTGCCTTTGTGTCCTTGAGCAGGACTCTAACCTTCCTTTCCTGCTGGAGGTCAGAGGGCCTCTGGCACCGACTGCTGCAGCTGTTGGTTTGTCCCTGAAATGTAGCGAGCGAGAACTGGAAAGGTTAAGGTTGTAAGGTGGATCCAGACAACAGCGAGGGCCCCCAGGGGCCTCCATGGGGCCTTCAGAGAAATCTGATTTTTTTTTTTTTCCTGCCAGTGAAAGCAATGATCAGATCATTAACTAATCATTTGCTGCACTAAAAGTAATAAAAGAGCTTTGATGGATTAAAATAAATTGTAGAATAACAGACATGATTAAATCAAATGGTAAAATCTGGCATGTTATTAAATAATGGAAATAAATTCCCTGAACCCAGGTGGAAAATACATTCAACAATTAATTATTAAAATGATGTAAACGTTTATAACTATATACAAAAGCTGTATTTGAAAACATGAACTACCTTCACCTCCAGATTTGACCTTTTTAGATGACCTGTTCTTCCTGCTGATCTCTATTCCCTGGATTGCTAATAGGCCGTTGGTAGCACACGGTGCTGTGAAGCCACCGGCCACCATATTGGTACTCCCTAATTAGACTGGTCACAATGTAAAACATATGTGTGCT